GAAGGCGAATCGATTAGAGTTAGAACTCGATTAATCGATTCGCCTTCGAATTGCGTGTAATTGTATAGTAGTGTTTAGGTCGTTGTTTGTATAACATAATGTCTGTATGCTTCAAATTGTATACGATTAAAATATATTTTATTGTTCTAATTTCAAAAAAAAAATGCAGCGTTTTTTTTTATTTATTTATCGATTTCCCTCGACAGGTAGATCTAATGCAAAGATGGCCGACCGAGGGTTTTCAAACTAAATTACCGTTTCCCCCCTATACATTGCGATAATTAGATAAAATCTCCCAAGTATATACGAGGGTAAGGTGAAAAGTTCTGCCGGAGGTGCGCTCTAAATGGTTCTGAACCGTTCTAAATGGTTCTAGACAGTTCTAAATGATTCCGTAGCGTTCCAAATGACTATGGAGCGTTCGAAATGGTTCTGGGGCGTTCTAAAGTGGTTCTATACACAGTTCTAAATGCTTCTGAAGCGTTCTAAATGATTTTAGACAGTTCTAAATAGTTCTACTATACAATTCTAAATGATTCAGAAGCGTTTTAAATAGTTCTGAAGCGTTCTTAATAGTTCTGGAGCGTTCTAAATAGTTCTGGAGCGTTCTAAATACTTCTGAAGCATTCTACATAGTTCTGGAGCATTCTAAATAGTTCTACTATACAATTCTAAATGATTCAGGAGCGTTCTAAATAGTTCTGAAGCGTTCTTAATAGTTCTGGAGCGTTCTAAATAGTTCTGGAGCATTCTAAAGCGATCCAAATAGGTTTAGACAGTTATAAACGATCATGGAGTGTTCTAAATGATCTTGAACAGTTATTAATGATTCTGGTGCGTTCTAAATGCATTTGGAGCGTTCTAAACGGTTCTAAACAGTTATTCATGATTCAGATCGAGAACTTTTCGCCCTACCCTCGTATATACGCACACGTTCGATTCGAGACAAAGTGCACCAATTCACCGGAATACCTATTTATAGACAGTAGATATTAGAAGTGAAAAAAAAAATAACCACGGCACGCCGGGATTTCATTATCGCGATATTCTTGTTGACATTGACGTTTCGAGTGAATGTAACACACTGTGTATTAAAAGATAACGTTCGGTGTGTTGGAATACACGAAAAAAACATGTGTTGGTAAATATCCGTGATTGCCTGGCGAATGGTAAACAAATAACACGGAATACACGAATCGAACGATGATTTTTTTTCCTCTTCTCTTCTCTTCTCTTCTCTCTTTTTTCGAGATGTTTGTTTGTTCACGGCTAGGTAAATACCGAGTTTGGAATGATAACAAAGTATATATACGATATAGACGTTCGGGGAGGAAGTTAGAAGGACCATTTAGGAAGAATTCTATCGAGAAAAAGTTAGAAAAATCTTCCATTTTCGGGCTCTTATACAGGGTGTCGCCCATAAGAATGACTACAACTGCTCTGTGTGGGACATCCTGTATACCAATTCGGTGAATTTCGTTCGTTTGAAACTCCAATGTAACGTAATGAGCGCTTTGCAATAACTCTCCGCAATTAAGAGCATCAATAGATGCCTAATTAAAATTCGAAACTAAAAGGCGATAAGAGAGCCGTTTTGTTTTAAATAAACATTCTAATTAGGTCGAACAAATACTGTGATGTCTAATTGCCCGCCGATTTACGCCGATAGAAAGAACGGTTACAAAATCGTAAACATTAAACAAATCGTCGCGAAAAATAAAAACTTCAGATATGTTATATTCGTTGTAACTAGGCGGTGACGTCACGACTTGAACATGAAATAAATAAGTATATAACGTAGATATTACGAAGTGGAATCAATCTTGTCGGTTTGAATAAATTTCGCCCACCCCTGTCACCTAAATTCCCGATATGACACGTCATCAATCACCCCTACTAGATGCGTTCTAATTGTAATTTTAGACCGCATACCGAACGCCATCTGGCGCGCTAATTGTGCAGAAACCACCCTATATTTATCGTCATAAAAATTACAATGATAACGTGTTAATACCTTCTTATAATTCAACACTATCTTGCATAATATTTAAAATGGAAATAGGGGGTCGCCGGTTCATTCCCGCAGCGCTACCTGTTAAAGACTTCAAGAACTTTTAGTTTAGAAGTACCTCTTTCGATATAATAAATATCTCCCGATATTAGACTTCCTCGCATATTATCCTTGCTTTATAAACCAAAATGTATCAAATGTATAGTTGGTAAGTTTTAACTCACCGAAATACTGGTTGCCTACCTATTAGTAGCCATTAACCGATTGTTAGTTAGATGAAAATGTAATAGATAGCGGCCAAAACTTTTTTTTAACTTTATTTATGTTTTGTTATTTAAAGAAGAGAAACTGTAACATACCCTTATCAGGCTCATCGTAAGGACGAATGAATTACTGACCGCCACAGAGACCACCTACAGTTCTACTTGCATGGTTTTGTCGGAAATTACTGGCTAAAAAAGATACACGACAATTATTGTGGGCTGTATAACTCGCGAATATGACGGACAGTCGGACATACCTGGAGTTGTTTTCTGTTTGGTCGCGTTCATCACTTGCTAAATCGTAGGTAGAATTTGAATTTTCCGACATTTGCGACTGACTAAATTTAACGTCTTTTTTTTTTAATAAATGACATTTCATTAACTACTCGGTTATACAACCAACTACTTTTGTGATACTGGCAACGCCGCACAAGTTTAAATTTGACACACAATTGACAATTGACAGCTAACGCGATTTTCAATATTTATTTGTATCTCATCAAATTTTCTACTACATTCCATTATATTATCGTCAAAAAAATGTACACGAAACCCATAAATCAGTTCAAAATAAACCTTCCAACCGTCTAACATCCAAAACAACGCATATACGACGAAACGGTGAGTCATAAACCCCGATAAATCACCAGATTATCCGGAGCATGGGCAATGGAACCCTCCTACAACGCCACGCGAATTAATTAACAAAATGGATATTGTACACACAATCGAAAGTTCAAGGATCACCCGAACCCCGCGCCTATCGATAACCATGCAAATTGCACTCCAAACTCGATCATTGCGCCTTCAAATCCCCCCGGTTTAGCATCTAAAACCAGTACCGATTTCCCCGCGAACCGACGAACATGGCTCCCCAAAACGAGCGCAACATCGTCGTCGGCGCCGAGCTCGAGCGCATCGTCGACATCCCGCTGGGCGAGCTCCTCCTCAGGCTGCTCAAGTCCTTCGAGGACAACGTCCTGCAGGTGGACGGCGAGACGGGCGAGCCCCTGCCCGCCGATCTCCTGCTCAAGCGCGCCACCCGCCTGGCCAAGTGGCTGACCGACCGCGGCGTCCGCGTCGACGACAAAGTCTCCATCAACAGCGAAAACCGATTAGAATTCTGCGTCGTCCCGACGGCGACGCTCTTCGCGGGCGCCACCTTCGCCCCCTTGAACCCCGACTACACCCCGCTGGAGCTCAAGCACGTGCTCGGCTTGTCCCGGCCCAAGCTGGTGTTTTGCTCGAGCAAAACCATCGATAAAATGGTTTCGATACTACCACAACACCCCTACATTCAGGCGTTGGTGTTGTTCGGAAACGAACCCTTCGATGAACACCCGAGAGTCATCAGATACAACGATATCGTACGAGGAGTCGAAGGTAAGCTTCATCTACCTACCAATAATCTTCTTTTAACATTTAAATCGTTTGTAGCCGAAGAAATAGACGAAGAGTACGAGATTGTTCCGGTGGATCCGATGGAAACGGTCGCTACGATACTCTGTTCCTCGGGTACCACCGGTATGCCCAAAGGAGTAATGTGCACCCACGATAGTATGACAGCCTACATAGATATATCGAGAAGTATAATGGGCGATATAGTAACGAACGACGATCCGAGCGACGCCATGATGGGCCTCATACCGTTCTTCCACTCGTTCGGCTTCATGCTGATGTTCCTCAACCTACTGCGAGGCAAGACGATGGTGGTACTCGGCAAATTCAAGCCCAAAGTGTTCTTGGACGCCATCGTGAAGTACCGCGTCACGCGACTAATCGTACCACCACCCGTGTTGTTGTTCCTACTCAAAAGCCCTTTGGTGAAAGGCTACGATCTATCGTGCATTCGTGAGATTCGAAGCGGCGCAGCTCCAATGGGACGTGACATGGAAAAGGAGCTGAAAGACAGGTTCAAAGTGCACCACGTGTCGCAGGGCTACGGCATGACGGAGACCACTTTAGGCGTACTAGTATCGCCCCACGGACAAAGCAAAATCGGCTCGTGCGGTAAAATAGTACCCGGCATGATGGCCAAAGTGGTGGACGAATCGGGCGCGCCGTTGGGGCCCTACAAAGAGGGCGAGATCTGCTTCAAGGGCCCCTTGATTATGAAAGGATACGTGGGCGATCCGGAGTCCACTCGAGGCACTATCGACAGCGAGAATTGGCTGCACACCGGCGACGTGGCCTACTACGACGACGACGGGTACTTCTTCATCGTGGACCGGATCAAGGAGTTGATCAAGTACAAGGCGTTCCAGGTGGCTCCGGCCGAGTTGGAGGCGTTGTTGCTCACCCATCCGGCTATACAGGACGCTGCGGTGATCGGGTTGCCGGACGAAGATGCCGGGGAGTTGCCGTTGGCGTTCGTGGTGAGGAAGCAGGGGAAGGAGATCGGCGAGAGGGAGGTGGAGAAGTTCGTGGAGGAGCAGGTGTCGACGCAGAAGCGGCTGCGCGGCGGCGTGGTGTTTTTGAACGAGATACCGAGGAACCCGACGGGGAAGATCCTGCGCAGGGTGTTGAAACAGCGGGCGGTACAGCTCAAATCTAAGTTGTAAGATTAGATGTATTGTGTAATTCGTATTGGTGATAATATAGAGAAACGTTTGGTTGTGAGATTTTTTTCGTGCTAATTTAATTTAATTCGATTTAATCTAAGCACTCTAGAGTACTCGATCGGGCGCTCGTTTGAAGGTCGAGTGGATTGATAAAAGATAATTAGATCGATTAATATAGATTTAATATTATCTTTTTTTCTTAGTTTGTACTACCGTCCAACCGTCATCTTCCATCGGTACGTCGGTACTTTCTGCATCATCGCTCGACGAATCCGATTGTGCCTAAAAACATTGCGGATTTAAGCGAGTAATACAAAACTGGTTCCAAAATTATCGTAATTAGAATTCCTTACTTGGGATTTTCCCTGATTAGACGTTTTGCTCTCCTCTAACCAAGCCGTATTGGCGACTGGAAGCTTCGAAAACTCCTCGTCGCATTCTTGAACGTTGTTCTCTTTTAAAAGTTGCACGAAACGCAACAACAACGCCGCGATTTCTGCAAATAAATCGACAGATTATCAAACATTTACACAAACAAAACCTTCTAAGTGATTCTAGATCGTTCTAATTGGTTCTAGACACTTCCAAATGATTCTGGAGCGTTCTAAATAATTATGGAGCGTTCTAAATGGTTTTTAGACAGTTCTAAATGGTTTTAGACAATTCTAAATGATCCTGGAGCGTCTAAATGCTTTTAGACAGTTCTAAGTGATCCTGGAGCATTTTAAATGGTTATAGACAGTTATAAATGATTCTGGAGGGTTCTAAATACTTTTGGACAGTTCTAAATGGCTTGTGTATTAAACAACTCTGAATTTGAAAGCTTATGTTTACCTTTGGGAGAACCATCTTCGAATATCGTGTCGAATTTCTCGTCCATTACATCTTCGAGGAAATCTTCGAGGCTTTCCTGGTCGATGTTCGGATCGTCGAGGCAATACTGCGTTACTTCGTTAACGCAATCGATCGCGGCCTGAGAATTGACGAGCGGTTAATTAACTGAAATTAGTTAACGAGTGAATTAATCGGACCTGTTTGCTGTTGGGGCCTCCCATTGAATGTTCCACTGCGAGCCTCAGGCCCGTCCAATTGGTGAATATTTGCTGGACGATTTTACGCAGGGCTTCTTCGACCATTTTAAAGGGTTTGGTTTACTTGTTTATAGGAAATTGTAACGAAATAATCGAGGAAATATCACATATCGCATTGGAAATTGTTAGGTTAACAGTGTACGAATGTCAAGTGTCAGAAAGTGGCCTTTTACGTTAACACTTTGTAGTTATTATTTAGCTATTTTCGGTTCGTTGCAATATAAAAATATGGTGTAATTATGTATTTTAAGTATATTATTAAATTAACAATGTGTTAGTTATAAAGATAACTTCAGAAAGAGTTTATTTTAATGGCTGGATATCTTAGAAAATCATAGACTTGAAGTTGGTTACATTTGACGTTTTAGAGTAACTGTCAATTAGCAATGTGTGAGTTGATTGATAATTTCGTTTTGTTCCATTTCGGTTTTTTGCAATGAGTTTAATTGGATTTTCAAGCGTTCTACTTGCATGGTTTTCTCGGAAATTACGGCCTAAAAAAGATATTTTACAATTTTTTTTAACCGAATAACTCGCCATGTGACAGACCTGAAGTTGTTCATGGTTGTTTTCTTTCTGTTTCTCCATGCTCTGTAGAATGTTCCTCGCTCCTATCGCTTTCATTTTCTCCTTTTCTATGATATCGCCCAACTTTTGAACTAGGTCGATGTATTTAGTGGTGATTTTTTGGAATTCGTCCACTTCTACAATCAATTCGTATCAGTTAGATGCAAAAAACGCTCGTAGGTACTCACTCTCCGCGTATATTTGGCATTTTTCTTTCAAATCGTGCGTAGAATTCGAAATTTCCGGCTCTAAAATACAAATTCTATCCACTTCATCGAAGTAAATACCGGATTTCGCCAACAATTCAGTCATCTTCGCGTAGTTTGCATTCGTATTTCGTTTCCATGGAAACGAAACGTCAAAACCACAGAACGCACGATAACCAGAAGTGACAAGTGACACACAACGATAAATAAACTCCTCAACTCCTCCATTATGTAGAGGTATTGGCATCTGAATTTAAGATTGCAGCGCCATCGTGGCAAAAAACGGAACCTTCGTAACAGGCATTCATTCGTTTGTTGTTATTTGTTTTAACGTGCGAATTGTGAATTTGAAAGTGATTTTTTAGTGTTATAACTTAATTTCTTCCGAACAATTTTTATATTAAAAGACAATTTATTTCAGTTTAAGTAGTTTTTAAGTTGTTAAATTTACTGTCAATTCAAAATCTGGTAAGCAATCTGATTTGTATGTAAGATTGTATTATGTTTGGTTATATATTTTTTGTCGTTTCTTTCAATTAAATTATGAAATATGGTGTATTCAAATTACTCAATGACTTAAAAATTATACTTTTATTTATTCTATTTATTAATAATCTATTTTTTTTAATTTATAATCTTTCATTTTTAGAAAAATGGCTCGATTAAGTATAATCGACTACATGGCGTACATTGAAGGGACAGTTTCTTCAAGATGTGTGGTAAAGGGCGAAGAAGTTTTAAATGCAGGACACATAATTTTATGTGGAAAATTTAATTTGGTGACTTCTGATCTTATTAAAATCTGTGCTTTGTGTCTATAAACTAGCGCACTTAATGGAGAACCTCATCAAATATGGGTGAAAAATGCTTCACATCGTTTGTTCTATTTAGTATTACTTAATGGTAAAGTATTAATTCTATATAATATTACAACTAATTTTGATAAAATATTTTATTCAGATCAAGAGCTGTTACATTTTTTTTCTACCAGAAATTATTCTTCGGGTATCGACAAGGGATTTTCATAAAACGCTTCACATCGCTTGTTCTGTTTAGTAATACTCCAATAATGGTAAAGTATTAATTCTATTTAATATTACAACTAATTTTGATAAATTATTTTTTTAGATCGAGAGCTGTTACATTTTTTTTATCAGAAATTATTCTTCAAGTATCGCCATGTGGTTTTAGGGGTTTTTTGAGTTATTTTACATGAATCTAGTATCTGCTAATATGGGATTTGATAAATTAGTAATACTTTATATTATATTTAGATTATATCGCTTTGCTTAAAAATGGCCTTATAAGATGCCCTTCCACCGTACGCTTCGCTTACGTACGTTATTATTCCCCCAGGAGATACACCGGTCATAAACTTAATTGTTGTACTCGACTTATAATGTAAATAAAATTTTATTCTACAGCAAATGCATTTTGGCGTTTGGACATTTATTTCTGTACAATCCAGAATCACCCTTACATCCTCAAATTGATTAAAACATAGGGGCATGTTTCTTTTAATTTCCGAAGAATCGGGGAACCTTATACAGGGCTTTAAGACTGCACTTAATATAGGCAACATTTCAAAAAATATATTTTTTACATAATTCGGGGGAAATAGCAAACAATACTGACAACGTTACATAAGAAAGATCACTCTTTAATTTTGTCATGACTAATACTATTCGTTCTTGAAAAAAACAGATTTATAAAAGCGACGAAACCGACAATAAAGACAAACACGAGAGAAAACAAATCAAAAACAGAACGAACGTAATGGGCGCAAAACCAAAACAATGGTGCAATACCTGTTAGAAGCGTTCTATTTTCTGCCACCAGAGGGCGTATCGCTTATATTGAATCGCCAATAACGAGTTTTAAATGATTCTGGGGCCGTTCTAAACGAGTCTAGACAGTTTTTATTGGCAATTTTTACTCTAATACATCAAGTAGAACAAATAGGGTTTGTGCTCGAACAATTTCTGTTTGAAATATTGTTCCCTGAGGCAAGTGAACGTACCGAAAGCGTTCCTGCGACCGTCGAAATCGCGCTGCAGGCAAATGTCCAACGTTCTATCCACCCAACTTTTCCTGAACACCTTGAAATTGAGCAGGAACTTCTTGAGTTTCTTCGCGGAAATCGCGCCGAATTTGTTCTGTATGTTCAGGCCTCGGCTCATGCAAAACACGTAATCCATGACCTCCTTCGATGATTGAGGAATTGTTCCGACGAAAATTTGTTTTATGACATCTTCGTTGACGTTTGACAGGTTCTTGCACATCTCGTTGGCCGTGGCGAGGAACGTGTGCGAGAAAAGCCCCTGGAATTGTTAGTTTGGATTTTTTATCAAGTAGCCATCGGAAATTGGGGTTTTTTTTGCAGGAGATGGGTTAGAAAAATTGGGGATTTTGCAGGATAAGCGATTTTTTTGGTACTTGAAACTTACTAATGTTGCGGTTACGAACGAAATCACCAATAATAATCGGATCAAGTGCATTTTGCACTGATTATTCTATAGATCTGATCAATCTATAGTTGCAAGTATAATGTAAGAGTGCTCGTTTTGTTTGTTATTTATTTCCTATTGAATTCGAAATGGGCCTGTTTAATTTTTTTATTATACTTTATGCGAATTTTTATTTATTGATAAGTTTAATTATTCTATTTAAACAAATTGTTCCTATTTATGTATTTATTTAGTTATAAAAATGTATAATAAAGTAAACGCAGAAGTATGGAGTTATTTACTTTAATAACTTCCAAACTTCTTATTGAAGAAATTTGATTTTTGTTTCATTTGAAAGAGAAAACTCCATTCTGCAATTTTATAATTTACTTCATTTTTCTAACTCCTCCAGTTTTTGAAATATTACAATTTTTCAACGAATTACTACCCGAAAAACAAAGTAAGTCATTTCACATTTTCTTCAATAACTTCCAAACTTCTCATTGGAGAAACTTGATTTTTGTTTCATTTGAAAGAGAAAACTCCATTTTGCAATTTTCCAATTTACTTCACTTTTCTGACTCTTCCAGTTTTTGAAATATTACAATTTTTCAACGAATTACTACTCAAAAAATATAGTGCATCATTTCACATTTTCTTCAATAACTTCCAAACTTCTCATTGGAGAAACTTGATTTTTGTTTCATTTCAAAGCCAAAACTCCATTCTACAACTTTCCAATTTACACCAAGTTTCCATCTCTTCAAATTTCCCCAATATTTCCCACTTTACCCCCAATCTAAAATCCGCCAACTAAACCTACCCCTAAACAATCCCGTTACCGTGTAGTACCGCGGTACCACCCGCCATAGGCAATACAAAACGCACGCAGTGGTACCACCACGCCGTCCGACTTCCATTCAATTCAAAAATCCGAACCCACATACACCTGCACCGCCGGGCCTGAGCCAGCAGTACCCGCGGTACTCGCAGTCCGCGCTAACCCGTCGTCCGTACCGCACCGGTACCAGCAATCTATGCGCTACACGCTACACGCCGCCAAACGTATCGCAGTCACTGAGTCAGTGGTCGTTCCTATCGGTCGGTACTCCGGGTACTTACGCTCTTCCTCAGTGGGACGCGCACGCGAATCCGCTTCGCTTGGTACTTCTCTAGGTCAAGATTATTTTCGATATACATTCGTTTCGGTATTGTTGTTGTTGTTCGGAGAGTGAGCGGTTTTTTTTTGAAGTGTTTCGTGCGCGGGGATGTCAGCTGGAAGTACTATCGAAGAGGTGAGTACTGCCCGGATTTTTCCCGGTGCGCTAATGTTAATTGAAATGTGTGAGTCATTCGGGTGGGAGGTCGATTCCGGCTAATGTTATTCGAAATTGCCAAGTACCTAACTAAATATAGACAGGTACTGCAATAGGTACTCTTTAGGTCGTATATTTTAAAACGAGTTATAATTACCCATTACCCATTACACAATAATCGATAATACTCGTACATGAGCGGCACCATAAAGTGGTACCGAGTACCGAAAAGAAGAAAGTAGTACCGGAGGCGTCGATTTCGGTTGCGGATGCGAAAATATCACTCTTTTCGCCGATTCTTTTCCTTCTGCGGTTCGCGAGGAAACAGGTTCGCCGTAGTACCGGTAAATATGTATGTAGGTAATTCCGATTCATATGCGTACCTTCTGTTAAAATAATTATCATATTAATCGGTCGACTTGTTTTTTTTTATTTATTTACGTACGCATTTCGCGGCCCGATAAAGAAAGTACGACCCACTTTGCAGGGGCTACTAACTTCGATCCAACGGATCGTTAATCCTATTCACACGGTACTTGCTCCGGTACTTATGTGATGCAAGAATTTGCGCACAGGATATTTCGGTAATTCGGTAATCGACATTTTTGGTAGAAAATTGAATTTTATTTTTAACCTAAAATCGTCATGTAGTACCACCTAAAATCTTCCTATAGTATCTGGAATATTCCTATACTACCTAGAATTCTTCTGTTCTATCTGAAATATTCCTATATTGGAATCTTTCTACAGTACCTACAATCTTACTGTAGTACCTAGAATCTTCCTACAGTACCTAAGAAGCTCCTACAGTACCTAGAGTGCTCCTGCAGTACCTAGAGTGCTCCTACAGTACTTAGAATCTTGCTATTGTACCAGATTGTTATCAGTACCATACAAAACCAATAGACAAATTAAATCTTTATTCAACCGAGATCAAACACCAATGGACAAAGTCAACTTTCCAATTTGCTCGGTCAATTTCTCCAAAGCAATGTACTTGCTATCGTAACCTTTCGGCCTCTTCACCAATATCTTATTCACCTGATCGATCCTACCTGGAACAAATCGAAACGTTCACCGTACGGTACCACCTACGCCCCACCCTCCCAAAAACGGTACCTTCGATATCTTTGTCCAAAATGCAAGAGACCAACAGGAACTCCACCTCGTCGGAGCCGATGCCCAATTCGGTACTGATAAAGTCCAATTTGACGTTGCAGTACGGCCGGACGAGCGTCAGCAGGGCGTTGGTCCTGACGTGCACCAGCAGATCGGAGATGTGCTCGTGCACGAACGGATCCACCATCAAGGAGTCCTTGTTCTCCTGGAAGATGCACTCGAACTCCTTCATGTTGTTGTTCTGGAAGGCCGATATCAGATCGGTCATCGCCTTGATTTCGGTCTCGCTCTTGTAGGGTTTCGCCTCCTGCGAATCGAACGGATTGATGGCCGATTTCAACAGCATGCTGGTCAAGATGAGGTACTTCAGGCAATTGATGCGCCTCGGATTGCCCACTTCGTCGTAGTTCTTGAACGCTTCGAAGAAGTCCGTGTAGGCCTGCCGATGGAAATCGTTTTAACGGTACTACCATGGTGGTAGTACCAAAAGGTGCTACCTTACGTGTATGATGCACCAGGTGGTGCTACCTTGCTTAGTGATGCACTTGGTGGTGCTGTTTTGTGTTGGAAGATGCACCAGGTGGTGCTAATTTGCTTAGTGATGCACCTGGTGGTGTTGTTTTGCGTTAGAAGATGCATCAGGTGGTACTACCTTGTTTAGGGATTAACCTAGAGTTGCTGTTTTGTGTTGGAAGATGCACCAAGTGGTGCTATCTTGCTTAGGGATACGCCTGGAGGAGCAGTTTTCTTCCTGGTGCAATCTTTGCAGTAGTACTACCTGTAGAGTTGGCGTATAAAATGATAGGTACTTTTTCGTAATCGCCGGACCGCAAGTGCATCTTCCCGCCGCACTCCCTGATGACGCTCATGATGAGAGGATGTGGAATGGCGGAGCGTATTTTGAGGCTGCGCTCGTACAACTCCTTCAGTTGCTTGTTGTTCTTCTGCTGCGTGTACATCTGGATCTCCAGCGCGTAGATCTCCAGCAATTGGGTACCTGGGAAGCGTAACGCTAAAGGTAAGAGGTATCAAGTAGTGGCGAACGGAGTACCACCTTTGTGCGGATCGATGTCCTGGATGTTGGTGTTGCAGGTCAACTTGAGCTGCTTGATGATGTTGGTGACTTTGGCGAATTCGCCCCTTTCCAGATAGACTTTGCCCAATTTCGTGTTGGTCTTGAACCACAGCCTGTCGTTTTTGGCGTTCTTCAAAGCCGACAACGTGGTCTCGTAGAAGTCCTGCAGCAGCTCGATGTCCTTCGACGTCGAAGTGTAATCCAATATGGAATTGATCGATTTCTCGCCGTGGTTCTTGGTCACCGCCGTGTTGATGTACCCCAACAGCTCCTTGTACTTCTTCATCGTCTCCTGGTAGTTCTTCAGCTGGAAGTTGATCTTGACCAGCTGCTTCAGCGCCTTGAAGCCCCACTCGCCGCGATGGTCGCCCTGCAGGTCGAGCACCTTCTGGAAGGCGGCCACCGAATTCTCCAGCTGGTCCTCTTTCAGCGTCTTCGCCAGGTAGTACTGGTTCTCCAGGTCGACGTCCGGCTCGGAGGTGCTCTCCTCGGAGTACTGCAACCCGTAGTCGCCGTACTCCTCGTCTTCGTCGCAAAAATAATCGTCGTTCATCGGTCTTCGATTATCGCTCTTAAACTGACGTGGACATTGTGACGTTTTGACGTAGTACCAACTGAAGTAGTGATCGGTAGAGTTATCAGTCGTACCAACAGAACGGATGATTGGGCGATAGTTGTGAGTAGTTGTTTTCTATTGATTGAAACTGTTGAACTGCTGGTGGTACCGACCTGGTAGTACCTCTAGAAAGTTGAACTGGGGGTGCTTGGATTTTAACTAGTACTTTTGCTTTGAAAAATCGAGAAAAATTTAATCGAGTCTTCTAAATAGTACTTCTTTATTTTCTCACAGGTAGTACCTTTAAATAGACTTTTATGATCTTTATTTTTTTTTTAATTTTTTTGAAAATATGCTTATATTATAAAGATGCTTCGTAGCACATTACAATAGAGGTAGTACCACTAGTATAGTACGACCGCCAGGTAGTACCTCTATGCGATTTCGAGACCTTACACCGCCCGTCGGCGGTTTTTTCGATTTCGGCGCGACCTCGCCACCTAAGGTGGTACTTTCTTCGGCGGTACCGACCGCGGTACGGTTCCCACAATAGGTATTGCGAAAAAAAATTAAAAAAAAAATGGACGGGTTTGCGCTACGGCGGCGGATTTTTTATCCGTTCGCCTTGGCTCGTTTCTCCTCCGCTTCTATGAAACCGAATATACGAGGTGTCCCAAAAATATCTACCTATCTTAAAAGGACTCGTAGTAGATTCGATTTTCTGATACAAATTCTATATAAAATGTAATAGTTATTACGCAATTTTTGAGTACCTAATAGTGGTACTCAAACTTGGTACTTAATACAGGTGTCTATTGGTGAAGTACCGCTCGTAAGACTTGCGTCACCCTGTATATTTTGTATATATATAGATATAGAAAAGGCTGGAAGCGGTTCGGCGTTTCGCGGTTTGTGATTTACAAGTCGGTTGGCCATGAAATTTCAGATTTATTACTTAGATAAACACGCTCTCGCCGTAAATACGTACGTAAAATCGTTTGTTCGTTAACGATTCGCGCTAAACCGCATCAGATGTACCGTTTTTAACGAATTTCGATTCGAAATTCCCGCCATTATTTGACGTTTGACAGTCGACAACGGTTCGGCCGCCATTTTGCGTCGATTTCCACGCCTAACGTCAACGCTTTATGTATGTATCTCGGTTTCAGTCGATTTTCGAAATTCGCGCCAAAATTGACATTTGACAGCTCGAATTCTGTTGGCAACAATTCGGCGGCCATTTTGTATACCGACCTCAAAATGGCGCCCCGCGAGGGATCTTTATCCTTTCATATCTTCCGATTAACGACTATTTTAGGTATATTGAAAAAAAAAAATTAGCCATAATCGATAAATTACCAGTCGCCATTTTAGAGTCGATTAAATCGAAATATCGATTATAATTCCGAATGGTTTTTACGGCTTGTGGCGTCGTAAACGCGCCGGTTTTATGCGAGATATCGCCAATTTTATGGATGTCTTATTTAAAATTACAAAGTAAGCCTGGAAAAGCAGCGCCCTCTGCGCGCAACGAGTATAAAAATAAACAAAACCAAAAAAAAGAAGAAAATAAGAAAAAGAAGATGATGAGGAGAGCTGCGAGGGAAATGAGAGCGCCTCGGGTACAATACCGGCAGATGATTGTACGTCTATTAATTTTTCTAAGGGTACCACTTTTAGTACAGGCGGTACTACTTATCTTTGCTAGACACGATATAATTAAAATAACTGGAAATAAGTAAAGTAGAAATATTACAATAATATTTCAAGTACCTAATACAAAGAGTTAAATAGTACCTTTCGTAATTAGTAAGTACGGTTTGCAAACAAAAGTCTATCAATAAACCTCAAATGTAGCGGGTAATAAACGAGTACTTAATAGTGAAACAGACAGAGCAGGTACCGTTTTATTAACCAGTTACAGTGGTGAAAGTAAAGGGTAGTTTATGACTTAAACGTATTTAATTTTGAACGTTGGTACTTTCTAATAGTACTGAATCAAGAGAGAGGATTCGAATTTATGTGCTAGGGTAAAAACTAGTTTAGAACAGTTTCGACTAGTTTTAAACTCTTACTGTTCAGAGGGAAAATCGTACGATTGAATCGAAGTACTTCGAAGGATTTTCCGGTACCATCCGCCCGGACTAAAACGATTCTCCGCGCCGCTGGATACCCGACGATTATGATTAGAATCCCACTGTTTTATCATCTCCCAAGCCTTATTGTTTGCAACATTGACTAGAGTATATATACAGGGCGTCTCGAAATAGTACCGATAAAGCGTGGAAACCTACAAAAGCACGAAATATAACATTTTTTGCTTTGCAACTCGCATACAATCTGTGACATTTTAATTCGCGTAGAAACCGATAGAAAAAAAAAACCGGTACTACTATAGTACCTATCCTAAAAGGTGAAAGTCATATCGACCGTTCGGCAATAATTCTAAAGAAAGACATTAATTCAGTTGGAACCTACGCGAAACGCGTCATTTTGCATATTTATTTAACGATAAATCGAACACAAATAGACGGCTATGGATTGAATAAAAAAAAAACACAAATGATTAAAATGATTAACGTCAAATGTCAAACGACAAAAACTAATCAACACGTGAAGATGACGTCAAATGTCGTTTTGTCAAATGTCAAACGTCAACGTTTAATCGAAACAGACGACAATGACATGTCAACTGTCAAAAATGGGTTTCTCGACGATCGTGACGCATCGAAAACGAAAATCGATCTGGTCGATAAATAAATAAATAAATAAATCAAATAAATAATATACAATAATCATAGTACCTAGTCGTTCGACGTTCCCGTAATCTCATTTCTCGGCCCAACGGAGCGTTAACTATTTCATCACGAGATAAATCAAAATTCTTTCTTTTGATAATCCTCACAATTGACAAATGACGTTTAAAGCCATTCCTCATTTAAAATGACGTTTTGTACCGTTCCGTGCTCGACGGATCAGAACATCTCAAATGCGACAGTTGAAGTTTCTACATTGACAGATGACACACGTAAATGTGACAGGTGACAGATGACAAATTTGACAGGTGACAGATGACAGATGGCATTGCGTTAAATTCGAGGACGAAATCGTCGATCGGCTTCGAAACGAATAAGCGATGGGAAGAGAAACAGAAGAGAAGAGAAGAAAGAAAGAAAAAAAAAATTAGAAGGGGGCCGCACGATGAGAATTAAAATCGCAGGTAATTACACGGAAAGTTGTGGTGTATAACGTTTTAACGGGTTCTACGTGAGTCATGAGTCATATTTCTCGCATAGACGCGGTCGCGCAACATTTTAAAATGGAAAACGCTCCGAAGTAGGTGGTACCGGATTTTTTTTATATAGTACCGGAAAACTAAATAAATACGAAAAAGAACAATATTAATCAAGACACCGGCCGCAATAATTATCTACAGTTGCAATTATTTAAGAATGACAGTTCATAAATGACATTTGATCAAATGACAGTTGACACTAATGACATTTTCCAGCAAAAATGACAAGTATAGATAATTTAAATCGAGTAATAGAAGTGAATACATAATTTAAAAGGCCTTAACTCTCGTCTCTCCTTTGTATACGAGAGTACCCTCAGAGGTACTCGTAGTATAATATAGAGAAATAAAATGCGCTTTCTCGATATGTGGCGGCGGCGGCGGCTCTATGTCGAAGTCAAAAGGCCCGAGAATCGAGTGAATCGAGAGTCCTGGGTACTTGTAACGTGCGGTTTGTTTATCGCCCCGATAATGGCGAACAGATATGCACCGAAACGTCGACTAAACAAGAAGAATAACGAGATTTATACAGGGGCGAATTCGGCTCAAATCCGTATCGAGTTGGCCGCGATTACCGTATAAAAAGAACTGTCAAAATCGTCCAAGGGGACAAGATAATCTTAAACGTCAAAACTGTCAAAATAGTGAAAATTGTCAATATCGTCAAAACTATAAAAATTCTTAAAACTGTCAAATCTCCAACACTGTTAAAATCGTAAAAACTGTCAAAAGAGTGAAAACTGTCAAAATTGTCAAGTCTCCAACACTGCCAACATCATAAAAACTGTCAAAATTATCAAGTCTCCGAAATAGTTCCGAATCAAATTGGCTACACAATTATGATTCGTCAAAACCGCCAAAAGTGTCAAAACTGTCAAAATGATCAAATCTCCAACAATGTCAAAACTGTCAAAATCGTTAAAACTCATTTTGAAGTTGGTAACGCCTGGTAATTTAAATATTTTTATCGATTTTTTTGCGACGCCGCTGCGTCGAAGAAGGAGAATATATATACATCTCGCATTAACCGAAAGAAGAAAGAAGAAATAGGAAAAATAAAATAAAATAAAAATAGAAAATAAGAAACAACCGCCAGCTAAGATTCGAAGAATGCTTTATTTACATATTCGAGCGTTACTTTACAAAGTGTCTCGATTAGATAGGACGATATCGGTTTCTTTTTGTTCGTATTCCTCGAATCGCTTTATAAGGAAAATGAATCAGAATATCCACTTTACATTGAAAAAAAAAAAAAAATAAATAAAATAACTCTACGCTATATCATCGCTACAAATCGTCTAGTTACACGTCACTTACGTCACACTTGTGTCAAATATTTCTCATCTGTCATAATAAAATCCAGCAACATATTGACAGGTGACCAACTTATAATTTCTAACCCAAAAAAAAACCAGTGTTGCCATTTTAAGATTTCGTATACAAACAATTCGAAATTATTCCGCGGAAATATCAAGCACAGAACAATGGCGAGTTTACACAAAGAAAGAGCATAGGAAAAAAAAATTGTATACGAAGAAAAGCCGAAGTAACGGCACAAAATGAGCCGAAACCCAGAAACCGATTCGATAAGTAGGCGATGTAAACGACGCGCCGGTTGACGTTTACGTCAAATGTTCAATTGTCATTTGTCAATTGTCGAATGTCTAACGAGTGAAACGATAAAACGTTTCTGTATTTATAATCGATATACAGGGTGTGCCAATATATAGCGAATAAAATTCCACTGGAATAGTTTAAAATTAACAATAAAAAACGCGAAATATTATCGTTTAAAAATCGATACGAAAAAGTAACAGTTTTGCGATCCATCCTGTATAACAATTTTGTCAATCCGGTCAATATCTTTATTGTGTATTAGAGATACATTTAAAGATGAATAATAATTAGAATGGAAAATGATTTGTGAATGCGCAACGGTCGTAAAATATTTAACATAATGAATACATTATTTAAATAAACAGGGTGTTGTTGTTTTTCGATTACGAATTTATTAGTGATAAGGAAGTGCGATAATACAATAATAATCATAATACTTATGACAATATTGATTTAATAGTTCAAATACACGTCAATAAGTTCTACAATATGTACGTTAGATGCTTAAATACATTAATAATTTCTTTGAGACATCAATAATGTCGATTTTCTCATTTAAAACGTTAATTTTGTCATTTAAAATGTCACTCGCGCTATTTCAAGCATCACTAGTGTCATTTCAAATGTCAAATTTGGTCATTTCAAGATTAGTGTCATTTTAAACGTCAATTTAGTCATTTCAAGCGTCACTAATGTCATTTCAAAGGTCACTATTATAATTTCGAACGTCAAATTTGGTCATTTCAAGACTAGTGTCATTTTAAAAGTCACTTGCGTCATGTCGATGGTCAATACTGTCATTTCAAACGTCAATTTGGTCATTTCAACCGTCACTAATGCCATTTCGAACGTCACTAGTGTCAATTCGAAATGTCAATTATGACGTTACAAGTCGTCCGGATATAATTTATCGATATATCGGCCGGGTAAAAAAAAAAAAAAAGAAAAAAAAAAGGAAGCGAGTACATTTTCGTGACATAACGGATCCGTTAGAGAAACTTCGTCAGGGTCGAGAAATACTTACCAACATCAGAAAATTATGTAAATAGTAAAAGAGTTCCAAAGGTCAATGGATATTATGTGCTGGTAGCGCAGCGGCGCGACCGCCTATTTTCTCACAAAACTTTCCTATTGTTTTATTTTTTTTATCTATATTTCTCCATAATTCGCCGCACGCCTGAAAATTCGACACTAGTCTCAACTGTCAAACGTGGCAGACGAGAATTATCCTAACGCCTATCAACGTGACGTGATTATGTCAAATGTGACATGATTATGCCAACTGTCAACTGTCAAATGTGACAGACGAGAACAATCCTAATGCGCAGCAACTGTCAAATATGACCCGATTACGTCATATGTCATCTGTCAACTGTCAAACGTGACGCGTTTATGTCAACTGTCCATTCGCGGTGACGTCATTGAACCGAAGTAAGATCAACGACACGAAATTCGTTTCAATCGCTATTTCTTATCTAAATCGTTTCGTTCGACCGCCCGCCGGTACGGATAATGGTACTTCTACAATCGAAGATAACGACGCCGGTACGACCTGATCTATTTATCGACTAATTATCGCCGAGCAGTATACGCGACGAATTTCACCACGGCACTCTCCAACTAAAAAGCCAAGTAATATTGTTTAGTGACGTCATCGAATCTAGCCAATCGCTCGAATCCTACTAATCAGCCAATAAAGGACCGATTCTTAGTGACGTCACCACGCATATAGACTGCTCGATTTCGTACGAGCGTGACGTCACGAGAGGATCGTCTATCCAGTTACTGTGATATTGTGTTATATGTTCGTTGCAGAGGAGTCTATAAACATGTAAAACGACGAGCGGGGAAGGGAGAATTATGGGTACTATCGACAGCGGTACCGAGACCTTATTTTCCGACGAATCCCCCTGCGACCTGGTGCCCAGCCCGTGTTCGGGCGATGACGTCGATGTCCGCACCAAGTTGGACAATCGGACGATCAACGGCCGATCGGCGCCCCCCAACATTCAACCCTACAGCGGCGTACTGGAAAAAGTAAGTACCTATATTCTATAAAATGTCATATATGTAGAAACGTCAAACGTCATAGTTACTACGAAATGTTACCGGTAGGCGTTGAACGGTACTTGGTAAATTTGACAAGTGACAACTTCACTGTATGATTTCTGTTGGATCTAGTAGACATTGGAATAGTTTTCTTCTTCTTTTTCTTACTCATATACATTCCGGCTATTTGACAACACATTCCGGCTATTTGACAACATCGTCGAAAACGTTGACAACTGAAGGAAATCATAGTACTCTTTTACATTGAGACGATTATTATGACAAAATTTTACAGTAGGCGTTGAACAGTCCAACGTTTGTTTTCTTGTGACAAGTGACAACATTACTGTATGAATTCTAATGGATCTAGTAGAAATTAGATAAGTCTTCTTCTTCTTTTTCTTACTCATATACATTCCGGCTATTTGACAACATCGTCGAAAACGTTGACAACTGAAGGAAATCACAGCACTCTTTTACATTAAGACGATTATAAATCGGAATATACACGAGCAGAAAGAAACGAAGAAGAAAAAGAAGAAGAAGAATAAGAAGAAGAATATGGGCTTTTTAGGCCGCCTAGCGCCCGGTTTTCTCCGCCGGTCATTCGGCCGGCTCGTGCTATCCCGGACGTTTAGAAAAAGAGCGAAAGAGACGGAACCATTCTACTTGATATACAGCGTGTCCCCAAAAACGTACACCCAACTTACCTACTAAAAACATACATTTATCACTACACCGTTCGGCAACCATGTAAATGTCAAGTAACAATGTCAAACATTAAACATTTGGCAACAGTGTCGATTACGTAGATGCGCACAAGTCGATGCGCACTACAACTTTATCCCGATGAAAAAACAAAAAAAAAATCAAGTACTTCCAAGTAGTACCTATACAACATTGACAGTCCGCAATATCTTTGGCAATTTTTTATCGGGGACACTCTGTATATATTAGTATACATATAGGTATAACCGCATCGGCACGGCGTGGTGAGCCCGAGGCGAAACAGTCGCCGATCGTGGGAAAGCGAACATAACTCGCCTCTTGGGGTACCCGAAACAAAAACGCAACGACGATATGAGTACCTATTTGTGTGTACGTGTGTGTGCGTTTAACGTTTTTTTTTTTTTGTTTTTTTTTTACGCATCATGGCCGTCCGATGACGTACGTGACAAGTGACATTTGCGACTGTCAATCGACGAATGTGACATCTGTCGATGTCATTAAGGAGCGCGGGGTGATTGCTAATTGCGAGCGAAGGAGGCGCTAATGGTACCGCTTTTTCGATTCCAGTACTATTTTTTATACGTCATTTAGTTTTGCAAGCATGTCTGGTACTATTGCCATTTTTTAATTCGGCATATTGCTCATCTTTAACGCTCTTCGGTACTTCCTACTTCTCGGTGTTGTTCGATACTTTTTTTTTAAGTGTGTTTGGTACTAAATAATTCAATCAATACCATTTTATATTGCTCATCAAGTATGTCTGGTACTATAACAATTCAAACAGTATCATTTTTTTTTAATCCGTCGTATTGCTCATCGTTTAATGTTTTTAAATGCTTCCTAACTCACGCTATAGGTAATTCTTCAGTACTTCTCTGTACATGTCTGGTACCATATTTCAACTCTCGGCATTTCTTCGTATATGCCTAATATCTCAGTACTATTCCTAATTTCTTGGTGATGAAATGCAGTAATAGTACCTCAATATCATTCCTTAAACTTCAACGATATTCATTATTCTTCGCTCGGTACTAATCGAATCGAGTACCGTTCGGTACGCCAATGAAGCCCCATTCAATAAGCGAATCTCGATAAAGCCGCCTTCGTTTTTTTTTTCCTTCGCCATTTATATCCTCTTCTCTTTTTGTTGCTTCTTTTGGTTTCATTCGCTCTCCGTCACAATCACGGCTAACGCGATTGTGCGGTTCTCCTTCTTTTTATTTTAGGCCTTATTTTAGGCTCATTAAAGAGAAGTTACAACATTTCCAGGACATTTAATTAGAGTCGCTTTTCGCATGAAATCAACGGCCACGGCGCACGCGATTCGGTAAATTTTTGTAAACGTCAAATTTAGTACTTTCCATTCGACGTTCTTCTTGTTTACTGGTACTTCTTTTTCCAACATATATATTTCGGATTACTTTCGTCCGAACACTAACCTACCTATAATTTAGGTACCCATTCATCTGGTACCGCCTCGGGCGCTGTAACCATTATATCTAGCGGTTCTTCGGAGACGTCCGAGACTCTATCTGGGTCTTAGTCGGATTGTAATGTCGAATAAATTAACTCATTAATAACAACAACAACAACAAAAAAAATAATAAGCGGATAGTACCGATAAATGCGCGCACTAGTTTCGGGCTTACAGTGGGACACGTCTAAGTTTGACAGGTCGTCTAGACGAAAATCCACTATAGTGACTTTTCTGGGGATTTTTTTTTTCAGTGCGAAACTTCAGGTCTGATCTTTCATATAAAAACTGAACGTAAAATAACTATTTAGTGATTTTTTTGAAGTTTTTGGGGACAATATCATAAAAGAACCTGGTCTTGTACTCGTAAGCTATCCAGCCAACTCAAACAGTAACTTTAATACACTCTATTTTAGTGACTTTTCTGGTGATTTACTCCCATTTTGTTCCCATAAAACTCACCCTAGCCCACTACGACTTAACAGCTACATAGAGAATATGGTCTTGTACTCGTAAGCAATCCAGCCACTTCAAACACTAACTTTAATTCACTATTTATTGACTTTTCTGGCAATTTTCTTTCATTCTAAAACTTTATTTATTATTTAGTGACTTTTCTGGTGATTTTCTTCCGTTCTAAAACTCACCCTAGCCCACTACGACTTTATTTACTATTTAGTGACTTTTCTGCTGATTTTCTTCCATTCTACAACTCGCCTTAACCCACAACGGCCTAACAGCTACATAAAGGACATGGCCTTGTACTCTATAAGCAATCTAGCTACCTCAAACAGTAATTTTAATTCACTATTTAGTGACTTTTCTCCTATTCTACAACTCACCCTAACCCACAACGGTCTAACAGCTACATAAAGAACCCGGTCTTGTACTCTATAAGCAATCCAGCCACTTCAAACACTAACTTTAATTCACTATTTATTGACTTTTCTGGCAATTTTCTTTCATTCTAAAACTTTATTTACTATTTAGTGACTTTTCTGGTGATTTTCTTCCATTCTAAAACTCACCCTAGCCCACTACGACTTAACAGCTACATAAAGAACCTGGTCTTGTACTCTGTAAGCAATCTAGCTAGCTCAAACAGTAACTTTAATTCACTATTTATTGACATTTCTGGCGATTTTCTTCCATTCTAAAACTCACCCTAACCCACAACGACTTAACAGCTACATAAAGAACCCGGTCTTGTACTCTGTAAGCAATCCAGCCAACTCTACACACATTGTAATCCTGGGGTTTTTTCGATTTGTTGCAGGGCAAAGTGGTAATACGACCCATCGCCTTCAAGCCATCGACCATAAACATGAACGTCTCGACGAGATTCGGCATGGCCGGCGAACGATACGGTTCGACGCCGATTCTCACCAGACCCGGCTCCAGACTCACCTTATACGGCAGTAAGTTTATATATTTTCAAGTACATATATACTGTATATACAGGGCGGCCCTCGCTTTTGATCTTACTCGCCCCCTTAGTCTTTTACTAGCTTCCTTTGGGGGCTGTATGAGCGTAAGGTAAAAGGCCGGCGAACGATATTGAAGAATCGTTAACGAATAATCTACAGGGTGGCTTCAGGAATGGGGACTTGGGGACTTGGGACTGTATTGTGGTAAGGTAAAAGGCCGGCAAACTCATATTGTGTACAGATTGCTCCATTTTTCATTGCAACATAGGCTATGGGTGCAACAAAGACAACTCCAATTAAACACTTACAAAAGAATAAGAAAGAGCGACATTATGTCATTGTAACTTTTCACTCTGACAACTGTCATTTTAACAATCTTTCTTTGTTTAACTCATAGAAATGCCCGTGTTGCAATCGCGAATGAAGCACGTTGTGTACCTATTGAATTCGTTTTTTCTAGCTCACCCTGTATTTAAAAGCGCATTTAAACGGTTTATTTTGGGACAGCTTGTATATGTCAATTAAATGTCACTTACGTCATACGAAAGCATCCTGTGTGTTTGTGAACGATTCTGCGGCGGTTTCACGGCTAGCTGGATGTTCGAATTCAAGGTGGTCTCCGATTTCTGGAAATTTCGACCGGATAAATGTCGCGGTATCGATTCGGCGTGGAGTCCGATCGTAAATATCGATCGTTCGGACGAATCGGACGGTTAATTTTCGTTTCGAAACGATAATTTACGAGCCTGTTAGGGACGCGTTTCCGAATTTCTCCGCGTTTTTCGGCGTTTGTCCGGCCCGAAAGGTAGAAATTCACGTGCACGAGCATTAAATTCACTTTAACGTACGCGTATACACCAACTATTTACGTTCTACTAACTGTATTTTCGATTTTATTGTCGATTTTCGAACGGTTACCCTGCATTTTCTTGTTAAAAATTTAAAATTCAACTTCGATATGTCACAAATGTCAAATCTGTCATTTGATGGTAGGTGCGTAAGAGGGGTTACGACATATTTTTATTTCGCTGTGTAAATACTAAAATTATTCTTTTTAGCGTAATCTACGCAATAATAAGTATGTATTTCGTTAAATATAAACATAATCGTAAGAGTAGTATGAACTATTATTGTAATTAACCTGTTTGAATGCAGAAATGTTGTATTTTTAACAAGGTTAATGTATCGTAGAGGGTTAAGACAAGAATAAAAAATTCTTCTTTTTTTTTCATTGTTACATAAAAATTTGATTAGTACACAAACTAATTATGTTATTACCATTTAATTTAAGCACTGGGATACACACTAATACCTATCCTTTCGTATACTCCGTGCTACCAATTCGAGTCTTCTACATCGAGCATCTCCAGCCGCTATTGAAATTGCAAAATGATAATCAAGTACGTCGCCACCGAGCCCAGTATCAAAAACAACACGTTATAATCCACCGGAAAGAACCCGGTCGAAAACCGCACGTTCCTGGCCCTCACGTGTTCGGCCAACAGCAACAACTCCTCCTTGACGTTCTTGCATCGCCCGAACCTCGAGCTCCCTTGGAACCCCAACAATATCTTATAACTCACCAGGCACGTTTTCCTCGCCTCGTTCGACGCGTTACCGCACGGCACCGCCAACATCACGCTAATAACCTACAAAAAAAATTGACATATGTCAATTCGTATGACATATACATGACGTTTACTCACCGCATACTCGACGATACCAAACAACGAAGTCAACAGCAACGCGTCATCCCTCCGCACGACCGTCAGCACTTTCAACAGCGCGCTCGAACCGGCCAGCAAGTTGGCCACGACGCAACCGACGATCATCAGCATCGCGGCGCCGTAGACGTCGCTGACGGCGTCGACGGCGTCGCACAGCTCGTCGTAGCGTCGCAGGAAGAACGTCGCCTCGCCGGCGACCGTTCGAAGCGTATCGCGCATGCGCTCGTTGGCGAATTCCACGGCCGCCTGGATCCTGGCGCAGCAACACCGCACCTGCGCAGTCGTCAGCGCCACGATAAATACCTGTAGACGGTACGAGGAGTGGATCGCGGCGTCGAAGGCGTCGTATTGGAGCGACGACGCCGTGACGTAGACGTCGAATATCCCGATGCACAGTATCAGGCCGATAAAGAGACCCAATTGGGCCGTCAAAACGGTCGGTTTGTAGTCGATCGTTCGTTGGAAATTGGCCTGTAACGTGCGTTCGACGTTGCCGAGTCTCCTCGTTTTTCCGACTAATCGGCGACGTTTGACGAGCACCAAAGTGACGATGCTGGTGACGTTGGTGAGGGCCAATTGGAGGCGTACGATGGTAAACAGCACGTTCGACGTCATCGACATGCCGGACGACCGTTTCGTCCAATGGACGTACGTCGACAGCGCCGACGCCGTCAATTGCGACAGACAGACGACGATCGCGTAGGCGACGTACAACAACGAGGCGCCTTCGTAATCGTACAGATTCGGCGCCGTCACGGCGAATATTTCCGACGATTTTTGCACGATCCGTACGATCGGCAACGTCGCCCACGTCGATTTCGATTCGTCCATGTCGTATCGCCGGGAACCTTTCGAAATAATCCACACGTCATCAATTTCTGTCACCTGTCTTTCTGTCATTCCCTGTCATTATCTGTCATTCTCTGTCAATCTCTGTCATTATCTGTCATTCTCTGTCATTATCTGTCATTATCTGTCATTATCTGTCACTCTCTGTCATTATCTGTCGTTATCTGTCAATTCCTGTCACTCCTTGTCATTCTTTGTCATTGGATCTCTGCCCTTCTTTGTCATTATCCGTCATTATATGTCATTATCTGTTATTTTCCGTCATTCACTGTCATTCTTTGTCATTTTCTGTCATTGTTCGTCATTCTCAGTCATTCTCTGTTATTATCTGTCATTATCTGTCATTGTCTGTTATTCTCTGTCATTATCTGTCATTATCTGTCAATTCCTGTCACTCCTTGTCATTCTTTGTCATTGGATCTCTGCCATTCTTTGTCATTCTCGGTCATTCTGTCATCTGTCATGTGTGACATATAAAATATCTGAAGAATAAATTTGAACTTACCGAGAGCTTGTCGAGTTGAAAGGCGATTGAGTTAATAAATTTTTTTTTGTATCGAGTAGAAATGTAATTTTTGTTGTTTTAAGGGGTTTTAGTACAAGGCCAATTACGATAATGGCTTTACTGTTTTCTCTCTTTTTTTTTTGTACTTCGTACTTGTAGGTGTAATTTGTGTGAGTAATTGAAATGAATTTAATAAATTAAATGAGCCGGCCGATATGAAAAGAAGAGCATTAAATATTAAATTTTCAATTTGCTGTTAGAGTAATGAATTTCTTCCTCAAAAATAAATAAATAAATAGAAAATCGATAAAAACTTCCTTTTAATAAATCAAGAGAAAAAAAGCGTACGTAAATTCATTGAGTAAAATCGCGTAGGCGGAACCTTAATTGATAAAAAATTGACAGCTGTCAATCTATCTAGACGACAACTAGATTGACAACTGTCTAGCCAACTAGATATATGATTTTTATTAACGATAGTTTCGTCACCAGGCAGCAACGATTTGCGACAGGCGCACGCGCTGACCAACTACTCGCTGGACAGGAAGCTGCGCTCGGCGTCGTCGGGCGTCGATTCGCTGGCGTCGTTGCCGCATCGGCGCAACTTGCTCGTCTACGACAGCCTCGACAGCGTCCGCAAATCCCCGGCCTCCCCCGATCCCGACAACAAAGACGCCAACAACAACAACAACAACAACAACAGTAGCAATAGCAACAACGGCATGGCGTCGGCGTCGGCGTCGGCGTCGTCGCTCAACAGCCTGCTCGATCTGACGCCGTCGCCGTCGGATTCGGGCGTTTCGGAACTGGAGGCCGCCCTCAGGGACAGGGACTCCGAGCTGGCCTATCTCAGGCAGACCATGGAGCACAACGAGCAGGTCATCTTCAGGGTCTACCAGGAGAAGGAGAAGGTGTGGGAGAGGGAGCTCAAGCGGCTCAAAACCGTGCAGGTAAAAAAACAAAAAACCTAGCAAAAAACCTAGCACAAAACCTAGCAAAAAATCTTGCAAACATCTAGAAATCCCACATCAAAAAACCTTGCAAAAATCTAGAAACCCCATTGCAAAAAAACCTAGCAAAAAACCTAACAAATGCAAAAATGTAGAAAATCCATAGCAAAAAACCTAACAAAAACCTAGCAAAAACCCCAGCAAAAAACCTAGCAAAAAACCTTGAAAACCTATCGAAAAACCTTGCAAAAAATCTAGAAAACCCATAATTCTAAATCCAAAAACCTAGCATAAAACCGAGCAAAAACCATCACGATTCATTGCGATTTATTCCAGGACAACCGATTGCGGGCCAGCTCGCAGAAGGTCCTGAAGCTCGAGCAAATGCTGATGATGCAAACCTACCAGATCCAGCAGGACAAAAAGAGGATGTGCGCCGACGTCCAACGGTCGAATTTACAATGCGAACGCCTCAGGCAGGAAGTGGCCTCGCTCAAAACCCGCTTGGAAGAGACCGAATGGGGCCTGTGCCAAAAAACCGGCGAAATATCACTGCTCAAAACCCAGCTCAAGGAACTACAGGTACATTACTTGCTAACCTACTAATTTGCCTATTAAGACCTAGACCAAGGCTTAGACCTATGCCTTGACCTAGACCTAGACCTAGACCTAGACCTAGACCTAGACCTAGACCTAGACCTAGACCTAGACCTAGACCTAGACCTAGACCTAGACCTAATTTCTGCTATATTGCAGTTGGAGCAAACGACCAAATGCCAGGAACTGGTCCAAATCCGCTCGGACCAAAAGTACCTGCGCGCCCAATTGGACGACAAAACCGACCAATTGGAGCGCCTCAAGCGTCTCGACGGCGCCTCCGACGAGTCGCCCGAACCGACCCAACACCACCCCCAACACCACCACCACCAGCCGAACCACCGCCGCCTCCACCATCACCAGGCCGCCTGCGAGGAGGCGGCGGCGCTGCGCGACGAGTTGCGCGCCAAGGGCGAGCGCTTCGAGAGCGAACGGCTGACGTGGCTGCAGGAGAAGGAGAAGGTGCTGCAGTACCAGCGCCGGCTGCAGATGAACTACGTGCAGATGTTCCGGAGGACGCGGGCGCTCGAGGCGGAGCTGCAGCAGCTCGGCGTCGAGCTGGAACTCGACCAGAACGGCGTCAAGAGGAAGCTCGAATTGTCGCAGATTATCGATTTATAGGTTATGTTATCGTTTTTTTTTTGTGTTTGCGTGTGTTTGTGGAAGATTTGGATAGGTTGGATCGTTAATTAGTCGTTCCGAACAGTCCAGAACCAGTTCTAAACGATTTTGGACATTTCCAGTTTACCCTGGACAGTTCTATGATCGTACTGAACTGTTTCTCATAGTACTAATCAGCACTGAAATGATCTTGGACATTTCTAGTTTATCCTGGACAGTTGTAAGATCGTACTGAACTGTTTCTCATAGTACTAATGAGAACTGAAATGGTTTTGAACATTTCTAGTTTAATCTGGGTCGTACCGAACAGTCCTGCATCAGATCTAAATGATTTTGGACATTTCCAGTTTACCCTGGACAGTTCCGAATAGCCCAGAGTCAGCTATAAATAATTTTTGGACAGTTCTAAGATCGTACTGAACTGTTTCTCATAGTCCTAATCAGCACTGAAATGGTTTTGGACATTTCTAGTTTATCCTGGACAGTTCCAAATAGTCCTGAATCAGCTATAAATAATTTTGGACAATTCTAAGATCGTATTGAACTGTTTCTCATAGTCCTAATCAGCACTGAAATGGTTTTGGACATTTCTAGTTGATCCTAGGTCGTACCGAACAATCTTGCATCAGTTCTAAATTATTTTGGACAGTTCGAAACAGTTCTAGCGTCATTCTGAATTGTCATATTCAGTTCTAAAACTGGTCCTGGACTTTTCTACTGTTCAAATTCCTTTTCTAACCTGTTCAAATGTACTAGCTCTGCAACATAATACATGTTATGCATAATCACCAATTGCCAAAACTTAGGTAAATACTTCATTCGAGACTTTCCTTTATTGGGACTTGCGAAAATGCGATAATAATCGATAGATAATCGATTTTTTCTCGCGTAGATTTCGATTCTACGGCGAGAGTTAAGAATCGTGACGTTTTCTATTTAATTTGTGATGCGCCTTTTCCTTTAATTATTTATTAATCGCTTTGTATATATTTTATCGCCGAATTTGTTGTATTACTTTTGTAAATATAAATAAAAATTTATTATTACAACTGTCGTTTTTTTGGTATATTTTATTCAACAATTTCCACACGATCAAACAATCAATTAAATAAAAGTGATATCAAACTTTAAAATTCCAATTTCCACGCCGGATTTTCCATTATATCCAGTTTAAGTGCTAAATATCAAATTTGTGCGTTTTTTTGTAACGGAACACCCTGTATATTTTTGCATTTTCGGAACCTCCTCGACGAGGCGATTCCAACGAGTGGTCACACTCTATACTTATCTCGTACAACAAAGGATCTACAGCCACATGAAATCTGGATAAGCAAAATGGAAGTACCTAAAACCTCGCTCTCGGAAACGCCATTTTCGCCTTAAAGGATTTCCCTTTGGAAAATGGCGGCGCGTCGTCATCGCCCAAATTCGTCTGCTTGTTCTGCGGCAGCGCCTCCTGCACGTCCACGACCCTCCCGCCTTTCCTGCTCAAGCAAGAAAACAAAAAAAAATCCCCAAATTAGGGAAACTGTCCCCTTCAAACCGGCAACGCCGCCTCACCTGTACTTGTACCACCAGTACTCGAAGGCCAAGGTGACGCAGGCCAATCCGATGCCCACGAAGATCACGATGAAGACGCCCCCGATGTTCTGGATGCTGATCCCGTCCGATTGGTCGTCCACCTGCTCGCAGTTCTTCTTCTCCGGGTTCTTGTTCCACCACTTCTCCTTCAGCCGCTCCAGCTCGCGCCTGTTCAACAGCTGCAGGATCCTGCAACAACGCACGAGACCTTCTGGTCACCTGCTGAGCAGACCTGGAGGACAAGGAGAGTTCCAGGAAGCAGGTCTTAGGCACTTGGTGGAGGATAACTGGGTTATCAAGTCGATGGAAGCAGAAACATAGATAGGAAGTACACCTAGAGGAAGATGTCCAGGTAAAGGTCTAGATCTGAGGCAAGATGAGATTATGACCAGCTTGGACCTGAAGGAAGATGTCCAGGAGGCAGAATAGGCTTGGAGGATTAATACATGCACTCACGCCGTATTGAATTGATCTTTCAAAGGCGATCCCTGCTGCACCCCGATGGCGTACGGCTTCCTGGAGAACTCCTCGCCGACGGCGGTCAGATCGCAGCTGGTGATCTCCAGGTACTTGACGTCGGTGGCGTCGCCCAAAAAGGCGAAACCCTCGCTCGACGACTTCGACGCCCTCACCCTTCGGACGGCCTCGTCGAGGCTGTCGGGCAGCCCGGCCTCCCTCATGGCCTGCCACATCTTGGTGTACTTGTCGCTCACCGGGTAGTCCCACACGGCCAGCTTCGATCGCTCCACCTCCGACAGGCTGTCGTTCAGGCTCATGTCCTTCCAGATCCTGAAACGCCGATACCAAGCAGGCCCCAAGTACCAAGCAGGCTCTTTCAGTTCCCACCAAGAACCACCTGGTGAGTAATTTGTACTTACTCGTAGAACCTGGCTTCGATGTTGGCCATCCTCTCGAAGTAGGTCTGCACGGAGGAGCCGTTCAACGGCGCGTACTGGATCTTGTACTGCTTGGAGAGATCGTCGAGGGATTCGATGGGTGTGTCCAATCGGGAGACGGTGAGAAAGGCGGCCAAATTGGCCGTGTACGAGGCGATGATGATGAAGCCGAACAACCACCAGGTGGCGGCGACCAGCCGCCCCGACAGGTTCTTGGGCGCCTCGCCGCCCCCTTGGGGCGTCAGCGACGTCATGCAGAACCACAGGCACTCCTTGAAGTTGAACTCGCGTTTCTCCTCGTCGTCCTTGTACTTCTCCCTGTTGTTCTGGTAGCTGTAGGGCGACCATCTGTCGAACACCCACATCAGGAAGCTGGAACACCTGGAGGTTATTTACGTGCACCCACTTGGTGTGAAGATAGAGGACCTGGTGAAGAAGTAAGCGGCTAGAATGCACAACCAAACGTCGTTCTCGAGCACGGTGAGGAATTTGAACAAACTGGTCGGGGTTTCGGGCAGCTTCATCAGTATGGAGATGCCCACCAGGTCGTAGTAGGGCACGGTGAAGTCGATGACGTTCTCGCGCTCCGCCATCACCGACATGGACCCCAAGGCGACGTCGGCGCGCTTCTCCATCAGCTCTTTGACCATGCCGTTCCACTTGCCGTTCTCGTCCATGGTGCCGAACTTGTCCACAGCCACCAGCTCGTAGTCGAACTTCAAAATGTCCGCTATCTTGTCGATCAGATCGATGCAGTAGCCGTTGAAGCCTTTGGGGGCCGTCTCGTCCCTGAAGATGAACGGTTTTTGCTAGAAACATACCAACAACTAGATACCAAGTATTGAACTCTCCCTAGATGTAGTACCTCCACAGTAACCACCCTGTAGACCACATCAGCGGTCAAATTGGACATCACCTTGGGATCCACCAAGGTGAGGTTCCTGTCGAAGCCGGAGGTCCAGGTGCCGAGCGCGAGGGATTTATCGGAGGCGCCTTCTCTGACTCCCACCGAGCTCAGGGTCATCTGGAAGTCCATGTAGCTGAGGCCGTTGGACACCACCGAGATCGGCCCGTAGGTGAACATCTCCGACGTTTCCTGTACAAGTCCAACCGAATTGGCAGGTTCAACGCGAAGCACCTGGGAGCTTACCTTGTTCAAGTACTTCTTCAGGTCCAAGCCCTTCCTCTTCGGCGCGTTGTTCCCGTTGAAATCGTCGCAGGTGATGTAATCGCCCATCGCGTTCTTCCATACACCGTCTGCTATGAGATCCCTAAAGAAATACTATCTATAGAATGTCTTTGGACAAGTAATTTGGTTCAAAGGTCTCTAGATGGTACACCAAGATCTAGTAAATTGGATGAAACGATCACCAAGACCTAGTATTGCGATTTAATAGTAGCTGGAAGGTCCACCAAGACCTAGTTAGCTTGATGAAATGATTACCAAGACCTAGTATTGCGATTTAACAGTCCCTGGAAGGTTCACCAAGACCTAGTAAGCTTCATAAAATGACCACCAAGAGGCTGAAAACATCCGGATACCTACTTGATGGCGATGAAAGAATGCAAAGCCAGATCGAAGTAGAAGGCCGATGCTATGATGGGCTCGGTGTTCAACTGATAGGTCCTCTGCAGGGTGCCCAGCCGGTCCTGGTAGGTGGCGTTCGGCAGCGGCTTCACGTACATTATGGTGGCGTTCTTGCAGATGCACTTCAACTCACCCTCGTCCTGGGTGATGGCGTGCCAGGCGAATTTCCTGCCGAAGATAAACGCCTTAGAAGCCTCGAAAGAGAGCTAGACTGTTCAACGGTACCTGTTGAAGAATCCCAAGGTGTCGGCGGCGTCCAGCACCCGTTTGATGTTCGCGATGCTGGCCAATACGAAGTAATTGTACAAGTCCAGCTTGTTCAACTGGTTCAGCTGCTCCACCACGTCGTTGCCGTCCTTTATAGGCGTGATCAGGTGCCTGGTGGCCACGTTCTGCAGCAAAGACTTGTACTTGTGGTCCATCACTACGAACCAAACCTCATGTTAGAGGATTCCTATAGGTCCCAAGAACCCCCAGAGCGCCAAGAACCACAAAAGTTTATAGAACTCCAAGTACCACGAGAGCCCCAACAGTTCCAAGGACCTCAGTGAACTCAAAGACCTCATGAACTACAGGATTTCAAAGAATCCCAAGAGCTCCAAGAATATCAACGAATTCAAAGACCTCATGAACTCCAGGAGTCCGAAGAACCACAAGAACTCCAAGTATATCAACGAATTCAAAGACCTCATGATCTCCAGGTATCTAAAGAACCTCAAGAGCTCCAAGAATACCCAAATTCAAAGACCTCATGAACTCCAGGAGTCCAAAGAACCCCAAGAGCTCCAAGAACACCAACGAATTTAATGACCTCATGAACTTAGGTAGTCCAAAGAACCCCAAGAGCTCCAAGGACCTCAACGAACTCAATGACCTCATGAACTCAGGTAGTCCAAAGAACCCCAAGAGCCCCGAAGAAACTACCAAGAACCCCCAGGACCTGGAGCACCAAAATAGCTCTTACCGAAGGAGGTATCGAACAAAATGGCGGCGTTGGTGACGTTCTGGTTGAGCACCAGCGAGCGCACGATCTCCGGTATGACGTCGGCCGGCGGACAGATCTGCACCAGGTAGTCCTGCTCGTCCTGGTCGATGTTCCGCCACTGGCGCAGGTCGCCCTCCTGGCCGAAGGAGGCGCTGACCGTCGGCAGGCCCAAGGCGGCGGTGAAGCTCTTCACCGTCTCCGAGCCGAGGCCGGTCATGGTGGTGTCGAGCACCAGGTGGGGGTAGACCTGGGTCTGCAGCAGCTGGTTGTACGTGGAGCATACTGGAATGTTTAATGCGGTGGGGGGGGGGGATTAGTGAGGAGGGGGGAATGGGGAATTGTTAGTCGAATATGTCCGCTGTTGTTAGTAGAGATTTTTTTTGAAACGATTTTTCTTAGTACGTCTCTGATTTTTGGAGTGTATGTATCGACAGGACCGTATTCAGGAATATTCGAATATTCGAAAAATTAAATTTATAATGGCGGCAAATTGACCAATTGGTTTTTAGTCTAAAGTACACAAATTTCTGAAATACATCCCTGTATTGTCGAGTCTATTTATCGACAGGACCGTATTCAGGAATATTCGAATACAAAAAAAAATCAATAATTCGAATTATTATATGTTTAAATAAATTTCTTAAATACAGCATTCGACTCAATTTATCGACAGGACCGTCTGCAGGAATATTTGAAAAAAAATCTCTTAAATACGTCACTGTTTTGTCGAGTCTATTCATAGAGAGGACCGTATTCAGAAAAATTTTAAAGCAAAAAATTAATATTAAATTCGCCAATAAATTGTATAATTTCTAAACAAACTTTCGTAAATACAACCCTGGCGTAACTTCAAACAATATTTCTCGACAGAATCGTACTCAGGAATATTCGGATACAAAAAAAAAAAACAATAATTTGAATTGTTACATGTTTAAATAAATTTATTGAATACATCCCTGTTTAGTCGAGTCTATTTATCGACAGGACCGTATTCAGGAATATTTTAAAGCAAAAAAAAATATTAAATTCGCCAGAAAATCGTACAATTTCTAAACAAATCTTCGTAAGTACAACCCTGGCGTAACTTCAAACGAAATTTCTCGACAGGACCGTATTCAGGAACATTTGAAATTACCTAACTAACTAATTTCAGAATTTCCTAAATACAACTCTGCCGCTTTCGATACAGGACCGTACCGGAAAATATTCCCTAATTCACACCGACTTACGTGAATCCAAAAAAGAATTCGAATCCGTCCTATTCCCTACCACGCGCCTCAAATCGACGCTTATTCCCAATTTGGTGTTCTTTTTGAGGTAAGTTAGAGCCACGTCTAAAGCTCTATCGGCCACCTCATTGCCCTCCTCGTTCACAAACACTAAAAAAAACGACAAAAAAAATTAAAATCGGGGCGATTTTTCGTGATTTTTCGTTACCAGGTCGGTACTTAGGAGTGGGTACTTACAAACGTTGATGTTTTGGGTGGTCTGACAGCGCCCCTCTTGGGCCACCAGCAGGAGGAAAAGGGCCAGTCTCTTTATCATCTTTATAATCTTTATTATCTTTATTATCTTTTCGCGTGGATTTCCCAGCGGGCTTCGATGGAATTTGATGGGGAAAAATCGATCGGGCTGGATATGTTGCCATAGAAAATCCGTCGAATGTACACACACATGGGCCTTTTATTGAACCGTTAATTATTAATCGTATGTATACACAGGAGGCTATGAAAGGGATTCGTTTTCGTTTCGAATTGAATGTTAGTGGAGAAATAGCGTATTCGAATATTCCTGGATACGGTCCTGTCGATAAATTTGGCTCGAAGCGACAGGGGTGTACTTGGGAAATTTCTTTAAAAATTGTACTATTGGCGTTTTAGTGTATTTTTTTCTATTCGAATATTTCTGTATACGGTTCTGTCGATAAATTTGGCTCGAAGCGACAGTGGTGTACGAGGAAAAATATTTCCAGTTTATGGCATTATAAATTTTATTTTTTGCTTTCGAAATAATCCTGAATACGGTCCTGTCGATAAATAAAGACTCAAAAAGACAGGGTTGTATTTAAGAAATTCGTGCTATCTGAGATGGAAACATTTCGATTTGCAGGTATTATAAATTGAGTTTTTTACTTTCGAATTATCCTGAATACGATCCTGCGAAAAATAGTATCTAAAAGACAGGGATGTATTCGAGAAGTTTGTGCACTTTGGAGTAAAAATATTTCGATTTTCTGGCATTATAAATTTTTCTTTCAAATAATCCTTAATACGATCCTGTCGAGAAAGTATCAAAAAGACAGTAATGTATTCGAGAAGTTTGTGCACTTTGGGGTAAAAATATTTCGATTTTCTGGCATCATAAGTTTTATTTTTTAACTTTCAAATACTCCTAAATACGGTCCTGTGGAGAAAGTCTCAAAAAGCCAGGGACGTATTCGAGAAATATCCTTAAAAATTCGGCTACATTGTTCAAAACAAAACAAAACTATTATACCCCTGTATATCGAACACCAATCTTTCACCTTTAAGAACATAACATACATAAGATAAGAACATTTCGACTCAAAATCACCCCAAACTCCCCCTTTTAACAACCCATTAAAACAAGCACATAATTACTAAACCACCTCGTATACTCGCATCCCATTCACAAAACAAATCGATCAAGTAGACTTCTATATTTACATCCTACAACAAACCACCCGTAAGTTATGCAACCAGTTTAACAACAACACATCCCACTTCTACACGCTTATAATACACACAAAAAACGACCTCTTCTCCGTCATGCAATCCGTTCCCCCACGGCGAATTTCGTGCTCTCAAACCGCGCCAACGACGCCCCGACGCGTCGACCGACCTCGCCGAAAAACCAGCGTCGCGACGCCCTCGCATCGCCGACGCCTCGACCGTCCAAATACCCCCCGAGCGCGCCCCATTTACTCTCACAAGTCACAAACTTACAACTCGCTACAACTCGAATATCAATCGAAATCGGTTAAAACGGTTGTGACAGCTGTCAGCCGTCCATCATTTCTGGCAGCGTTACGTCACGGACCGGCCGACGCGATGCGGATAGCAGAATCGGGGTAGGAAAGCGGCGCACCCTTCGATCGTTTCGAGATGTTTATTCGAGAGTTTATTCGAGCGCGGGAAGTCGTCGAGGAGGCCGCGACTGCGCCGGGTGACGGGAGAACAGAAAGGGCGGAGGCCGGCGGGGCGCCCTTTTTTCGATCGGGTTAAAGAAGATAAATAATAGAATAAATAAAGAAATAAACTGCTCGGCGAAAGTTGAGGAAGTTAGGCGAATTTTGCGATTTATTTAATTACTCGTTTAGAACGCTCCAGAATCATTCAGAACTGTTTAGGACCATTCAGAATTCTCCAGATTCGTTTAGAAAGCTCCAGAATCATTTAAAACTATCTAGATTCAAGATTCTAGATTCTAGAACAACTGGGAACGCTCCAGAATCATTCAGAAGTGTTCAGAACCATTTAGAAATCTCCGGACTCGTTTAGAACGCTCCAGAATCATTCAGAACTGTTTGGAACCATTTAGAACTATCCGGACTCGTTTAGAACGCTCCAGATTCATTTAGAACTGTCTGGAACCATTTAGAACACTCCAGAACGCTCCAGAATAGTTTAAAACTGTCTAGAACTAAACTGCTCCACAAAAGTTCGCAAATTTCGCGATTATTTAAAAAAATCCAACCGATATTTTCCAAATAATTAACCGATCGAATCGATCAATCAATTGATCACACGTGGTACAATTGTAATGAGAATAATAATCGAATCATCCGGTTTAATTCGCCGAAATCCCATTAGAATATATACATTCTATTTTCGCACCGCGATAGAACCGGAGCCGACCGGATTTTCGCGCAGGCTCCCCTACAATATGTTGCCCCACTCCGCCCGGATTTTCCTCTCCCTTTCGACGGCTCAATACCCCCGACGATTTCCCCTCGACTTCCCTATTTATACGAATTTTATTGCCCTTTACTGCACGCGATGTATGTATATTTCGAATCGCCCTCGTATTGTATAATTCTCGTTTGAAATGTATTTGTATTTGTATATTCATTAAAGGTCGTTGTATATTCGCCTTTGTAAAAAGCGGATATGTTTTAATGGTGTAATGGTGTATTTTTGGCACTATATAATGTGTATTTTTTTTTCTAAATATTTATTTATTAATTTCTAATCTATTAAATATTCATTAAAGTCCAATATTATTCAATAAAGTCAACTGTATATTCGTTAGTAAAGAAGGTATAATTTTTTAATATCTATTGAATATTCATCAAAGTCCAATGTTATTCATTCAAATCCAATGTTATTCATTAAAGTCCATTGTTATTCATCAAAGTCCAACGTTATTCATTAAAATCCAATATTATTCATTAAAGTCCATTGTTATTCATCAAAATCCAATGTTATTCATTAAAGTCCATTGTTATTCATCAAAGTCCAATGTTATTCATTAAAGCCCAGTGTATATTTGTTAAATAAAAGTGCATAACTATTAAAAAATCTATTAAATATATTCATCAAAGTCCAATGGTATTCATTAAAGCCCACTTAATAATCGTTAAATCACTACAATCCTCGAAAATCGCAGTTTATTTATCGAAAAAATGGCGCTTTAACACGTCGCCTGCCTGAATCTCCTGTGACTAGATTAATTACTAAATGCAATCGAAATTTCCGACGATATCTAATTACGAAACTCAGAATATACGGGGAAAATGTTAATCCTTCAATTCCAATTACGTCGGCCATATTGGATTGTTAACGACCGTAAGATTATCATTAATAATTATAATTAAAAAACGAAAAAACGCTCGGTAAGCCGTGGAATCGAAGCCGCCTTGACGCCCGATTCTGCAACAAATTCCTCCCTTTTATTGTATTTAAAGTGGCCTCTAACGTCGCGGTTATTCGGTAAACCTTCGAACACGCGTTAATTAATTAATTAGCGTGTTAATTAAGGTAAAAAAAACAATTTAGTACAGTATAAGTAAGTTCCATGAGAGTCGTCGATGAGCCGAGAACCGGTGCTGGAACGCGTTTCGGATCAATTAGAGCGCGTCGAAATCGCCTCCATTAGAGCGGGGCCCGGTTCGACGATGAGCAATTAATTTTATAATTGCTAATATAATTAGGCGAGAAATATTTTTTAATATTTTATTTTTTCTATATACACCGCACATTAATAACCGGACGACCGTTAATCGACCAATTAAATCGAGCTGTCGATACGAAATAATTGACATATATGACAAAAATGACAGTAGTGACATTTGACAGTAGATTACTTACAATTGATTTGATAAGTGAGAGTAGATTGGATTAGAGTAGAGTAGATTTCCAAAAATTGAGATGTAGCGAGTGACAAATGACAGTAGATTACTTGGAATTGACGTATGAAAGGTGACAAGTGACAGTAAATTAGGTAGGTACTTGAACTTGGTATATGACAAGTGACAGTAGATTACTTATAATTGACATATGACATAAGACAAGTGACAGTAGTTAACTGACAATTGACAAGTTGGAAAATCTGGTTTTTTCGATCTGTTTTATTTTATCGCGTTGTCATCGTATTATCATATGGTGGAATCGATTTCGATTCCGGAATGTTTGTGAAATAGTTAGCAATCACGATCGGAATGGAAAATAATCGCCATTTTAAAATATCTAACGATTTTCGGATAATTCCGCCATGACGCGGTCGAAACGAAAAAAAAATTCTTGTCTACATTTTGTTTGGGTACCGTGATTTGTTTGTTTTAAATGAAAACGAGATTTGAAAGTTTCCTACAATTTTCAGGACGTATGCAAAAGGAAACGAGCTCGCCGATTTCTAATCCAACGCTATTTTGATCTACTTTTGACAACTATCCTACAACAAAGAACCCACATAAAAACCAACAACCTCTCCGAATACCCGAAAAAACTCCCAAACCGAGCATTTTTCGAAAAAAACTCATTCTTCCAAAATCAAAGCCGACAATTTTTCCCATCGAACCAACCAAACCGCGCACCTCCACCCCCGCCCGTTCCCGACCTACCCTCGATTCAATTAACCTATTCTTCACAACCATCCTACAACAAAAAAACCACCAACCTCTCCGAAAACCCGAAATACCTCCCAAACCGAGCGTTTTTCGAAAAAACCCCACTCTCCCAAAATCGAAGCCTAAAATTTTCCCCACCCAACCCACCAAACCGCACTCCTCCACCCCCGCCCGTTCCCGACCTACCCTCGATCCAAGCGACCTAAAAAAAACCCACATAAAAAAACCACCAACCTCTCCGAAAACCCGAAATACCTCCCAAACCGACCGTTTTTCGAAAAAACACCACTCTCCCAAAATCGAAGCCCACACTTTTCCCCACCGAACCGACCAAACCGCACCCCTCCACCCCCGCCCGTTCCCGACCTACCCTCGATCCAAGCCGTCGCCTTTCCCACCGTCGAGCTCGCGCAGCCATCCTCCCGGCCCGGCCCGCCGCGACGCCCCCGCCCGACCCGGCAACGCCGCCGCCGCCCAGCTGAGCCGGCGTACGCGGCGCCGCGACGGCGCGCGGGGAACGCACCGGCGCAGGGAGGGAGCGAGGAGGGGGGGCCCCCCCAAGCGCAGAAGAAGGGGCCTTTTGCCGCATAGAAGCGCAGATCGTCTGGCATTCGCGAGTTGCAGGGGCTGCGGGAGAGACGCACTCGCAGACGGAGGGCCCTCGCACAGGGTCGGCTCCAGTTCGAATTATTCCACGAATTATATATATACATTTAATCGAATTTAGTGGTTTTTTTTTTCGAGAGGGCTGTGATTTACAGGGTAGAAGAGAGGAATATGGAGGTGGTTGATAAAGGGGGCCCCCCGCCGCCCCCGAGTCCTCTTACAGGGTGTTATCTGCTTATCGTAGTCGGGGAACCGTACGATGGCCGGCACAAGGACATTATCCTGCAAAGGATCGTCAAAGGTAAATCGATTTTTATCTACTTTTTTTTAATTATTATTATTATTAGTGTGTATCAAATCGATATACACGGTATTGATAGCGTAATTAATTAGGTAATTAATTAAAATCGATGTGGGTTGTGGATTGTATCGAGCTAAATTTAGTGTATTAATATTTAATTAATACACTAATAATGCTACTATATAGTTTAATAAATTTTTTGTATAAACACTTTATTAACAATAAAATCTTGTATGATGCATATAGTAATAAAGATAAGGTGTGTGGTTAATTGTATCTATAAGAAAATTTTTGGGAAAATTCCATTTGGGAGAAAATTCACTAAAATAAATTGGGAAAATAATATTAATAGGTGATGTAGTGTTGGATATAAATGTATTATATTATATAGGGAAGGAAGGGGCACGGAACGTTTTGTGTGTCTGTGTGTGTATAGGTCAAATCGATTTTTAGGGTTTTCTGTCGCCGGTCGGTGTTCCGTGGAACGCGGAGAAAAGCGAATAACCTCTCGGAAAAACCGGCTGGGAAATTCACGACGAATCGATAGAGATTTTTCGGTGTTTTTTCGTTCGAATTACTTTTTTGGAAAATTCGTTATGGGATTGTTTAATTTGTATTTCGTTTATTCATTAAACTTTTCCCCTGTATTCGTTAATGACTCCTGTATATTCATTAAAAATGATCGTATATTCATTAAATATTGCCTTATATTAGCGCATATTCACTAAAAATTATCGTATATTCATTAAATATTGCTTTTTATTAGAGTATATTCACTTAAAATGATCGTATATTCATTAAATATTGCCTTATATTAGCGTATATTCACTAAAAATGATCGAATAATCATTAAATATTCCCTTATATTAGCAAATATTCACTAAAAATTATAGATTATTCATTAAATATTGCCCTATATTACCGCCTATTCACTAAAATTTATCGTATATTCAATAAATGTTGCCCCTATATTCACTGTATATTCACCGAGTATTTCTTATAAGATTGCTATATATTTATTTAAAGAAATTACTGTATATTTCCTACCGTATGTATATTCATTAAAGATTCCTGTATATTCATTAAAAATGAACAGTAAAATTATTCAAAATTTACCAAAATTTATACTTTCTCTTCTTAATAAAAAAGAAATACAAAATGAATTCTCCGAATGAGAGAAATAAATTTCGCTAATTATTCCATTTGCAACATACATAAATACATAAACGAGTACTTATAAGGAACACAACGAATGGGACGATAAAAAAATAAAATTAATAAAAGAAATATGCATTACTCGCCGAAAAGTTAACGACCGAAACGTCCGTCGCATATTAAATAATGTATATTTTTATATATACAGACGTAAGTCGCATACCAATTCGTGTATATCCAGGCTAGACTTCGATTTCGAATTTTTTTATTCCTTATTTAACTTGCTTACTAACAAAACCGTCAAACATGTCACAAATGTCAAATATGTCAAGAGTATCAAAACTGTCAAATATGTCAAAACTTGATAAAAACTGTCAATTATGTCAAAAAAGCCACGTTCACAAATGTCAAACGACCAATAATTGTCAAAATTGTCATATTCATATCGAATTGTTCAATTATCTTTTTTTTCTATTCGTTTTCACTTTCTATTTCTTCCTGATTAAGAACTCATTTCGCGTTTAAACAAAAAAAGGGGAGCCGGCGATTTTCGTGCATTGTGAAGGGGAACCCGACTCATCGCACACACAACGAGACTTTGGCCTTTAACAATACAGAACCGGCAGCCAGGAAAATTCCATCGAAATATTATTTAAAAACGTTATAAAATACTCGCAATTCCACTTGAAACTTGCCAATTTTCCCATGAAATTAAAACGCAAATATGGAAATTTTCAATTTTCTCGACAGTTGACATGTGACAAATGACGTGTGACAAATGACATGTGCCAAATGTTGTAATTTAAGTAGTTTTTTTGTAGGAAGAGAGCAATATAAGTAAGATGAAGATAGACTAGAAGGTAGTCATAATAGACTAGTGACAAATGACATGTGACAAATGACGTGTGACAAATGACATGTGACAAACGACGTGTGACAAATGACATGTGACAAATGTTGCAATTTAAGGAGGAAAATAGGAAGAGAGCGATGTAAGAAAGACGAAGATAGACGAGATATTCGCCATTTCTGTCGATGTAAACGAAGTAAGTTTCGAAGTAGGCTGTGCGAGCAGGAGGTTGTTTCGATGTAAATAGGTGAAATGCAGCAGGTCTACCTCTCGAAATGCGTTTATCGATCCGTCTGGTTAGGGGAGGAGGAATTTTCCGGCGGCATTTTCCCCGACCGGCGCGCATCCCGTTCGCTTTTCATCTCGTTTTTCCCACGATTTTCCGCTGCGATCGCGAATTTTTGTTTTTTTTTTTCCTCTTTCTATCTTCTTTATTTCCCGGTCCGTTTCGCCTTCCTTTCGCCCTCCAGGTGAAGCGACAAAACGCCGGGAAATTGGCTTTTACTCGGCCGAATTCGAGCGATAATCGTTCGGGAAATCGTCTCCGATTAATTGGCTGTTTTACCCGTCGAGTAAAAGTCACCGCTAATCGCAAAAAAAACCGATTTCAATTTAACCAATTTAACAGACGACAAATGACGTACGACATATGACAGATAGAACGTATAGATAATAGAATGACAGATGATTGATGACATATGATAGAACGACAGATGACAGTTCGAAATTGACATGCCGCAGATGACAGGTGATAGATGACAGCTGACATTTGACAATTTTGACGTGTCGGTCATCGAAATGGAGCGTAAACGATTTTGAGAGGGTTTATGAAAAATCGTTTCTAATTATAATCCAGACGGTCTTTATTTTTGTGATAAATTAGGTAGCCATTTCGAGTGGAATTGGACAAGTTAGGCATAAATGGCAGTCGATAAATATACATTATTTGGAAGTTTTTTTATTGTTTTTTTTTTCGAATTATAACGGAGTATTCGGTCGTAAAAATAGAGAAAAATAATGGGAAATAGGAAAGTTTCATCGCTTTTCCGATACATATTTAACGGATTTAATCAATTAGATTGTATTGGAAGAAGCCAAAAAAATGGGGGAATTTCAATTTGTCAAGTAGCTACTACACACGTCATTTGTCTGTTGTCGTTTGTCGCTTGTCATTAAACCATATTTCAGTGAAAAATTGATGTTTTATGGGGCGAAATTGGGAGACAATTTTTGACTAGTTTTTTTTAAGATAATAAAATATTTGGGGTGAAAATTGGATACAATTACGACGAAAATTAAAGAAAGGAGGGTCGAAATGGGCTCAAAAGGAGCCCAAAAGAGGCTCAGTCAATTAGCGAATCTTGTTCTTTTCCGGGCTCTGGAAAATGTGCTGATGGGGCTTTTCCCGCATTACAAAAAAAATAAAGGAAAACGATCCGGAGGCGCGGAAAAGGCGTGGGAAAATCGCCCCCACATTTTTCCTAAACGAGCTCGTTTTCTAACTATTTCTTATAATATTTCCAATTCACTAAATAAATTATATATCGGGAAATAATTATTAGAAATATCAGAAGTGGGATTAGGAATTTTTTTCAAATCAGAAGTGGGATGAAAACCTAAACTTACTTCTACTGCAACTTTTTAAGGACAGTAAAATCGAACACCCTGTATATGTTTTAATAAGAAAGAAATCGATCCTTTTTTCCATTCACGGCCGGCTAGTTTCGCAGGAGTATCGATTCCCAACAACCTACTTATTGTACCCATCGTGGAAAAAAATTTCCCTCGCGTATAAAATTTCCCTGCTCGATTTTCCCGATCAAAAGAATCGGCAACGAGTCCCATTATTTTCTATAGCGCCCGAATTTTCCTCCGGAATACAAAAAAAAAACGATTTCCACAAGAGGAAATTTAGAGCAAAAATTTCTTGACAAGTGAAAGTCGCAATAGATCAGTTACAAGTGACAGGAGACAAGTGACAAAAATAGGCGAGCGATAGATGACCAGTGACAAGTGACAAACGAGATTTACAACGTTAAATATACAGGGTGTCCCAAATAAAAATCAAATTATATAAAAAAAAATTAATAAAACTTCTTGACAAGCGGTAAGAGAAAGTCATAATAGTTAAACGACAAGTGACAGGTGACAATAGACAAACGGTTAGAGACAGGTGACAAGTGACAAATGAGATTTACAACCGTAATTATAGGAGATTGAGACAAAGTGTGCGGGGAAAAGCGATTTTTATTTATTACCCGTCGGAAAAGCGGGGCTAATATGACGGAAAATCGATGGATGTATATACGCACGGCCTACGTTGTTATTTGTTCCGAAATTCGGTTCGGAAAATAACGTATTGGATTTCCCGGCGAATTTTCTTTTCGATTCTGTCGAGTTTTATCCTGGAAAAGCGTCCTAAAAACCCTTTCCTTGGATTGATGTTTTGCTTTGTTCAACGTCAACAAGGGATATTGTTTCTGGACAAGGATTCTCCAATTGAAATAAAATTATATAAATATATAATACAGGGTGTCCCGATGAAAAGTAGCCCCTTTTTCCAACACCAAACCATCTTAAATAACTTCCCTAAATCCTTCGCTCAGTACAAAAGCGCTTTCTAGATTTATTTATTTCGGTTTAGAGACGAGCGAAAAACAAAACCAAAAAATCAAAAAAAAAACCCAAAAAAAATAAATAAAAAATAAAAAACATCAACACGTGCACTCGCAAACATTAAGTGGATTCGAAGATGTTCCGTTCGTTTTGCACGTGGAAACCGCGACGGGTGAGTTATCGCCCAAACCTACAGGGTGTCCCAAAAAAAAATCCCGAACTCCCCGAAATCAAATGACAAAAAAAATCCCAGTCATCCGTGGAAATAAACATCTCAAAGCACGCTCGATTTACACGCTCACTTTTTTTTTTATTTCCAATACATTCCATTTTAACGAGTCCGTTAAACGATTTTTATTCGGGACACCCCGTATATACCGGCGCTATTAATAAAGCGGGTTATTTTCGAATCAACCTATCCTAACTGTAAAGCCTTTGAGTTCGAGTTAAATTCGTCGAGGTTTGTCGCCCCCGGGGGGGAATCCTCTATTTTCCAGGCTATAATTAAAACTGGAAATTTACAGCTGGAAAAATATCGCGCTCTTTTTACTCAACTTTCATCCATTTTTTTCTCTAAAGATCAATCGTTATCTTATGAAATTTAAAGCCACCTAAAACTTCCCCCTTTCTTTTATATTCTTTAACATTGATCGATAGTCCATCGAAACAAAGGAAAATCGCAATTTGTCCTATTAACAGGAACAGGAACATTCTCATTGGGCAAACAGGATAAATTGGATTGTGACGTGGCAAATCCTTATGAACGTAAATCCCCGGAATTATCCAGTTCGATTTGTACAACTTCTCTTCGGCAACCGGAATTAGGAAGAAAAATCCATTTTAGATCGAAATTAACGAGTTTCCAACGCTTTTAAAGATTTTTAGAAGTTTCCAGATTTTTTATAAGCATTCCAGACATTTTAGAATATTACAGATGCTCTATTATACCTCGTAAATGCATCTTTTAGCCCGAAAAAACGAGTTTTCAACACTTTTGAAGATTTTTAGAAGTTTCCAGATTTTTTTCAAAACATTCCAGACATTTTGGAATATTCCAGATGCTCAATTATACGCTGTAAATGCATCTTTTAGCGCTCCGCATCGTGCATAATTCGCGCGTCATAAAGGGGTTATTCTCGTTAATATATATTAAAAGCTTTCCAGGAAAGGGGAGTTAATTCGGATTGACCTCATTAAACGGCCGGTAGTGCTTCGTTAAAGGAACATAAATTTTAAACCTTTGCCTTTGACGACCGGCGGGCGTCTCGAGGCTCGATTGTTCAAAGGCCAATCTGGAAAATCTGGATGAATATAAAACGTTGGTAGAACAAAGAAAAAAAAACTAAATAAAGACCTTGTCGCGGTAATCGAGATGTACTACGTAAGAAAAGGAAATCGATAAAACCACTGTCCGTTTCGTCCTATCTCTCTCACACTCTCTGGATATTCTCTCTGGATATTTTATCGCGTCTGGATGGAGTTCACCCGTCTTCCATTGCTTTTCCGCAAGTTTAATCGCCGTTGACTCCGCATTTCGACAATTCAACTGAGTGTTTTGTTTTTTTAAAGTGCATCCAGAAAACGCTCTTTTATTTATTCCCGTCTGGAAATTACGCGAAAACCTATACAATGCAGAAACGTGGAATTTTCTAATTTACCCAGATTTTATTTCATTCCAGGACTTCTATCATGGAACAGCAACGACTGCTTAGTAGACTTGGAAAAAGAGTTAGCCATTATCACCGAGCAAGCCTTGGAAGGAGAAGAAGCTAGATTCGGTGAGTCCCAATCCAGATTCTTTAAGACCTTTCCCGATGCTTTCATGGACTTCCAGAACCTTTCAGACATTTCCAAATCCTTCCAAAAACCTTGAAGATCCTTACAAACACTTCTAGATTCTTAGAAAGCCTTTCCAGATCCTTTCAAGATACTTACAGAACCTTTCACACCCTTCTACATCCTTGCAAAAATGTCTAGAATCATCCAAGACCCTTCCAGATTCATTTCCAAAACATTTCCAGCCGTTTGTAGCCTTTTTTTCTATCGCATCCAGGAGAGCGACTGATCCAATTCGCCTCGGAGAACTTGGTCACGGAGATCCTGATCCATCCGGCGGTGAGCACGCTGGCGCAATGCGCGCGCAACCTGCTCAGCAGCTTCACCAGGCACAGGCACCTCGTGCACGCAGGCTACACCTTCGCAGGCAACGGTTCCTGGGCCTTGCAGGTATTTACCTCCTAGCTCGTTTCCAGGTTATTCGAATGATTATGATGACAATCTGGCGGTTTCCAGGACGGCACGTTCTCGTACGCGGACTTCTCCGAGGCCTTCCAGGAGCTGGAGGTGCAGCGGGTGGTGAGAGCCTACGAAAACGGCATCACCATGGACGTGCACTGCGCCCCAGAGGGCGACTGGATCAGGCTGGGCAAGGAGCCGTTCGCCAGGAGCTGCAAGATCCGGGTCAACCCGTCGGACGTGCTCTCCTCCGGATCGCCTGCGATCGGAGCTTTCGTCCAGTACCTCTCCCAGTATCTGGTTCCCACGGCTTTGGACAACCTGCTGGAGAGCTCCGACGTGGTGGGGAACATCAGGTTCTCCAGGCCGACGTTGTACGTCTTTCCAGGCGGGCAAGGTGCGTCACATAGATGTTCCTAGATGGTCCAAATGATGCAGCTAATCTAGCTGATCCAGCTGGTGCAGTAAATGTTATTTTACCGAGTCTTGTGTTCCAGGTGACACGGCTTTGTTCGGTATAAACGGTTTCAACATGCTCCTGGACGGCGGTTACTCAAGAAAGGCGTGCTTCTGGGACTTCGTGAGGCACCTGGATAGGCTCGACGCCGTGCTGATGACGAGACTGAACAACAGCAACGTAGGAGGCATCAGTTCGGTGTTGAAGCGCAAGCGACAGGGCGCCTTGTACCCCCAGATCGGCCACTTCTTCTGCAACCTGCAGGAGAGGAAGGCCCTTCTGAGTCCCGACGGCGACAAGGACAAGGACCCGTTGCTGATCGATCTGCTCGACGAAGGCCAGGAGATCGTGTCCAACCTGCGCCACTTGCACCTCACGCCGCAGGTCTGCTACAGAGACACCGAACCGGTCAATCTGTACCACAAAGTAGGCCACGGTACCTTAGACATGTACGTCCTCAGTCCGGCCAAGGAGTCCAAGGAGGTGAAGGAGTTCCTGGTGAAGTGGAACCACCACGACCAGAAGCTGTTCGCCGGCTCCAAGTCCAACAGGGAGTTCAATTTCCCCTTGCAGAACTTAATCTCGGTGGCTGCGCTGCTGGTGTGGCGGCCCGCCGATCCTGCTGATACCATCACCAGGATCCTCTATCCGGGCAGTTGTCCGCAGAGCAAGATCCTCGAAGGCTTGGACCGATTGAAGAACCTGGAGTTCGTGAAGCAGCCGGTGTGCACGGAGAAATCCCTGGCTCCGGTGAAGAAGTCCCCCATGGAGAAATTGTCCAAATTGCCGGGCGAGAAGAAGGAGAATAAGCTGATCGAGAACGATCTGCCGCCTGTGAACGGTGACGTGAAGCCTAAGCTAGCCGAGAACGGAGACAAACCTAAACCGAAACCGCCCAAAGCTCAGAAACCTAGAGGAGACTCGCAGCCGAGGAAGAAACCGCAGCTGGTAGTCGAAAAGAAGTCGCCCACGCAGCCTAAGAAGCCTGCGGAGAACGGTGTGAAGCCTGCCAAGCAATCGCCCGTTTCCACCCCGGCGAAGAGTGCCAAAGACGCAAACAATAGAAAGGTAATCGAGAACAAGGTGAAGAAGGAGAGCAAAGAAGTCAAGGCGCCTGCGAAGCCTGAGAAGATCGAACGAAAGCCCATTTCCAGGCGACCGCCGGCCAAAAAGGCTCCCATCAGTCCGGCCAAAAAGGCCGTCAACGGCGTACAAAAACCCGACAGCATATCCAGAAAGGGCAAGCTGGACAAGGAAGGCACCACGGACTCCAGCACGGTCAGCACACCTTCCGCAGACCAAGACAGCGTACTGAAGAAAGACATATCGAAGCTCACCCCCGACGAAATCCAGCAATTTAAAGCCAAAGAACTGGCCGAACTCAAGGAAGAACAGGAAGCCATCAAGGAAATCGAAGCCGTCTTCAGAAAAGGCGAGGTCGCCAAGCCCGAAGACCAACACCTGCGTAAAGTCAAAGACGTTTCCATCGAAGACAAGGAAGAATACCTCATCATAGAAAAAGAAGAAATCGAACAAACCTCCCTCGACGAGAACCAGAAGCTGGCCAAAGACAACGAGGAATCTGAGAAGCCCAAGGAGGCGCCCGCCAAGTCCCAGGAGCTCGCCAGCAAACCAGCCAGCACCGAAGACAAGAAGGAAGAACCCGAAGAGAAAGCCGCCTCGGGCACCGCCAAATCGGGCGACACCACCACGGCGCCCACTCTGCCCGAAGACGAGCGCATCCCCTTGGACGAGATCAAAGAGGACCAAGGCCCCGTGGAGGAGAAGCACGTCAAGGAGGACACCAAGGAGAAGGAACCGCCCGCCCAATCGCCGCCCAAGACCTTCGCCAAGCTGCCGCCGCCGGTCGTAGGGATCCGGCTGGACAAGCAGCAGCACATCAGGGACTTGGTGAAGACGCCCGACGAGGTGGCCGATCTGCCGGTGCACGAGGAAGTCGACTACGAGTACGCCGGGGAGCCCAAGGCGGAGACGCCCAAGTCCAACGAGGCCGAGAGGAGGCTGTCGGTCATGCAGGAGGAGCTGAAGACTCTCACCGACACCGTGCTGAAGACCGAGCTGGACGAGAACGTGCCCAAGGCGGAGCTTCGCGAGGAAGACGCCAAGGAGGGGAGAATTGGTGGCGAAGCTGGCGCGGTCGCGGTGGAATCGAAGCTGGTGGAGCACACGAAGATTGAATCGGTTGCGGTTGTGGCGGAGGAATCGGCGAAAGAGCAGCTGGTCGGTGCTGAAGGAGATGTGGAGGAGTCCGAAGAGGAAGTTAAGCGGGAGGAATCTAAACCTGTAGAGTCTACGAAACCGAGCCAAGAGCACGTGGTCCAAGAGTCAATTTTAGTACAAGAACCTCCAAAGCCTAGCAAAGAGGAATCTAAAGAGGTTGCAGATACCAAAGATTTGAACAAAACAGCAGCTTCGGAAGAAATAGCTATAGCGAGTAAAGAAGAAGAGGAATTATTTGAGGTTCCATCCAAAGAAGAGCCTAAAACGTCCAAAACCGAGCTTACAGAACCAAGCCATGAGGTAGTAGAACCGCCAAAAATAGCTTCACATTTAGTCCAAGAACCTCCAAAACCTATCAAGGAAGAATCTAAGGAAACAGTAGACACCAAAGATGATTTAACCAATATAACAGCTGAACCAAACGAAGAAGAAGATGAAGAAAATCTTCTTGCTACCAAAGAAGAACCACCCAAAGTTCCTGCCAAAGAAGAATCGAAGGAATTAGTAGAACCCAAAGAAGATTTAACCAAAGTAACAGCCAAACCAAGCGAAGAAGAAGAAGAAAATAAAGAAAATCTTCTTGCTACCAAAGAAGAACCACCTAAAGTTCCTGCCAAAGAAGAATCGAAGGAGTTAGTAGAACCCAAAGAAGATTTAACCAAAGCAACAGCCAAACCAAGCCAGGAAATAGAAGAAGAAAAAGAAGAAAATCATCTTGCTACCGAAAAAGAACCACCTAAAGTTCAAACCAAAGAAGACTCGAAGGTAACGCCAACCGCCAAATCACCATCGCCGACCAAAACCCTCCAGGAAGACGGCGAAGAGCTGCAGAAGCTCGACGACAAGCTCCAGCACCTTCGCGACCTCGCCCAGCCGTCCACCAAGCGCCCGTCTGCGCACCAAGACATCGACAAAGTAGCAGACATCCTCTCCGACGTCGACAAGCTCGAGCTGGGCCGCAAGTCGCCCAAAGAACGCGAACCAGACGTCATGAAGATCGTCGCCGGCGTCGCCGAGGTGCTCAAGTCCGAAGCCCCCTTGGAGGTGTTCGAGGCCAAAATGCCTGCGGAGCTGCGCGAGACCCACATCACCACCGTGGACTCCCCGCCGGCCATCCAGATGAAGATCATCCACACCGACATCCCGCCCATTCCCGAGGAGCCGCTCGGCGCCGTCGCCGCCTTCCTCGAGGAGGAGCGCCGGCTGGCCCGCCTGGAGGACGGGAAGCGCAGCGCCCTGCTGAAGGAGTCCCGGGAGCTGATGATGGCCACATCGAAGATGCTGTCGGATATGAAGAACGGCAAGGAGGAGACGCCGGAGCCGGAGCCGGTGCACAGGATGCTGGTGACGGCTTCCAGCGAAGATGGAGGCGAGGAGACGGAGATCTGTCCGGCCGGCTCCATCACCTTCTCGAAGAGCTCGGAGAGCTCCGGCAGGAGTTCGCCCGATCCTTCGCATAAATCGCAGAAATCTTCTATAGTGGAGACCATCTCGGATTCTCTGTGCACTGTCAGGCAGTTGGAGGGAGTCCTGGAAGCTGGAGGTCCAGGAGATGAAGGTCCAAAAGCTGGAGCACCAGAAGCTGAAGGTCCAAAAGCTGAAGGTCTAGAAGCAGCAAGTCCAAAAGCTGGAGCTCCAGAAGCTGAAGGTCCAAAAGCTGAAGGTCCAGAAGCAGCAAGTCCAAAAGCTGAAGGTCCAGAAGCTAGAGGCCCAGGAACAGCAAGTCCAGTAGCACCTGGAACTCCAGGCGACGAGAAACCTGGATTGATAGGAGGAATCGAAGACACTATAACTTCCTTAGAAGAAGCTATCGATTCCAAAGGTGTAAACAAATCGAAGAAAGTTATCGAAGAAACCTCCTATTCTATATCAGCTAAGGTTCAGAAAATCGAAGATAAGCTACTCGATGAAGAAGCACCAGCAGGTGTTCCAAAACCTTTGAAAATAGAAGATGGAATAGATAGAGAAGACTTGCCCGGGGCTCCAGAAAAGACTGAAACTTTAACCGAAGAAATAGCAGAAACTGTTAGAGAAGAACTTGCTAAAGATGAAGAAACTCAACAAAACGTAATTGAAGATTTAACCACTTTAAAAGATACTAAAGACGCTACAAAAATGAACATAGAAGAACTTGTAAGTCATCCAAAAGAAGAAATTGAAGATTCTGCAACAACAATTGAAGAGAAGAAATTAAAAGAAGAAGACTTGGAAAATTTAATCGTTGCCTCAAACGAAGTTACTCTTAAAGATGAAGCAAAAGAAAAGATAAATGATGAAGAAGAAATAACGATGGAAAAGGATCAAAAAGAAGAAAAAGCTGATCTTCAAGGTGCAATTGCAAAAATTGGATCAACATTAAGTGATGCAGCAAAAGAGACGAAAGATGAAACTATCAAAAATATTAATGATCATATCGGTAAAATTGGTGATGCTTCAGAATTAGTTAAAGATGATATAGAAATGATGAATGGAACAATAACAAATGAATCATTATCTTTAAGTGATGCAGGAAAAAATCTGAAAGATGATATGGCTAAAAACATCGAAGATGGCGTTGCAAAAATTAGTGATGCAAAAGAAATTGTTGATGATGAAATTAAGAAAGCTACAGAAAGTCTAAGAGATGCAGCGGAAGAAACCAAAGATGCTATCATTAGAGATATTAAAGATAATTTGGGTAAAATTAGTGATGAAAAAGATGCAATTAAAGATGATATAGTTGATGCAAAGGAAGCTGTTAAAGATGAAATATCACACACAAAAGAATCAATAATTAAAGATGCAGGAAGTTTGAAAGAAACAGCTAAAGATACCAAAGATTCTATTATTAAAGATATTAAAGAAGACATAGATGATGCAAAGGGAACTGTTAAAGATGAAATATCAGCCTTAAAAGAAACCATAATTAAAGATACAGGGATTTTAGGAGATGCAGCCAAAGATACTAAAGATTCTATTATTAAAGATATTAAAGAAGATATAGATGATGCAAGTGGAACTGTTAAAGATGAAATATCAAACTTAAAAGATTCTATAATTAAAGATACAGGGGATTTAAAAGATGCGGCTAAAGATACCAAGGATTCTATTATTAAAGACTTTAAAGATGATATAGTTGATGCAAAAGGAATTGTTAAAGATGAAATGTCAGATTTAAAAGATTCCATTATTAAAGATACAGAAACTTTCAAAGATGCAGCTAAGGATACCAAAGATTCTATCATTAAAGGAATTAAAGATAATGTGGATAAAATTGATGATGCAAAGGATACTATTAAGGATGAAATATCTGATTTTAAAGATTCTATTACGAAAGGTTTCGCAAGTTTAAGTGAAACTGCTAAGGAAACCAAAGAAACATTGATTAAAGACATTGATGATGGAGTTGGTAAAATTAATGATGCAAAGGAAGATGTTAAAGATGAAATAGCAGGTTTAAAAGATTCAGTTGCGGAAAAATCGGCTAGTTCAATTGAAGCAGCAAAAGAAACCAAAGATAACATTATCGAAGATGTTAAAGATGAAATCGGAAAAATTGATGATGCAAAAGATGTTATTAAAGATGAAATAGAAGATTCAATTATTAAAGGTGCAGCGAGTTTAAATGATGCAGCTAAAGAAACCAAAGATTCCATTACAAAATTTGTTAGTGATGAATTTGGCAAAATCGATGATGCAAAGGATGAAATCGCCAATTTAAAGGATTCAACTACACAAGATTTATTCAGTTTAAAAGATACAATTACAAAGGATTTTAAAGATGAGATCGATAAACTTGGAGATGCAAAGGACACCTTTAAAGATGAAATAGCAGGTTTTAAAGATTCCATTTTTAAAGATACCCGGGATTTAAGTGATGCAGCAAAGGAAACCAAAGATTCTATTGTTAAAGACATTATGGATGACGTGGATAAAATTGATGATGCAAAAGATGCTGTCAAAAATGAAATTGTAGCCTTAAAAGATTCTATTATTAAAGATTCGGGGGATTTACAAGATGTAGCGAAAGAAACGAAAGACTCGATTATTAAAGATTTCAAAGATGATGCAAATAAAATTGGGGATGAAATTAAAGATAAAATAGTAGACACAAAAAGTTCAATTACTAAAGAAGCAGCGAGTGTAAGTGATGCAGCTAAGGAAATGAAAGACTCCATTATAAAAGTCGTTAGTGATGAAACTGGCAAAATTAATGATGCAAAGGATAATCTCAAAGATGAAATAGTCGGTTTAAAAGAATCAATTACAAAAGAATCGGCTAATTTGAAAGATGAAGCGAAAGAAATCGAAGATACTCTAGTTAAGGACATTAATAATGATATCAACAAAATTGATGATGCAAAAGATATTATTAAAGATGAAATAATTGGACTAAAACAGACTGTTACAGAACTATCAAGTAGTTTAAGTGATGCAGCGAAGGAAACCAAGGAAAAAATTATCGAAGATGTTAAAGATAATACCAAAAAAATTGATGATGCAAAAGATTCTATTAAAGATGAAATATCCGATTTAAAACATTCAATTGCTGAAAAATCAAGTAGTTTAAGTAATGCAGCGAATGAAACCAAGGATAAAATTCTAGAAGATATTAAAGATGATATCAACAAAATTGGTGATGCAAAATATACTATTAAAGATGAAATAATCGGATTGAAACATTCAGTGACAGAACTATCAAGTAGTTTAAGTGATGCAGCGAAGGAAAGCAAGGATAAAATTCTGGGAGATATTAAAGATGATATCAAAAAAATTGATGATGCAAAAGATACTATTAAAGATGAAATAGCTGGTTTAAAAGACTCAATCAATAAAGATACAGCGAATTTAAGTGATGCAGCAAAGGAAACCAAGGATAAAATTGTGGAAGGTGTTAAAGATAATGTCAACAAACTTGATGATGCAAAGGCTACTATTAAAGATGAACTTACAGACATCAAAGATTCCATTGCCAAATCTTCTACAGATGAATTCGAAGACGTAAAGACTTCAATTGCAATGGATAAAGACAAAATGATTAAAGGTATTAAAGACACAAAAGACGCTGTTTTTAAAGACATTAAAGATGCAAAAGACGCCGCTTTTAAAGACATTAAAGATGCAAAAGACGCTGCATTTAAAGACATCCAAGATGCTAAAGATGCTGCTTTTAAAGACATTAAAGATGCAAAAGACAATGCCTCCAAAGACATTAAGGATGCAAAAGACAATGCTTCTAAAGACATTAAAGAAGCAGAAGATAATGCATCTAAAGACATTAAGGATGCAAAAGACAATGCTTCTAAAGACATTAAAGAAGCAGAAGATAATGCTTCTAAAGACATTAAAGATGCAGAAGATAATGTTTTTAAAGACTTACATGATGCAGCAACCGACACTTTTACTAATATATCCGATGTAAAAGATGAAATAAAAGATGGCGTAGGTAAAATTAAAGATGAAGCAACAGAAGCAGCTACAAAAAGTGTTAAAGACATGCAAGAAAGTACCACAGATTTTAAAGACAATCTAAGCAAAGATTTAGCAGACATTAAAGAAGAAATTACAAAAGACTTAAGCGAATCAATTTTCGGCGGCTTCAAAGGAAGAACTGATGAAGACATGAAAGATGATGAAAGCGGATTAAAAAAAGGTGCCAATGCAGCGAGAAATGATGATAAAGAAACAACGAAAATTGAAGCTTCTGAAGCATCCAAAAACGAAGATGCAAAAGAAGAAATCGCAGTTGCAGCACTAGCAGGAAGAAAATTAGAGGAGAAAGTAGACGAAATAAAGATCAAAGCGGACATTGATGAAAAAGAAACCATAGAAGATTCCAACAAGCGCAAAGATGCTAAGAAATCCGAAGAAAACGAAGATAAAGAAGACACCAAAAGCAACGCCAAAGAAGATCCAAAAGCGTCGCCGGACAAAATCGAAACGCACAAAGATGAACTGAAAGAGAAGACAGATGAAGACAAGGAGAAGAAACAACACCAAGCGAACGAAGATGCTTTGGAAGAACGAGCCGAAGATCTGGAAGACACCTTCGAGAACGTCCGTCACATGACCGAATCGGTGGTGTTCGGCAAATGCGAGAACAAACGGGCCGAGAACACGCTGAACGCCAGCACCAAGGACCTGGAGGAGACCTTCGAAGCCGTCGAAGCCTTCACCAAAGCGGTCACCTTCGACAAGTGCCGCGACGAGCCTGAGAAGGGCGACAAGGAGACCATGGAGAAGGCCCCTACCGCCCCCAACGTCGCCGAAGACGTGGAAGACGAGGAGGAGGAAGAGGAGGAGGAGGAGTACAGCATCACCTCGCAGGTGGCTCACTCCAGGGACTCATCCCACGGCGATTTCGACGCCCTGCTGCGCCACCAAGACCCCATGAGCACCTCCTTCTACGGCGCCCTACCCGATGATGACCCCGTAGACGCCTGGGGGAAACCCCTCCAGCTCCCCCCGCCTATAACTACTTCGGAGACTACCTGGGGAAGCCCTAAGAACGAGATGAAACCACAATCTTCTACTGAAACCAACGAGCCTGCGTTGGGAGCCTTAGAATACACCTGGGGTAAACCCCTCCAGCTCCCACCGCCTGTCGCTGCTTCGGAGATGACCTGGGGAAGCCCCAAGAACGAGATTACACCTGGATCTTCTACGGAAACCACCAAGCCAGCTTCGGGAGCCTTAGAATACACCTGGGGCAAGCCCCTGGGGCTGCCCAGCCCGGCGCCGCCCAACGACGGCGGCACCCCCAAGAAGGACAAGAAGCTGCCGCCCGCGGTGACCGCCAAGAACAAGCTCAACGACGACAGGAAGCGCGCCGAGTCGCCTTCGAAGCACGCCAGGCCGCCCGTCGGAAGCCTGAGGAAGCCCGTCAGTCCGGTCTACGTCGATCTGACGTACGTGCCGCACCACGGCAACGCCTACTACTCGTACGTGGAGTTCTTCAGGCGCGTGCGCGCCAGGTACTACGTCTTCTCGGGCATCGAGCCCGGCAAGGACGTGTTCAACGCCCTGCTGGAGGCCAAGCAGACCTGGGAGGACAAGGAGCTCGGTGAGTATCGGGCTACTCAGGCTCCGTCGGAGCCTTTAGAAGGGGTTTTGGAGAGGTTCTCGTGGAGTTTTTGGTCGCTTACTTGGAGAGGCTTCCTGGAGCTCTGTAAGGGTCCAAAAGGCTTCGAAAGGCTTCCAAAAGTTTGCTTAGGTTTCTGAAGTTGCTTGGTACTTATTGGGGAATTTGAAAGTTGCCTAGTAAATCCCGTAAAGCTCATAGATAACTTCATTAGCTGCCTATGACTTGATAATAGCACTTTCTAAGGGTTTTTAATGCACTTTCTAAGGGTTTTAATGCTTTATAAGGCTTTAAAATACTTTCAAATGATTTCTAAAGCTTTCTAATGCTTTCTATGCCTTTCTAAGTGATTCTTAATCAATCTTTCGAGGGCTTTTTATGGCTTTTTAAGGCTTTTTGTGGATTTTTAAAAGCTTCCTAAGTCTTTCCAAGGCTTTCTAAAGCTTCCTAAAGTATTTTTAATGCATTCTAAGGCTTTCTAAGGCTTCCCAAGACATTCTAATGCTTTCTAAAGCTTCCTAAAGTATTTTTAATGCATTCTAAGGCTCTCTAAGGCTTCCAAATACAGGCTTTCTAAGGCTTCCCAATGCATTCTAAGGTTTTCTAAGGCTTTCTAAGGCTTTCTAAGGCTTTCTAAGGCTTTCTAAGGCTTTCTAAGGCTTTCTAAGGCTTTCTAAGGCTTAAAAAATGGCTAATGGATGCGATTTTTTTCCAGAGGTGACTATAATTCCTACGTACGATACGGACGTGCTAGGCTATTGGGTGGCCGAGAACGAGGAGCTACTAACCAAATGCAAGATAGATCTGTCGCCGTCGGCGTCGCGATGCACCATCAATCTGCAGGACCACGAGACGTCGTGCAGCGCTTATAGATTAGAATTCTAAGGCTTAGAACCAACCGCAGAACAAACCAAAAAAAAAAAAAACAACCAAAAAAACAAAACCACCCTGTCTATCATTTTTCCGGCAATAACCGATCTGTTAGAGAGATTTCCGGGATCCGGAACTGTCTGGGTCGAATTTCTGGATGAATATCTGGATGGACTTGTGCATCTGGATGAAGTTATACATAGATGTTTTATGGATAAATCAGCCAAATTTGGATTCTTCCTCGATTCGAAGTACCTCTTTCGCCAGTCTTCTGCGAACACTGTCTCCCCCCACGTGCCCCGCTCGCCCCCCTTACCCCCCCCCTCTCCCCCTCTTTTTCCGAATATTGTACACTGAGAAAAAAAACAACAATATGTTTGTATAGCGAGATTAGAGGTTGAAGAATTTCTGTTTTTCTAGATATCCTTATTATGAATGTTGTTCGGTTTTTGACAGATTTTAATTCGATTTAAATCATCGGAAAATGCGATGACGTTAACGCGGTTTTCAAAGTTTAAACAAAAAATAAATTACGAAAAATAATTTAATAAATAAATAAATAAATATCGTCGAATTTTACTTGTACGTGAAGGAGAAAATGGGCATATTAGTTTTTAGAGTTGAATTAAAACGAGAAAAATTAAATTATAAAATTAATGAATTTATTATAAATTTAATTATATAGCTGTTGAAATCTCGGCTAGATATTTACCGGGAAATAATCGATCGATTTAGCATTAACGCGTAGACAATCTAGTTTTACAATCGATTATAAACGAATCGATTATTCGAATAAAATCCTCGCTGAGACATCAGAATTTCTCTAACCGACAAAAACGAACCGAAGCCTGACCTGTTCCGGTGCAGCGCAGGCCCGTACCCAGCCCAAAAGTACGCCCGATCCAAATTCCAACAATTATCATACAGGTTGTCGCATTAAAAATGGATCTTTTGGGACGATTTGGGCTGGTACCGGCTCTGTGTGTGATAGGGCAGGTCCGCACTCGGCCCGTTTTGATCCGTTGGTGCTAAATTTGATGCGTAAATTATTTCCTAGTCGCTTTACGTGTTAAATAAACCCGTTTATGATATAAATATTATCACATGTGATACGGTTATTGTACGATTTAGTTTTTATTTGAGTTTTTTTTTTTCGAAACGAGAGATTCGTATGATGTTTAATGTACTTACAGGGCCGTCGATTTTACCGATTTTATTTCGTTTTATTATTTATTATTTAACGAGCGATTATTTGAAACGTTGTATTTCGCATTTATTTTGTATCGAATACGCTTTTTCGTTTTGTTTTTTTTTTTTTTAATTATTTATTATTAGTTTAAGGTTTTTCGAAAGGCCTATAAGAGTAACGAGAAGCTCGAAATTTATCGAAATAAACGAATATTTCGAATGGTTATTACGTTGGAAATGTTTCCAGTACGGTCCTGCGCTTCGCAGGACAGGATTGCACTCAGTCAAATTTATTTATTTTTTTGAAATTTCGTAGCTAAATACAGCCTAAGAGTCCGGTTAATAAATTCGCCTAATTGGGCTCAGTACGACTCTGTATTTTGAAGTAATACAGGGTTATATAGAAATAGTCGAATTGGGCTTAGTACGACACTTGTTTTTAAATAACAGGATGGTATTTAGCTAGAATGTTTTCAACAAGTAATACTATTTCAAACATTTTGAAATACAGGGGTTATATTTATTTGCATTATTGCGAGTGAAATAGTCGAATTGATCTAAGTACGGCCCTGTTTTTAAAAACAACAGGGTCGTATTCAGCTGGAATGTTTAGAATCGTTACTATTTCAAACATTTTGAACTACAGAGTTGTATTTAGCTGCATTATTGCGCGTGAAATAGTCGAATTGGGCTTAATACGGTGCTGTTTTTTAAAGAACAGGGAGGTATTCAGCTGGAATGTGTTCAGTAATCGATACTACTGCTAATATTTTGAAGTACAGGGTTGTATTTAGCTGCATTATTGCGAGTGAATTAGTCGAATTGGGCTTAGTGTGGTCCTGTTTTGTGTAGTACAGGGTCGTTGTCGGCGAAAATGCGTTTATTTCGAATAAATAATCGATTTTCAGAAGGCTGATTAGCTGATAGGCGTTTGTATGAGTTTTAATTACATTTAATAATCACCTTTTTAGGGGCCACGAATTAATTAAAAACGCTGACTCGATGTGGATGTATAGAGATGTAACAAAAGAGAGCTTTTTCCGTACTGAAAGTACGCTAAAAAATTTACCGAAAATAAATTAAAATGAAAAAAAATGAAAACGTTGTTGACTATATATGTAAGATTGGTGCTATGAGAGAATTGCCTTCGCAAAGGAATTTTTTGATATTCATTTCGGAACCATCAGGCGTATAGAAATTCGAATTGTACTCAATGAAAAATCGATTAGTTATCGATTATATCGAAACGAGAAAAGTCGAACGAGCGCGAAATGTATCCGGGGAAATCCCGAATAAGAAATTTTCTTCGAAATTTTCCCCGGGGACAATTCGAGGCGCGTTCGAATAAGCGAAATTGTCACTTTTATCGTTATTTTTTTTTTGGAAATATAATGAAGAAGAAGATGAAGTATAAAAAAGAAGAAGAAATTACCAAAATTACCCGTTTTTTAATAATGTTTACGTGCAGTTCGATTCGTAACGTATTTAAAAATATAGCTTCTCTAGTCAAGAAAATTCTGATATCTTTTAGCTTATGAAAAATGATAAAAAAAAATAAAAATGTAATACATATTATTCAAAATGCAATTTAATGTATGGGATATGTATGAGAATATGAATAAAAAAAAAATGACAAAACTATTCGTTCGTTTCATTCGCTGGAATTTTATTATGCATTACAAATCGCCGAGCCCACTAGATTAGTTTTCGTTTTGTCGCAATTAAACATATTGATGACGTTTATGGGAGGCTTGCTCGATTAAAATATCTAATTTCAAGTTCGAATTACATTTTAAATAAGCAAGCATGCAGTAGTTACATTGATTTTACAGCAGTTTTACACATTTTATATACAAGAGGCGATCAAAAAGTTCAATACAATTCTCACAAAGAGCGTTTCTAAAATATTTGGTTAAAGGATTTATATAAACTATCGCTTTACCCTCGTATATATATACAAAAAAAAAAAAAAACAAAATCACCGTATAAGAATTATTAAAAAAAAACATATCGACTTACTCTCGTATGTGTACTCAGTAAAAAAAAGAAACATATGGAACTACACCCACGAAAAAATTTTAAAATCACCCTATAAGAATAAAATACTAATCGAACTACCCTTGTATAACCAGCAAAAAATCAAAATCACCTTACCATGATTATTTCAAATAAAACTTATCGACCTACCACCGTATTATACTTGGCAAAAAATCGAATTGAATAGACACATTAAAAAAAAACTTATTGAACTACCCTCGTATATCCACCAAAAAATTTTAAAATTATCGTAAGTATCTAAAAGGAAAGCACAAAAAAATCATATAACCATAAAAAAACAATTATTTAAAAAAAACCTATTGAACTACCCTCGTATATCCAGAAAAAAAAAAATTTAATTACCTTAAGTATCTAAAAAAAAGCACAAAAAATCATATAACCCTATAAGAACAATTATTTAAAAAAAAACTTATTGAACTACCCTCGTATATCAACCGAAAAAAAATAAAATTAACCTAACAATAAGTATCTAAAAAAAAAGCAAAATTATCACATAACCCTGAAGGAACAATATTTAAAAAAATCTTATCGAAATACCCCCGTATACTAACCAAACAAATCAAATTAACCCTGAGTAATAAAAAAAAAACTTATCGCACTACCCCCGTACACCCACAAAAAACCATCAACCTACAGAAACAATCAAAAAGCAATATAACCGACTCATCGAACCTCCCCCGTAAGTAAGTCACGGCCTACCCTACAAAAAAAAAACCATTCCAACGATTCCACGGCCTACTGTAACATCTAGCAACGAAAATCGCATTCCTCTCGTCCAGCGCCTGCTCTTCTCGTCTCCTGCTCTCCTGCTATCGCGAAATCCCCAAAGGCGGTACTGGGGGTTGGCAGAGCCGTCGGGGCGTAGCCTCGCGCCGCCGGGGCGCCTCCCCGCGGGGCCCCCCCGACCACCGCCTCCTGCGATGCATGCAATGCGAACCTACGAGGGCGCTTCTAATAGATGTCTTGTTTTGTTTCCGATTTCTAATCGTTTCCAATCGAGCCGGCCGCGCGAAGGGGGTCAAGGGGCGGACGCCGGACCGGAGGTGTTCGTGTTCCAATGCTTGTTATACACTACAAAGTTTACAATGTTTCTTAACGAAGCGAATCAGGCGTTTCCGGCGATCTTCTCGAAAATTATTCGAAGAACGCGGGCGGCTTGGTGTGGAAGGAGACGGAACGATGGGGAGGTCGATGGGAGAGAGGGAGACGGAGAGAGAGAGTGAGGTCGAGTTTGGAAGAAGCGGGTATGGGATTTATAGCGGGCCGTGCACGTTGGAGGTGTACGAGGGTTATTGTATATTTTCGCGCGATGGAATGACGTGTGACAAGTGACAGGTATGACGAATGATAGGAATAACAGAGGTGAGGGGAAAGAGGAGATTGGATAACGATGGTGATGAATGATTGTAATGGTTTAAGAGGGAATGAATGACAGCTGACGTTTCGGGGGATTTCGTGTTAGGTTTTATCTACTTGCGGCCTTTTGGCTTAGTGGACAATCGGTCAAAAAAAGTCCATTTTTATTTGAATCACAACGACTGACCTCGTACTTATCCAAAAACAACATTAAAAACCAGCTAAAAAACCCTCGAATTCTTCTAATTTGTCATCCAATGGCCTCTTACCTTAATGCACAACCAGCCAAAAAATATAATAAAATTAATTCAAAATGGAACCATCTAAAAACAACATTAAAAACTCGCTAAAAAACCCTGGAATTCTTCTAATTTGTCAACCAATGGCCTCTTACCTTAACGCACAACCAGCTAAAAAAACAAAATTAATTCAAAGAAACCATCTAAAAACAACATTAAAAACCCGCCAAAAAATCCCTCGAATTCTTCTAATTTATCAACCAATGGCCTCTTACCTTCACGCACAACCAGCCAAAAAAAAACAACCTTAACCTATTCAATCGACCCATCTAAAACACCACAAAAAAACCCCCACATACTCTTCTAATCAATCCACCAAACGGCGGCCTCTTACGCTTTCACACAACCAGCCAAAAAAAAAAAACGTCCGCCATATTTCGAATCCGATCCGAAACTCGCCTGCTCGATCGGTCGATTCGTGCACGGTCGGCTTTAGACGAGCGCCTTGACGTTTCTAGGCAACCTCCGTCGTTCGAAAACAAAATAATTCCACGACGCCGCTCTCTCTCTCTCTCACTCTCTCTCTCTCTCTCACTCTGTCTCTCCTCTCTCCACATCCATTCGGTATATCTCCATCTAGTCGGCTCTCTCGTGCACACTGACAGATCCACGGCATACCTGATTGTAACTTGTACGGGATCGGCCGACTTGATTTTACCACTCGCTTTTATTTTATTTCGATTTATCGACATTACAGTTGATGTTTGTTGTTTTGTACGGGTGTATACGTGATATATTGCATAGTACTAGTGTCAGTGTCGGTACCAGTTCAGTGCCTGCTTGGTGGTTTTCTTTTTTTATTTGTTTGTGTGGATTTTTGTGTTTGGATTATACAGGTGGTACTTATCGACGTGTTTGATTAGATTGCGATTTTTCGATCGGCCTCGACGATCCGGCGATATGGTTAGTATATAGGGGGATTCGTGGGTTTGTTTGGGGTTTATCGATTCGGCGGGGCTCGCGTGCTGCGCGAGCTCGAGCTCGAGGAATGTGGAGAGGTAAATGTTGGTGGTTATCTCGAGAATGGGTTGAGGTAGAAATGTGGTGATTGCGTTGTTCGGTAGAAGAAGTGTTTCGCTGCGTTTTTTGGAGAATGGAAATTTTTCGAAAATCGCTTCGGTTTCGAGTTATTTCGAGTTTATTGCGGATTGTATCGAAATGACTAATTCTAATGCAATTCGATGAGAATCCGCAATTATCTCGAAAACCAATCGAGATAGAGACATCCCGATCATTTTATTTTGTAGAAAAAACCTTTCCGCGCAATTTTCGAAGAATGCGAAATTTTCGAAAACCGCCCAATTTTCGAGATATTCGAACAAAACGGACAATATCTTCAACAATAAAAAATCCGCGATTTCCACGCGAGAAATTTTTCCGCCATTTCGAAAAAAGAAAAACTAAAACGAAAAATCTAAATATTTTCTCACCAGTTTTCCCGTTATTTCCGCCACAGCGGAATTTCACACTCCAAGACACACCGGACAAACAGAGCATAAAAGACTTGCGATTTCACTTCTCCAGTTTTTAAACAAAATAATAATAAAAATGAAATCATAAAAAAAAACAACGCAAATTCCTTTTGCGACATTAAATTTCACTTGTCATTTGTCATTCATGTCACTTGTCATTCGTTTCGCTTGCGACTTGTCATTTTCATATGCATCCAGCTGTACCAATGTGGATTATGAGTGGAATTAAATGTAAATAAATAACGAATAATCGTGATCAAGGTGTGCTTAAAATGGCAGGCATACCGATCAGGCCGCCATATTGGCATTGTTGTTCAGGTAATTATGATGAGTTGGTGGAAATAATTGAGTATTTTACGGATGCTGCGTGCTAATTTAAACGGTACTACTATTATTATTATAATTATTATTTTTACTAACCATGCATTTTGTAATTATTGTTAATTGGGTTGTAATTAATACACCCTGTATAGTAAGAGATTGTTCGTTGGGTAGGAAGAGAATGCGGAAATTCGAGTATAGACATATACAGGGTGTTCAATTTTTTTGTTCAAGTTTTACCACGTAATTCAAACCGCATTAAAAAAAATAAAAATAAAATGACAATAATAATGATTGGATAAGAGAGCAATTAAAAATCGGTTAATTGGTCGTTCCGCGAGCGGAAATTAAATTTCTAATTATTGCCCATTGATCGAATTATTGTTGTATAAGAAAAAAATGTATCGATTTCGTAACGAAATCTGGTAAAACAAAAGTATAAAAATAAAAAATAAACAAATAACTAAGTACCTATATACGTTGAATTTATTTTACAACATTTTATTATGTTATTTGTAACGAGTTAAAATTTATGTCAACAGCACTTTCACAAAACCAATTATAATGCGATTACCGTGTAGTGTAGACTCTAATAGAAGAATATTTTATTTATCATTTACACTAGTTGACAGATGACATATTTGCATGATAAATAGTTGTCAAATAACATGGAATAGTTGACAGGTGACATATGAGAAGTAATCGTTGACAGATGCCGATTGAAGGGTGACATATGAGGAGTGTTATGTCATTTTCTTGTGAATCGGAATCGATTATGGCGAACAATGCTATCGAATAACTAGTACAAGTAGTTTTTAATTTGGAACATGGGAATTTTTGCATAAATTATACAACGAATTATGTAATTTTCAGTCGCATTGTGTATGCAGTTTTACTTTCAGGCGTACAGGGTGGTCAAAAAAAAACTAAATTTACGAATTAATTGAATAAATTTCGGTTGCTTTCTCTCTCGTACACTTAGGAATTAATGTCGTGTTATCGTTTAATAATATTCGTCAATTATTTGTTGTTTCTCGAAACAAACACAAACAACATGCCACTAACCTTACACATTTATCGCTATGCATATACGGAACGAAATTTATTTAAAATAAAAAAACCCGAGCCATTTCGAAAAAACAAGCGCTGACGCAGTTTTCGCGAAATTCAAATTCCCCAAATACCGAAATACAAAACAACTTAAACGAAATAAAAAAAAAAAAACACCACAGAAACGTGCGATTAATTCACAACATTTTTTTTCATTCTCAACAATGCCATACGTCACTTGTCTATTATCAGTTTTCATTTCTCAGTTATCATTACATTTTTCAAATGGATTTTGGGCAGTTGATAGTTGTCATAAGTCAGTTGTCATTCGACAATTTTTGCTATAGTCAGCGTTTTTTTGTCAGGTTCTTATTTGACAGTTATCATTTGACAGAGTTCACAATAGTCAGATGTCATTTTCGACAATTTTCACTACTTAGTGGTCATTTGTTACTTCTTATTTGATAGTTGCAACTAATGAGTATCATTTGTTGCATGGCATTTGGCAGTTGACAGTTGTATTTTGCTTCTTATCAATCACTAATTATCTGTGATTTGTCATATGTCACCTGTCATCTGCCAATTGTCATCTGTCATTTTGCCCTCTGTTATTTTGTCATATGTCATTTGTCCTCTGTCATTTGTCCTCTGTCATTTGTCCTCTGTCATTTGTCATATGTCATCTGTCGTTTGCCATTTGCCATCTGTCATTTATCGGTTGTGTCTGGTTTCGATGAGGGAATTAGAACGTACTAATATACGAGGGTAGCGCGATAATTTCGTCGAAACCTTGTAAATACCCTTTCCGAATGTGTAAGATAGCCATCTAGAATTGCGACACGGTACCAGCGCAATAACTCGGTACCACCATTGAAGAAAGAAATAACAAAAAAAAATTAAATGCTCGGCCTTTGAATTTATTATAATAAAACGTGCTGTTAGAAAATGGAGGAGAGAGAGAGAGAGAGACCGTTCGAAAGGCCAGTTCTTGCGCGAACGGTTTCACAACCGAATAGAATTTAATCAAGTATGTATATATACGAGGGGCGATTGGAATGTTCGAAATATCGTCGGTGAGTCACCTGACGGTGGGCCGGTTGGTTTCTGGGTCAAGTCGAGTCGTTCGTTGTCCGAGCGGAATTTCGTGTGAAATGAGAAATATGCGTTTAGAATTAGTCGAATGAGTCGAGCGATTTATACGGGGGCGTTTCGATTAGTATAGTAAATCGATTGAACGAGTTGACTGGTTTTATTTTGTATTTTTTTGTTGGGACACTCTGTATTTGACTCGTACAAACAATACGCAAGATTGTACTAAAAATGATATCTATGAGTACGACAAAGACAACTTCTATTAGTTTCTTTATCAAAGCGATATTTATACGGGGGCGTTTCGATTAGTAAAACGAATAGTAAATTTAAATTTTTTTGGGACACTCTGTATTTGGTGCATACAAAGCGTTTTGTTTTTTTTTTATTTCTCTCGTTGGGAATGGTTTTTACAATGGCGTTGGGATTTAGTAATAATTTTTGCGGTAACGATTTATTACGTAATTTATTTCTAATAATTGCCGTGCAATTTAATCATCGATTATTCGTTACGTTGTTGGGCGTAATTTGCGCGTTAATTAATTATCGTTGTAAATTGCAATGTTGTTAAATTGAAATGAAAATTACTAAAATATTTGTTTTTTGCTCATTATACATTGGTTGCTATGGAGTAACTAAGGAGATTCTTTCAAATTGACAGATTTACATTGTTGTTATGGAGTAACTAAGGAGATTTCTTTCAATTGACAGTGTTACATTGGTTGTTATGGAGTAACTAAGGACATTGTTTACTTTAAAAAGACCCTATAAAAGATCGATTAGCGTTAAAAATACTCGCTGATTAATCGAGTAATTTTTCAAAAAAAAAACATTTATTACGCATATAGAAAACTATTGTACGGACCCGTTTCGTATTTATACAGCAACATTTTATTAAAAAGGATTGATTTACGGCTCATTGTCTGATAAAACTTCGGCTAATTAATTAACATCTTTAAACGCCCCTCTCTTATCTAATCTGTTCAACGCGCGTTTTTCATTTTTTCATTTATTTTATTACTCATATTCGAGCTAATTTTATAATATACAGAAACTTTTATCTTATCTGCTCGAAACAATTGAACTCTTCGCATTTTTCGCATCGAAATTAACGCGATAATTCAAAAATATCTACATATACTGAATTCGGCGACATTTTGTAATTGATAGTTGACAGGTGACAGTTGATTGGAATTGTTTCTACACATTCTACTTTTCTAAATAATATTCCACAGCCAACCTAACAACGAATCCATCATTATTCTTGTATTTATTATTCCTGTTAATAATCATTATTGTCATATATCTACATATACTGAATTCGGTGACATTCAACTGTAATTGATAGTTGACAGGTGACAGTTGATTGGAATTTTGTTTTTACACATTCTACTTCTCCAAATAATATTCCACAGCCAACTAAACAACAAATCCTTCATTATTCTTGTTTTTATTATTACTTTATTAATAATTATTATTGTTATTATTGCAGACGTACCAGTAAAAATAACAACGATGCCGCCATTATGGGAGTCAAGCTTCAATTACTACTCGGCAAGTATCAAATTACCTCCAACAAACAAACAAACAAACAATATAATAACGAGTAATTTATTTATCCACTACAGGTTTTCTCCTGCTCGGCCGCACCGCCGCCTTCGCGACCGCCCCCAAGGAGAACTCCACCGCCCCCGAACCGTCCGAATACACCGAAAAAACTCGCACCGTCCCGCCCAAACCCGACGCCAACACCAACCTGATCTACCCCGACTACCAGCCGGAGAAGAACCGCTCCCGCGCCGCCGCCGCCGCCGCCGCCGCCCCCAAAGCCATCGATCTCGACAAATTCGCCCCCAACCGCCAGGAGGCCGCCAAGTACCGCCTCACCACGCCCGGCTCGCTCTTCGACTTCGACGAGGCCGAGCAGGCCCTGGAGGCGGACGAGTACCGGCGGTACCGCCCGTCCGGGCGCCGCCCCAACGCCACCATCGCCTACAGCGAGAAGACCGAGATATCGCGGAACCGGACGAGCGGGGACGGCGCCGAATACAACGAGCTCAAGGTTGAAACCACCCACAACATCGACTATCATTCTCTATACGAGTTCACCGCCTCCTACGAGGACGACGACGGCGAGACGGTTTCGCCGAGAGGGTTCGGTACCGACGGTACTACCGTCGGTACTGCCGGTACTACCGGTACTACCCTCGGTACCACCCTCGGTACTACCTCGGAGCCCTCCAGGACCACTCTCAAGCCGGTTATGAGCAACAGAATCGAATCGGACACCATCAAAGCTATCAACGAGTTAACCACCGAAGTACCGACCACTAGAAATATAGTACCGGCCACTACGAATGTAGTATCGACCATTAGGAATGCAGTACCGACTACTACCGTACCGATCACCACGACGGAAGATGCTGATAGTACTACTACAATCGAATCGACTACAGCGACTGATTTTAGCAGTACTATCTTAAGTGAAACGACAACAAACCAGCCCGAAACAACGACGACAACAACAGAAGTAAGCGCAGAAACGACAACAGAAGGCGAAATTGCAACAACAACATCAGAAGGGGATACGAGTAGTACCGGTATAGAAACAGACAGTACTCCCCTCGCCACTAGGGAAGTTCCTATACAAAGCGATTCCTATACAGACAACGACAATATCACCACATTACCCTACTCGACCACTGAAACTTATACTAGTACCGGTAGTACCGCGGATGTTACGACTAAACCTGTAGAAATCATCGATTTCACTACCGTTCAACCTACCGAAAGTACTACATTTCCGGCTGTTTATAGGAATCTCTCTGACGGTACAACAGGCAGTAGTACTAATACTACTATGTCCGTTTCTACCAGTACTGAATCTACGGAATCTACGGACGCCGGTACTTTGGGCGGAAGAGACGATAACAACAACAAAATCGCCGCCATTGTTATTAGTACCGTCGGTGTGGTGTGTTTGGTACTTTTAGCCGGACTATTGGTAAGTAAATTCATAGCAATTAGATAGAAATTCGAGATTATCTCGAAAACTAACAGAGATAGAAACACGCAGTTTGTTTCATTTTATAGAAAAATGGTACCCCTACGATATTTGCAGAATCGAAAATTTTCGAAAATCCCTTAGTTTTCAAGTTATTCGCCCTCCAAAAACCCCATACCTGGTATCCAACAAATTCCACCAAAACTAGTACCGCCCGCGCATTTCGCCGTACCACCCGGTACTTATCGTAAAAATATGTTAATCGCTAATCATCGTCGAAATCCTTATCGGCGACGACTCGCGTGCGCGTCACCCGAGCAGTACCGTTCGCTCGCAGCTAGTACCAACATGTGCAAGTGCTTCTCCTTTTTCCAGTACGTCATGCGAAAGAGGCAACGAAGATTCAACTACAAGCAACGCTGCAGGCCCGTAGGTCTCGACGATTACAGCGTCGACAACGTCTCGGGCTTCAATAGTACCAGGAGGAAGCTGGAGAGGCAGTCCAAAAGGTCCTACGGCAATCCAGCTTTCGACGATCCTGTAAGTTTTTCTCGTGTAATTATGTGTAAGTAGTACCGAAGAAGCTTCTGGTGAAGTACCGATGGGGAATAGTACCGCAAAATCTTCTACAGTTTGATAATTTGGAGATATCTGGAGCGTTTGGTGTCATGTTATTTTTGCACCAAGCAGGTTTCATCTTATCTTACTTGCTCCAGGAAGTGTTTGGTATTATCTAGCTTTAGCACCAAGCAGGCTTAATCTTATCTTATTTACACTAGGCAGGCTTTATCTTATCTTATATGCACCAGGAAATTTTGGTCTTATCAAATTTGAGCACCAAGCAGGTTTCATCTTAACTTACTTCCTCCAAGAAGTCTCGGTATTATCTAGCTTTTGTCACCAAGCAGGCTTCTTCTTATCTCAAGCAGTACTAACATCGCGTTGCGTTCGCAGGTGGCCGTGACGCATCCCCTCAACTTTCCCGCCCTGGCGAAATTCGCCGGCAATCCGGACGAGGTGAAGGCCGAATTCGAGGAGATACCCCAGATATCGGCGAAGACGCACGAGCTGCCCGAAGGCTGCGAGCCTAAGAACCGCTACGCCAACGTCATACCGCTGCCTGAGACCAGGGTGTACCTACAACCCATCGAAGGTTATCCCAACAGCGATTACATCAACGCCAATTACGTGACGGTGAGTTAGTTGTGTAACCCAGAAAGGTTTCTTGCTGGGTTATTTGGTGATTTATCTCACCAAGAAGGGTTCCTGGTAGGTTATTTGGTGATTTATCTTACCAAGACAGGTTTTAAATACGTTATTTGGTGAGTTATCTTACCAAGACAGGTTTTAAATAGGTTATTTGGTGAGTTATCTTACCAAGACAGGTTTTAAATATGTTATTTGGCGAGTTAACTTACCAGGAAGGTTTCTTGGTATGGTATTTGGTGATTTATCTCACCAAGACAGGTTTTAAATAGGTTATTAGTTGAGTTATCTTACCAGGAAGGTTTTATGGTAGGTTATTTGTTGAACTATCTAACCAGCAAGATTTCTTGATAGATTATTAGATAATTGGACAGGTTTCCCTTCCCCTTTTTCCCTTCTTCCCAAATGCTTCACCAGCGATTCTCCTTAAATCATCCGTTTTTGTTCAACATTTCGGTCTACTCCACAGGGTCCAAAGAACACCAAAGGCTACTACATAGCCTGCCAGGCTCCCATGTCCAACACCGTCGACGATTTCTGGCGCATGGTGTGGGAGCAACAGACCAAAGTCATCCTGATGTTGACCCATCTCTTCGAAAACGGAGTGGTTAGTACCGCCAGATAGTACCTCTAATTTTCCTAACGAGTACTTCATCCGCAGGAAAAATGCGTGGACTACCTTCCGCCATCGGAAGTTCTCGATTGCAACCGATTGTTCGGCGACTTCCAAATCACGCTGAAGAAGCGCGACGTCAAAGACAAGTACATCATATCCAATCTTCAATTGAAGGTGAGTAGTACCCACCACATCCAGATATCCACATCCAGATTAACGATATCGTCGTCCACAGAACATGGTGTCGAACAGCTGGCGAGAGATCACCCATTTCTGGTACCTCGGCTGGCCCGAGCGAGGAGTACCGCCCGAGGAGAGCTCCATCATAGCCTTCCTGATCGAGGCCAGGAGCTACATGAAATCCGCCACGTTGGACAAGGTGAGTACCGCAGGTCTAGTGAACAACAAGTACTCGAACTAATCGGTTCCAGAACGCTTCTGCCAACGGCCATCCCAACAAGGTAGAGGCCAGCCCGGTGGTGGTGCACTGCAGCCCGGGTACCGGCAGGACGGGAGTACTGATGGCCTGCGACATCGCCATCAGGGAGTTCGAGCAGACCCGGCTGGTGGACGTGCCGAAGATCGTGTACAGGATCAGGAGGGATCGGGCCAGCGCCGTGCAGACCAAGGAACAGTACATGTTCATCTACAAGGTGATTACAGGGATCTGTAATTTGACGTGTATGACAGTTCTCTAGTGACAGTTGTTTTTGTACTGAGAGTTGATTGCTTGGATGGTTTATGACGATGGAATGAGTTTAATGTAGAAATTTGTGTTCTGTGACAATGACGGAACTGTTTCTATGGTGTATAATTTTTCAAAATGGCGGTTTAGTATTAGAAAGTAATTTTGACGTAATAATATGACGTACGAGACAGTTCTTTGTGCTAAGACTTGATGCTTGGATGGTTTAAGACAAGTTAATGGACTTGGATGGTTTATGACAGTTGATTGAATGAGTTTAATGTAGAAATATGCGTTCTGTGGCAATGACGGAACTGTTTCTCTGGTGTAAAATGTTTCAAAATGGCGGTTTAGCATTAGAAACTAATTTTCAATCTCAAAACTCTTTTTTTAATGCAAAGTTTCGATGTATTTGCTTCGTTTACGTGCATTTACGTTTAATTGACATTCGACGTACGTCATTTCAGTGTTGCCAATCGTTGATTAATTTTTGTGTGATTTTACGTTTTAGGTTGTCAGCCTGTACGCGACGAAGTTGACAGGTGGCGCGTTGGAATCGTTTTAGCGATGAATTGATTTTTTTTATTTTTATGTTTTAATCAAATAATTATGTATTTTTGTGATATCTAGTGAATATTGAATGTATTTTATTTTGTATATTTTTAATGGAAACAGTACCTATTTGTAAATAAGAAAACAGAATTTCAAATAAAAAACAATGTATATTTATATATTATATACAAAAAGATACGTTTATGTAAAGTTATTTTTTCAAATGTCTTGTAAAAATACTGACAGCTCTCTATTCTGAATATAATTTGTTTTATTGTTAAGTTTTGTTTCATTTTTAGATTTTATCGATCGAATTAATAATCGATTAATCATATACAGATTTCTCCATTTTTTATTGCAACATAGACTACGGGTGCAACAAAGACAACTTCAATTAGACACTTATAAAGGAAAAAGAAAGTGACATTTGTGTCATTGCAACTTTTCACTCTGACAACTGTCATTTTAATAACCTTTCTTTGTTTCACTCATAGAAATGACCATATTGTCCTCTACCATATCAATTATCCAGTCACTTACTATCTTCTCTCCACTTACCGGCCTCTACTATTACAATTACCTAGTCATTTATATGACTATTAAAAAGAAGTAGAAAAAGAAGAAGAAGTAAAAACATGGCGTCGATCACCATTCGAAAACCAGCATGAACATCACCCGGATTTATGTTTTTAGGTACCTATACAACTATTAAAACCAACCAAAATGGCCGACCTAATTCGAATCCACAGGCGAAATCTTCTCGAGCTCGTCTAGCGACGACGCCCCCGACGCCACCGACGCCCCCCACCACCCCCGCCGCCCCTCCTCCTCCTCATCCCAACGGCGCATGCTCGACGCCATGGGACGCATCCTGCGCGACGGCGCCGACGCCGACGAGATATCGCGCATCACGCGCTACGTCCAGATCCCCAAGGAGACGCCGGCGCTGGCCGGGCCGCGGCTCAACCCGGAGCTCAGCGCCGTCTGCGACGACGGCCTCGCCAAGATCCAGCACCAGCTCGGCAAGGCCGTCGCGATGCTCACCAAGATCATCGAAGAACGAGCGACCGGAGCAACCAGATACCTCGGGGACACCAGAAACAAGCACCTGGTGATCGGCAGAGACTCGCTGGAGAGCAAACTCAAGGACCAGTCGATGTCCAAGGACCTGGGGAAGACCAAAGACTCGGCGGTAAGCAAAAACAAAGACCCCAAAGACTCCATAGTTACCAAACACAAAGACCAGTCGATGTCCAAGGACCTGGAGAAGACCAAAGACTCGATGGTAAGCAAAAACAAAGACCCCAAAGACTCCATAGTTACCAAACACAAAGACCAGTCGATGTTCAAACACCTGGAGAAGACCAAAGACTCAGTGGACAACAAACACAAAGGCCCGTCGGGGTCCAAGGACCTGGGAAAGAGCGCAGACTCGGCGAAGAGCGACCTGTGGGGTTCGAAGGAGGCGGGGAAGGGTGGGGAGGCGGTGGCGGGGGAGACGAGGCGGCTGGAGGACGCGGTGAAGCTGCTGGTGGACGTGCAGCACAAGCTGTCGGTGCACCGGAGGGAGATGATTTACGCGCAATTGGGCGAAGCTGAGGGGGCGTTGAGGAGCAGCTGCAGGGATGCGCCCGTCGATGAGGTGCTGTTCGATAGGGCGGCGGTGAGGCGGTGCTGTAGCAAAGGTACCGCAGGTGTTAGGTTGTCTGCGGTGGATTTTGATGGTTAGAAGGTAGAATTAGTGTTGTTCGAAGTAGAGGATTTGGACTATATAAGTGGATTTGTGTTCAATTTTCCTTGCAAAGTTTCAGAGAGGTGGTACGATATTACCTCTATGTCGTAGAGGAGGAATTTACTAAACCTATTAGGTTGGATTATTGAACCTAGTAACTAATCAATGTTGTACTATATGATCCTGAAGTTCCATATTTCCTTCTGCAGTATGATAGGGGTGCTACAAAATAGCCTCTACTTTGTAGAGGAGAATTGAACTAAACCTGTGATTGGACTTATTCAACCTAGTATCAGATAAGTGTTGTACTATATGATCTTGAAGTTCTAAATTCCCTACTACACTATGATAGGGGTAAAGGGGTAGGAAAGAATTGAACTAAACCTGGGATTTTGACTTGTTGCAATGGACTTGTTCAATAAATGTTGTACTATATGATCCTGAAGTTCCAAATTTCCTTCTGCAGTATGATAGGGGTGCTTCTACAAATGCCTCTAAAATAGCCTCTACTTTGTAGAGATGAATTGAACTAAACCTGGGATTGAAATTGTTCAACCTACTAACTGTTAAGTTGTACTACATGCTCCATGTTCAAATCTAATCTACTTATATAATAAACTAGTACAATACATTATCAGTATCTCAGGGGTTAGTACTGAAACATTATTAAGGTACCAAACAGTACCAGTGTCCAAAATTAGGCAGTTTCATTTGAACTACAGTCCAAATTTCGTACAAAATTTTCGATTAAATTAATTCGATCAATCGCTACATTAATTACCCTAAATCTCCGAGTAGATTACAACACTTTATCTACGGCTACTTAAAATCATAACAAGCTTGATTAATTATACTACTAGTAGATAATATTAGTTTATCTACGACCAGTATCGTATCTAATCCGCCCCGTCTGTCCGTAATTATTTTATTAATGCTATTCAGGTGAATGTATTTGTGTCGAGCAAATATAATTAATTAATTAGTGACTTAGGCGATAACTTATCTAATTAAATTCGAAAAAAACATGTATTATATATTAGGTATATATGTTGTTTTGTATTTTCTAAAATTTGCATTGAATGATAGATAAAAATCATTCAAGAGATTCGGGCAAATATTAGTTTTAAATTGACGAATCTATTGCTAATCAATTGATCTATATTTCGATTAAAACCAGTACATATTGGTATTTTTTATTAAGTAATCGTTATTTTATATACATGGTGTTAATTAATTGAATGCTGATAATTTAGGACATGAATATTTGGATGATTTTATAAAGAAAAGTTTATATCAATGTATGTTCTAAACCTCTTAGTTTTTGAGATACAGGGTGTTGAAATTTTAGAAAAAAAAATAACTTTTCTATCATAATTTTCTTATTATGGCAGATATTTTTATAAAATTTCGGACTTTCGGATTTTCATAATGAAAATGTTTTGGGACATTCTGTATGAACATATATTCGTTATTTTATATAAAGCTGCAAGGGCAATGAATTAAATGACTGAACTATTGGGATATTTACAGGGTGTTTTTTTTTATATATTGGCAACACTGGTGTATTAAGTTGGCACCATTGTAAATGTAGTCACTTTTCGGTCCTAAAAATGCTCAATTTTTCCATTTTGAGCTACAATCAATTAATGAAAATAATGAAAATGTTTTTGGGACAAGCTGTATACAATTGATCGAATCGTTATGTATAGCGGTGAAGTCGAGTTTCTGTGTTGTTGTGCACCGGTAATATTAGGTTAAATCTGGTTTAATCTGGACGAAAATTAATAAATATGCACATACCTACGTAACTAATTAGCGGGAATCCCGGCCATTTTGTTTTAAATATTTTTTTTTTATAAAATTTTAATATTTTATTCGGGCGTGTGAACGCAAATTTAGCGCGCTCGAAATTACCGCTCGATGTCTCCGGCTATTCTAATCGGTCTGTAGGTACACAATTTGATTTTATTTTGGTGATTTTTTAGGGCCTATTTGGGAATTAGTGAAAAATGCGGCGCATTTGATGTCTCCAGCTGTTGTTCTCGGTCTGTACACAAATTAATTTAATTTTTGGGGGTATTTTTTAAGGTAATTTGAATCGAATTGGTAAAAAATCCGGCGCGCTTGATGTCTCCGGCTATTCTTCTCGGTCTGTACACAACATAATTTTATTTTTGGGGGGTTTTTGGTGATTTTTTTTGGGCCTATTCCGAGTACGTTTAGAACGGGTAATTTGAATTCAATTAGTCAAGGGTAATTAGTACGTTGGGTAATTAGAGTGATTATCGCAAGTGCATTGAAATAATTTACCTCTACGCGTATTAATATTATATTTTATCGCAAAAATCTATAAATATTAATGCGAAACGAAATTCCAGAAAAACATTGTTTAAGGTTACTTTTAATGCTAATTGTTATCGTTTCGAAATCGTTACAGGACGGACAACGAAAACATTTGCGTTATACTGTATAGTGATTTTTATTTTATTTTATTTTTTTTTTCTATTTGATTTTTTTATTGTTCAATAACGTTCGTTTGTATTAACATTCCTCGTGTTTGGAGGTTTTTGCGGTAAAAATCGCCGGAGAATTAGCACCTAATTATTTCGCGTGTAACAACACTAATCTGTCGCACTAGCGTTAAAGTGAGCGTTGGAATAACAATAAAATTGGGCAATTACGCCTCTACAAGCGTCCTAAATATCGTTATTTTTTTTTGTATGAAACTAGCGAATAATTAGTATAATTGCTAATTACGCGCTATAGAAACGGGTGGAAACGTCAAAATTGTCAAACGTCAAAATGATTTTAGCGGGAAAAAAAACTGTCAAGTTGGCTGCCATTTCGAATCTTTGTATTCGTAAAATGAAAATTTCGTTTTAAAACGCGACCATCTGGAGCGATAAATGTTTCCCGTACGCCTATAAAATAATAATAAAAACACTCCGAACGTCCCTCGTAATTCACATTTTAATCGAAGGCGATTTCAATAAAACTTAAGTGATCCGAATTTTCGATGCGCGGATATTAATCGAATCGAAGCGAAGAGCAAACAAATCCGGATAAAACGTTTTAAACGGTTTAAAAATGAAAAAAGTTTCGCCGTTCTTCAAAACAATAATACCAAGAAAACGAACAAATCTTCGAAAATGGTGGACAAAATCCCACAGTCAACTGTCATCTGTCATTTTGTCATCGCCAATTTTGTCATCTGTCATATGTCACCTGCCATCTGTCACCTGTCATTTGACATTTTGTCATCTGTAATTTTGTCATCTGTCATCTGCAATGTTGTCATCTGTCATATGTCACCTGTCATCTGTCATCTGTCAAAATTAAAATATAGAGCGAATATCACTGAGAAAATTCGATTAGGTATTTTTCATTATTACTTAGGTGAATGATTGAAAAAAAAACGTTCTTTTTTATGGAACGGCATATTTAACGTAAAATGTCAAAATAAAAACGTACAGGGTGTTTTACACGTTACAAAATAATAATAATAATAATAATAATCGAAATAAAAACGTTACAGGGTGCGAAAAAATTTTCTTTATTTTAGACGCTTTGTATGGAAAATTTCGTGGGAATTTCGACGACGATTTCGGGACGCCCTGTATACAACACAAGACGAAACGTTCTCGAACGGGTTTTGTCCGCACACATTTTACTATTTTGTCCCACATGCTATCGATAGTAACAGTAAACAAATAATACGAAAATTAACCGAAAAATCGCGCCGACCGGATCAGTTCGGATCGATCGATTCGAGTTAAATCGAGTTCGAAAAAATCGCGATATATAAAAACGCCAGCCGGCGCTTCCACTGCGAAAAACCGCCGCCTTCCAGCCCCAGTCGAACCGCGTCCGTCGCGCCAAACACAGCGCCAAACACAGCGCCGTTTCATCCAACTTATCATCCACCAAATACAAACAACAAGTTTCAACCAAAACATCAACCAACCCACAATGGCGGATTGAACAATTCGTGGGCGATTGACTTGGGCGACTGTTACCTCACATACATCCCGGAGGAATCCGCGATTAGGATGGGCGATCATCGAGGGCGCCGCGGCGGCGGCGGCGGCGTCGAGAACTCCGGCTTCCAGTTGCAGGAGACGGTGCAGCAGCATCAGGAGCTTCAGCAGGAGCCGTGCCCGAGGAACGGGCATCACCAGCCGCCGCCGCCCAAGCGGAAGAAGTCGCTGGTGCAGCTGACGAAGGAGGCGCTGCCCAGATTGGAGAACTACCGGAATTCCAGGAAGGCCGTGAAACGGCCCAGCTTGGGGGAATTGCACGAGGGCGAGGAGTCCGTTAAGGTCAGTTTGAGACATTTTTGTTTGGGCTGTATCGATTCTATTTGGGTGTTAAATTGACTCTGTTAGGTGTTAAATTGACTCTATTAGACGTTAAATTGACTCTGTTAGACGTTAAATTGACTCTATCGGTTGTTAAATAGACCCTATTTCGCGCTAAATTGATTTTCTTTACTAATGTTAAATGGATTTTATTGGCTGTTAAACTGACTCTATTGTGTCTTAAATTGACTCTATTGGACATTAAATAGACCCTATTTCGCGATAAATTGACTCTATTAGGTGTTAAATAAACCCTATTTCGCGCTAAATCGATTTTCTTTATTAATGTTAAATGGATTTTATTGGCTGTTAAATTGAATCTATTGGGCGTTAAATTGACTCTGTTAGACGTTAAACTGACTCTATTGGGTCTTAAATTGACTCTATTGGGCATTAAATAGACCCTATTTCGCGATAAATTGACTCTATTGGGTGTTAAATAGACCCTATTTCGCGCTAAATCGATTTTCTTTATTAATGTTAAATGGATTTTATTGGCTGTTAAATTGAATCTATTGGGCATTAAATTGACTCTGTTAGACGTTAAACTGACTCCATTGAGTCTAAAATTGACTCTATTGGGTGGATACTGAGCTCTATTGGGCGTTAAATTGACTCTTTTGGGTGTTAAATTGACTCAGATTGACTGAGAACATTTTTAACAAAAAATTAATTAATTTACCGATACGCACAATCAATTCAATTAAATCCTCCACCAGAGTCTGCCTTTAGAAAATCTGATTAAAATTATTATTACTACAAAAAAAATCGAATTTTTCACATTTTTTTTTATATTCGATTCGGTTTCTGCGAAGAGTCCTCGAGTGGATTTTATTAATAAATCCGATGATTCTCGAATTAGAAACGCTTAAAAAAATCGTATTATACGCGATGCATCGATGCACTTCGCATCGATTTTTACAATCGAAAATAATATACAGGGTGTCCCGCTAAAGAACCGACACAGAGCAAGGGACCCCTTAATTTAACTATTATAGATTGCCGCTCTGTGCGGGTTCTTATGGACATCCTGTATAATAAAAAAAAATATGTAAAATCTCGAAATTCAAACGAGAAAAAACCGATTCTCCAATTAAATGCTTTCGATTGTTTTAATCGATTCAATTGAAGCGCGCTCTCGCCTGTCTAATTGCCTGTATCTCAATTTTATTTGAGATTATTTTAAGCGAAAAATCTCGTTTGAGATACAAAGTAAACGGGCAATTAAACGTTTTTTTTTTACTATTTTTTTTCCATCCAGGAAACCTGCTCCATAGACACCAGCGACCTCCTGGAGGAATCCAGCGAAGGGCACACGGGCATCAAGCTGGGCTGGATCCAGGGCGTGCTGATACCCTGCCTGCTCAACATCTGGGGCGTGATGCTCTTCCTGCGGCTCTCCTGGGTGGTGGCCGAGGCCGGCATCGGTACGTACCCGATTCGGCACCGCTCGACCGAAAAAAATATTATATTGTCGGGCGCTTCCATTTCGAAACGGGACCGGTTCGAATGAAATTACGCGAACGCGTGAATTTTACGTTTCCAACCGGTTCGTACCGGTACTGGTCGGTTATTCGGGTACTCGAGAATTTCCACAAATCGATTGCGAAGCTCCAGAGACGGATTTGGAGTTTTTTTTTCTCGCGGCATTTCGAGTAGGCGGCTGTCATCGAGTGACAAGTGTGACAGTCGTTGTCGATTTCCCCTGGTAGGGTGCTTTTGACATTGACATTATTTTTTAGGCGAATTATTTTAATGGCGCCATTAAATAGAAATGCAATGGAGCTTCGTAATCCCTTGTGAGCGCAATAAAATAATAAAACGAGCGAATAAATACGCTTTATTTTCGGTTACTTTGCTTGTTTTTTATATTATGCATAATTTATGTAATGCATGTTTTTTATTGAAATATGTAAGAATCGTTGCATCATTAATGAATGGGCAAATAACTCTGTTCTATTACAAAAGAATTGCCTAGAGTCTAGACTACACCGTTTTTGCATTTTTTCTATTTTTTATACAGAGTCTTCTTTAAATCTATTAAAATGTCTGCTTGTGGCTCTTCTTAAAAACGTAAATTATTCGTTTTAGAAGCTTAGTTTATCTACAATACTTAACGAGTGTAATTTACTCGTTAACTATTTGGTTTTTATATCTATTGATTATTTTTTTTACAATTTTTTTAAAGGTCATTCGTTGCTGATAATAGCCCTTTCTGCAGCTGTGTGCATAATAACGACGCTCTCCCTATCGGCAATTTGCACGAATGGAGAAGTCAAAGGGGGTAAGGGCCGATTTAATCTCATTATTTCGTTATTTTTTGATCATATCAATGAATATTTTAGCCATTTTCATGTTTAATTTGACCGATCTGACAGGTATTTTAACCATTTAGGCAGATAGAATGAGAATTTCCTTGTAGTATATGTTCTTTCCATACTTTTAATCCATTTCAAAAAGCATTTTAGCAATCACCATTAATCTTCTGATTCATAAAAAAACATCCACCAATCCACTCGAAACCTCCAAAATCACAACTTTCTCCAACCCCAAAAAAACACCAATCTTAATGAACCATTTCAAACATATCCACTTATCACTATATCATCTCATTCTCCAAACCCCCTCCCAACAACACACCAAATCCTCACGAACATTGCAGTTTGCGAACTTCCATTCCAGGCGGCATCTACTACTTCATATCGCGCTCGCTCGGCCCCGAATTCGGCGCCTCCGTCGGCGTCGTCTTCGCCTTCGCCAACGCCGTCTCGGCGTCGATGAACACCATCGGCTTCTGCAACTCCCTGAGCGACCTGCTCAGGCACTACGATCTGCAGATCGTCGACGGCGCCGTCCAGGACACCCGCATCGTCGGCACCGTCGCGACGCTCCTCATGATACTGATCTGCGCCGTCGGCATGGAGTGGGAGTCCAAGGCGCAGAACTTCCTCATCGCCGCCATCGTCGGCGCCATGGCGGATTTCATCGCCGGCACCATCATCGGCCCCGTCGATGACGTGCAAAGGGCCAAAGGTTTCGTCGGATTCAATAGTAAGTTTGTTATATAATCATACCATTTGCTATTTTCTGATATCTCATGTAGGTATGTCATCTTATAGTAGTATCAATGGATGGCACTTCTTACATATGGTCATAACAAATTCTTATTGTCTTGAAAAAGACAGGTTTTTTTGTCCTATACCTGTACATGATTGTCTTTCTCTTGAAATCTATTGCTTCATGGACAATATACTTCGAGTATTCTCTAATATTTCACTTATACCGGTACAATGGATGTTACTTCTCTATGCCATCTTACATGTGGCCATATCAAGTGCTTGTTGTCTTGAAGAAGACAGATTGTAATCTCTTTGGATGCCAGTAACAAATAAATGAAGCTTGTGACAGTTCTTACGTTGTGGGCAATTCTTTTGGGAACGATTAGTCTCTTTCGAACAGGAATTTCTCGTTTCAACGATGGCCAATTCATTGGCAAATCCGAGCCCTTTGCTTGTCGATTCCATCGAATAGCGCTCGTTGTTCGATCGTTTCTCCAGCGACACCCGGTCTGACGCGTTAATTGCGAACAAAAACATCTCGACGCGTCGTAAACAGGTCGTCTTACCTACGCCCTGACCGCCTTTTTACGCCCGATCGATAGGCGCTCGTAACGTAAACAAGTCGTGGCGAAAATAGAAGCGAATCGACACCTCTTCATTTGCATGTTAATGATGACAATTTACCGCGAGAGAAAAAACATTGCCTGACAAGAAGGTGGGTTCGTTGGAGCGGATGGTTTCAGGGAATTTTCGAGGATATCCTGAGGATTTCATGTTAGGTGGAACTTCGTTCATTGTTCAATCAACTTTATTCAAGTTAAACAATTCTGTAACAAGTATTTTTTTTTGTATCGTTCCAGCGACGCTGTTCGCGGAGAACTGGCCGCCGGCGTACAGGCCTCAAGACGACATAAACTACAACTTTTTCCAAGTGTTCGCCATATTCTTTCCATCGGTCACCGGAATACAAGCCGGCGCTAACATATCAGGCGATCTAAAAGTACGTACAACACACACACATACACTTAGCAATCTGAAGTTAGCTCCGAATTAACTTGGCGCCCTCGCTCCTACCCACCACCTCCTTCATCTCGAAATACCACCCGCCGATTTTCGTGTGTCCGAGCAAATCCTCGAACGCCCGGCACCCTTCGATGCTGCTCAGCACCCCGTAGACGGCCAGATCGCCCAGATTCGGGCGATCGCCGCCCAGGAACCTGCCCCCCTTCGCTCTCACGGCCTTCAACCAAACGTTACACTCATCGTATAACGATTGTCTCACATCGTCTTTGAGATTGTGCCGCTTCTTGAGCCTCTTACCGATCAGCCACATGGCGGCGGCGCCTGCGTAGATGATCAAGTGGCGCTCCCAGGCGGGGAAGTTCATCTCCCACTCGCCCACGTCGGAGAACCATCGGAAGGCCTGCAGGGCTTCGTCGCGCGTTCGGTAGACGTTGGGTGAAAGAGTGTGAACGAGGACTTCGTCCGCCCAGCTCCTCCATTTTCGCTCTTCTTTTTCATCTAGCTCGTCGGCCTTCGATCGGGAGGCTCTCGACAGCATGACGAAGTATTTGTTCATTATTTCGCTGGTCTTGCGACCGCCGTCGTTTACGTATGATATGAAGGGGTAGTAGTTGACGATTTCGTAGATGTCTTTGTTGCCTTCGAACAGGTAGGTGGCTATGGCGGATACGATCATCGAGCTATCGTTTAACGGCTAAAAAGAAGATGGAGTTAATGATGGATGTATTGGTGTTATTTTGTTGGATTTACTTGGAGTCCTTGTTCGCTTTTGGCTACGAGTATGGGTACTTTTTTGTATGGTGACCATTTGATGGCTTGTCTTAGAACGGGATCCACTTCGATGACGTTATAGGATATACCGTAGTAGTCTAAAAAGGCTCTGACTTTGCAGCAAAACGGACAGGTTTGGTACTGGTAGAGTGTCAGTTCTAATCCGCTTCGATCCTCTACGTGCTTGATTATCTTCGATGGTTTTATGTCGGGCACGTATTCGACGAGTTTTATTCGAGTTTCTTCGTTCACTAGGTGAGCGTTGGGTTTATTCATGTAGTATATCGAATAGCCGGTGCCTAGTAGTAGTCCCACCGAAGCGCTGGCGAAACCGATCCCGAATATCCCCTTTTTTTGCTTGCCTGAGGAGACATTTCTAACTAATAACCTCGAAACGGGTAATACTGTTTGAACGAATAGTCTATTTGGTAAAATTAACATGTTTCAAATCGAATTAATACGCTTATTTTTAATCTAATCTTTACTTATTTTCAAATACATGTTGAAAATAAATGACACAAGTCAAAAATGACACTAATGACATTGACGTGACACGTGACATTCACGTGATTTTCGTAAATATGCGGAATTATTGAAGAAATCGTGCAAATTTATCGATTATATCGAGTAATTTGATAAGATTCAACAGAAATGGATAAATAATTGCTGAATTATAGGAATAAAATAAACGATGAAGAAAAGTAGGTAGCTAGATGATGCAATAAACGAGGTCAGTTAGCACCAAAATAATTTGACATAAGTGACAGTTGATGTGACAATAACTTAATTTTTAGGTTAAATATAGGTTATTTTTTGATTTCGGGTTAATTTTCACTACAAAAACTGTACAAAATGCTAAAATTAACGAAATATCGCATATAATCCTAAAGCTAAATTATAGGAATAAAATAAACGATGAAGAAAAGTAGGTAGCTAGATGATGCAATAAACGAGGCCAGTTAGCACCAAAATAATTTGACATAAGTGACAGTTGATGTAACAATAACTTAATTTTTAGGTTAAATATAGGTTATTTTATTTGATTTCGGGTTAATTTTCACCACAAACCCCGTACAAAATGCTTAAATTATCGAAAATATCCCTATATGAAACACCACGCAATTGCAGGGAGTATAAACATAACCACAAAAAAAGGTAAATTCTACCCTACATAACTAACAACAAGATCCATAAACGCCCCATTCAAGAACCTCTAACGTTCATAATACAATTTAATCGCAACAAACGCACCAATCAAAACCATCTAACCAATTCCAGGACCCCGCCACGGCCATACCGAAGGGCACCCTCCTCGCCCTGCTCATCTCCATGGCCTCCTACGCCCTGTTCGTCATATTCGCCGGCGGCGCCGCGATGCGCGACGCCAGCGGCGCCGTCTCCGACCTTTCAAACGCCACCCTCACCGCCTGCGCCGCCAACAACACCTGCCCCTTCGGCCTGTTCAACAGCTACGAGATGATGCAGATCATGTCCGGCTGGTGGCCCCTCATCTACGCCGGCTGCTTCGCGGCCACGCTCAGCACGGCCCTCACCAATCTGCTGTCGGTGCCTCGGCTGGTGCAGGCGCTCGGCATCGATCGCATCTACCCGGGCCTGATCTACTTCTCGAAGGGCTACGGGCGTAACGGAGAACCCTACAGGGGCTACGTGCTGACGTTCGCCGTGTCGGTGGCCTTTTTGTTGATCGGTAATCAGCTAGTAAATGTTTTTGGATTGGTGTATTTAATATATTTGTTTGTAGCTGAATTGAATGCGATAGCTCCGTTGATTTCGAACTTCTACCTGGCCTCGTACGCTCTGATTAATTTCTGTACATTCCACGCGGCTTTGATCAAACCGTTGGGGTGGAGGCCGACGTTTAGGGTGAGTTTCACCACGATTTTATCGTAATAAATACTAATCGTAGCATCTTAATTTTAGTATTACAACACTTGGTTGAGCTTAGCAGGATTCCTTCTGTGCGTTGTTATAATGTTCCTGATCAACTGGTGGTCTTCGTTGATAACGTTCGGTATCATATGGGGCTTGTATTTGCTCGTTGTTTATAGAAAACCCGGTAAATGTTACTTACTTTCACACACCGGATGATTGCTTTATGTTATGTATTTGTAGATGTAAATTGGGGTTCTTCTACGCAAGCGCAAACGTACAAAACGGCCTTGACGACAGCGCAACGATTGAACAACGTCAACGAGCACGTGAAGAACTACAAACCGCAGATATTGCTGTTGAGCGGCGCCCCCCAATCGCGCCCCCTCATCGTCGACTTCGCCAATTTGATCACCAAAAGCCATTCGTTGCTCATCATAGGCGACGTGATTAACGTAAGCTTTACGCTAACTCGCATAGAGGGCCGTTAAGTACTCGGGGTGATTTCGTTGATTTGCAGAAGCGCGTCCATCACCGCGTCAGATCGGCTAGGACGACCAAAGGCTACGCCTACTTGCGCAGCAGGAAAATCAAGGCGTTCTATACGATCGTCGATAACGTGTCGTTCGAGGTGGGCGCCGAGGCGCTCCTGCAGACTTCGGGTATCGGCAAATTGTGTCCCAACGTGCTGATGATGGGCTACAAGAACGATTGGCGCACCTGTCCCAAGGACGAGCTGCTCGGCTACTTCGATGTGCTGCAGTAAGCGCTCTATATAAGCGGCTCTAACATTGTTTTATTTGTTATGTTTTAGCGCCGCGTTGGATCATCGCGTGGCGGTGACGATCCTCCGTCTGGAAGACGGATTGGACTACGCCAAATTGCTGGACGACGACGAGCAGATGCAATTGAACAACAGCTCGAACAACGATAACACGCTGTCGGCTTCGAACAGACAGGATTTGAGGACTTCGGTGTCCAGCAGCATCATGCACGCCGATTCTAATCTGAATTTGACCAACGTGGGATTGCCCGAGAACCATTCCTATCTAAGTACGTACCCAAATCGCGCTTTTCGCCGACAGTCGGACGGCAAACTGAGCTATTTACGACTAGTCGGACGGTAAACTGAGCTATTTACGACTGTAGTCGGACGGTAAACTGAGCTATTTACAACCACAGTTAGACTGAAATGTAAATATGATTGCAGACGTGCAAGCGTCGGCGAACGGGGGGCAGAAGACGGCGCAGAGCCGGGGCGAGATGGGGCCCGATCAGCGGGCGAAGCTGGAGGATAGGGTGGATTTGTTCAAGAGGAAGCAACCGAAAGGGTTCATCGACGTGTGGTGGTTGTACGACGACGGCGGTTTGACCATGCTGTTGCCCTACATCATATCGACGAGGAACAGTTGGTCGAGTTGCAAGTTGAGAGTGTTCGCATTGGCGACCAACAAGAACGAGTTGGAATTGGAGCAGAGAAAGTACGATTTATTTCGATTTATTTCGTGCGTTTTATTGTGGTGTTTGTTTGTAGCATGGCGTTCCTGTTGTCGAAGTTTCGATTGGATTATTACAGTTTGAAAATGGTGTCGATCTGCGATAAGCCGCAAGATTCGACTATAGATTTTTTCAACGAATTAATCGATGGTTTCAAGACGACCGATGAAGTCGAAGAAAACGGTAATATACCCACTAATACTCTCTACAATCGGGTTAATTTAATTGTGTACTCTCAGATTGCATGGTGAACGTGTCGGAGGTGGCGGCGTCGCAGGAGAAGACCTACAGACAATTGAGATTGAGAGAGTTGCTGTTGCAGTATTCGAGCGACGCCAATTTGATCGTCATGTCGCTGCCGATGCCGAGAAAGGGCACTGTATCAGCGCCTTTGTACATGGCCTGGCTGGAGGCGCTCACCAAAGATTTGCCCCCCTACTTGTTGGTCCGGGGCAATCAACAATCTGTGTTAACTTTCTACTCGTAGGTTTTTTTAAGTCGAATTGCGGCGTTTTAAGGATTACAAGACGTTTCATTTTGCGCTTGTAGACCTGTAAAATACTGTAATTTGTTTTGTTTGTATTATATGTACGATAAATTTTTCGAATAAATCGATAACGAAGTAACATTCCCGTAGTAATTTATTTTTATGTAAAAACAATCTAACAAAAGTATATAAATATTTCTAAACGACTAAACCTTACTTCTTTGCTTTCCTTTTAGTACAGGTACGATGTATAATCACGGTTCGATACGTTGAAGTATGTGAGTTTTTATCGAAGGCTCTCCGAATCTTCTAGCAGCCTCGCTCATAAAAGCCTCCTCCATTTGGCTGACGAGCTTCGAGAAAAAGATCGAGGCCACTTGCGAGTACAACGCCGACTTGAAGTCGAAGCGAACGGAGAAGTCCACGATGCACGATTTGGGATTGCTCGACAAGCCCGCGTGGAATATCCAAGTGGACTCCAAATTGTGGAATATCCTGCCGTTGGAGCACACGGCGCGCACGTAGTTGGGCTCGTCGAGGCGCACCGTCGACTCGTAGTGCTCGATGATGGGCGGAAAGCCGATCTCCAGGTCGGCCCGCATGCGCTTCGGCTCGCTCGATAACACGGAGGATTTGGTGCAGAACGGCAGGAACTTCTGGTAGCTGCCCACGTCGGCCACCACTTGGTACATTTCGCGCCGCGAGAATCCGATCAGTTTCCTCGCTTTGTGGGCGATTTCCTTGCCGGAGGAGCCTCCGAACAAGCGGCTGGCTGCGCGACCGGTCGCTCGTAGACCCGCCCGCCGCGTCACTTGGGAATAGAGCATCTCTCGCGGAGATAGATCGGCATCATTTGATTCATTTCTCACATTCGAAAATCGTTTTAATTTCGCTTCGAATAGTTCGAAAAATTTTGAGGTTATGTGCAGTTACGTGTGACATTTGACAGGTGCGTTCTTCTCGTTTTTTGGCTTATTTTAACCTTCTATTCGTTATAATCGATTCGGTTTAGTTGTTTTCGAGTCTTTATTGTATTTTTTGTAGCTTACAGAAGTAAGTGGGGCCGAAATTTTGGTCGACTAGCGGTATGACCAAGTGGCCGTATCTCAGCATCCTCTGCTCGGCGAATTTGTAAACGCTTTTCGTTTGCATCAGAGCCGGTGAAAGATCCCTAAAACAAAGAATAATCAAGTAAATATAGAAAAATAAATAACATTTAGTGGAATCACTACGAATTTTTCACTCGAGAAGTTTGCCACAATTGTACCTGTCAAATGTCAATTTAAAAAAACTCCACCAAAATTAATCCACTAATGTAAGTAATTCCTATTAAAATCAATTTTAAATAAAAACAAGTATCCAAAGTAGATGAGAAACGAACAATAAAACCATCACCAGCACAATTTTCAAATAAATCCCAAAATTCGACCGCCTGAAGTTAGGCACTCTTAAAAATAACCAACCCCAGTTAGCCCTTTACGTATCAGCTATTCAGTACTAACTTGACGATTATCTTCATGTCGGTCTCCTCCCAAGCGCGCTTCAGCGCCATGTGTACGACGCCGTCGTTTTGTATGGGGCTCAACGTGCACGTCGAATACACCACAACACCCCCTTTTTTAACCAAATTCAAGGCGTGAAAGAGTATCTCCCCTTGGAGTTCGGGCAGCTGCAATCGCTCCTTGATCCTCGACGGTTTGAACACGTTGTTGTCGTTTTCGTGCAGCGATATCCTATCGGTCGTACAGGGCACGTCCACCTGGAAAACCGAACGGATAAAGGCCAAATTCCCGGTACGATTTATCCGCGTAACTACCAGTATTCGATCGTAATGATCGTAGTCTATCGAGCGGGCGTCGCGTTGCGTCAATTTGACTTTCCCTTTGCCCAGCCAGCTGTCCTCGAAGTCTATCAGGAACTGCTTGTAGACGCTTTGCATTCGTCGAACTCTCGATAGAGACACATCGTTCGATACGATTCGCTCGGGGTACAGTGTTTGCAGGGCTAGTAGGCTTTTACCGCCGGGGGCACAGCACATGTCCAACACCCTGTTGTTCGGTTTGATGTCCAGAGCTAGTACGGGCAACACGGAGCCTCCGTCCATGAGATAGTAATTTAATACGCCTAAAAAATAACCTCGAGAACTCATAACCTGTTTGTATATACAGTAATTGTTACCTGTAGAGGCTCTTTTGGCCGGAGGGAAGTCGCTTTTGTTGCCCTCCTCGAAGCAGTAGACGTTCAAATGCTCGGGGAAGTGGAGATCGTATTCCTTGGACACGTCCACGTGGAACTCGGCCTTCTGATCGTACATCTTGTAGTGGCTGGATTCCAGTATGAAATCCTCCTTGCCTTTTATCCTGGTGGCCGGTACGAATTGGTGCAGGACCTCGACCGACAACGAATCGTCGCTGTCGATCAATCGTTTGGTGTCCAAATCGGCCTGGTCCAGGCTGGTCTTCAGCGAATAATCGCTAGCGTTGAACGTACGAGGCGCGTCCGGTTTGACTTCTGTACCTTCGGGTGAATCGGGTGTAGGGGATTCCCTTCGGAATATCTCGTCGAGCACCCGGTCGGGTTTGTTTTGAGCCAGGGCTGCTTCGATGTAGCCCTTTTCCAAGGCGAATAACTTCCGGATGTTGAGGGCCCCCAGGGATTCCAGCGCCGACTTGGTGGCTTCGAGGTCTCCGTAGTAGTTGAGCACGGCTACGTACTTGTGGCGGTCTTTTAATAGAGCCTTGCGGATCGACAGCCACTTTTTGCTGTACACTTGATTGTAGAAATCGTCGAAGTGTTGGAGGGCTTTGTCCACTGCGAAGGTTTTCTTGCGCACTACCGACTGAAACGCGAGGAAATGAGTTTTTTGTGTTTATTTAGTGAGGTTATTTTCTTACCCAGTGGTGATCGGGGTTTTTGTATCGAATTATCGCTTTGCTTGGTACATTCGCACGCTTTAATAGTTTAGCAGGGAACATTTTTTTGTGTATTTATTAGTTTACTATTCACCGCAAATTACAATAGATTATTTTTAGGTTAGGCTGTCATTTTGTGGACTTTTACGTATAGTTATTCAGGTACAACAGCCTCTAGTGAAGTTGGTAAGTTATGCTAAAAAAAACAGTAATTTACAATATAATAGTTTATTCTTACTACTTGGTGGATAACAAAAAGGTATTTTTAATACAGATGATGGAAAAAAAAATCTTACCCGAACAATGAATGACAAATGACAGTTCCTCTTCTATTTTATAAGTTTCCACTGGCCTGGTCCTGTCACCTTAAGCTACTAAAGATACAAGCAAAAACTCCCTAAAAATTCAACGAAGAAAAGTGTATATCAATTTATTAATAATAAAATTCCCTACTATATAAAATACTTTTTAAAATATCGTTAAACTTAACGTATACAAATAAACAATAATCTATCGGAATGGACCAGTATCTCAGACAGTAGTAAGCGGTATGGCTTTAAAATTAACGATCGCCTCGTTCTGCAACAGCGGCTTCTTCTCCTCCTTCTTCTTGTTCTTCCTCTTGCCCTTCTCCCTGTTCGTCACCCCGTCCTCCTTGTCCATCATCCTGATGATTTGCACCTGATCGGACGAATCGATCGGCGCCACCGAAATATCCCGCACGGCCCTGAACTGACCGCAATTGTTCAAATGCTCGTTCTCCAACCGGAAAAAGTTCCACACGAACCGCCTGAACACCTCCAACGGCGACAGAATCGACGTCATCAGGTCCCCGCTGACGTAACCGTACTCTGTTAAGTACACGGATAGAGTCCACACGAACCTCAGCACGAAATCCTCGATGATAGCGAAATAATAGAAGAACTGAAAAACACGACAATTAGAGTACTAGTAACGTGAAGGGTAGTAGTTGAATACTTTAGAGGAGTATACGGTTTCTTCTCGAAGGAACCGATTCTCTCCGGCCGATTTATCCAGCAGGCCCCAATCCATCTTGATGTCCCAAGTGTACGAGTACACGGAGCTCAGTATTTGCGCCGCTATCCACAGGATCATGTAAGGATTGTGCGAAGAAGTCGGATAATCGTCTGGAAAACGAGCGATTAGTGTAAACGAACTAATCGTACGATTCGATAGTACCTTTGTAGACGGATCGTAGGGTGCCGAACAACACCACGAGGAACGTCGTCGAGTACTTCCCGGCGTTGACCAAGTGAGGAAAAGCGTCCTTGCTGTCGTAGTACCGTCGAAGACATTGCGCGAAACGCAACCAAGCCGGAATGCAATTGACTAGAGGTCTCACGATGAAGCTCTTCTCCATGCATTGGGTGGTATCTGAAAGATTAGAAATGGTTGTAGAAGAGTTTAAATGTATTGGATGTAATTGAAGTACCTCCAGCTTCCAGCCAATTGCCGTTGGTGAAGTAGAAACAACCCAAAAACTGGAAATCCATGAAAGCGTTCACCAGACTGTTGAACTGATCGCCCAGCCAGAAATCGGCGAAATCCACGTGGAAAAACGGCGCTCCGAAGCAACGACCCTACAAATGCAACAATCAAAAACCAATCCTCCACCACGCCATATACACCTACACATATCCTAAGGAACCAGAACCTTGCATCGTGCCGGAACACTTTAAACGGATTCACCAGAAAAGCCACCATGATGAGCGTCAGCGCCAGCGGGTTCACGTACGGCGGTATGCTCAAGCTCGAGCTGTAGAGGAAGTTCAACAGGCTGAGGGCCCACACCACGCCGAAGATGGCCGCCAGCTCCATGAGGTGCTGCTCCGAGAGGTGGTTACGAGGGTCGAGCTCGAAGATCAACACGTGGTTGACGCCCGACGAGCGCCAGCCGTAGATGTTGACGCCGATGAGGAAGAGGATCTCGATGATGAGCAAAGGGCCGCGGTACAGCCGGAAGGCGATCTTCATGTTCTCCGAGGAGCCCTCGTGGAAGACGGCCGAGAGGACGACGGCGATGAGGAGGACGATGAAGGAGCCGGAGAAGAGGCCCACTTTGAAGGTGGTCCAAGGGGATTGTTGCTCGCCCAACGGGGGCACGCGCAGCCGTTTCATGGCCTTCTGTCTGTCGCCGGCTTCGAGATCGTTGGTGACCGTGTTCTCGGTATCGTTGATCAGCTTGTCGATGTCTTTGTTGGTGAAGAAGTGCGAGGTCTCCACGTGTTCCTGTCGCCATTTGGCGCCCACCTCCGTGGAGAACAACTACAAACTTTTATTAATTATTTATGCGATTAACTGTATAGCGTTTAATACTTTATCGTGTTTCTTTAGGATCTTCCGGAAGCCCGTGTGGTTCAACGTTTGGTAGTTCTGCAGTAAGATGAGGCTCAAATAGAACTCGCTGAAGGCCAGTTTGAGCTCCTGGAGTTTCCTGATGGGCGTTCGCCGGTGCCTGGACTTGCCCACGCCGACTTGATTGAGCGAGTCTTTCAGTTCGCTGTGCAAACTGGCGAACTTCCTGGTGGCCTCGGCCATTTTTTCGGCGTAAAACGTGTTGATTTTCTTCAGTTCTTTGTCGCAGTAGAGGAGGAATTGTTCTTCGAAGTTGGCCAAGTGTCGGGTGACTATCTCGGGTTCGACGCTCTCCTCCGAGGGGGCCTCCTCCACGGCCATGTAGAGCATGCTTTTCATTTCCTGCGAAAGTTTAAGTTGTTAAAGAAGGTGTTGGGTTGGTTTTAGAACGATTTACCTCGTAGTTTATGTATTGTTTCCGCCATTCCGGTGTTATGTGGGCCGTTAGATGTTCAGCGAACTTCATGATGCAGTGGATTGCTGGATTTTTGCTCGCTTAATTTAATTATCACAATGGTTGTTAGCTAATCATGCGTTCAAACGTTTGATTAGAATAATTTGTTGAATCAATATGGAATTAGATAAAATTTATGGACGGCGTATTTGCACGGAGCGCAATGCATACCGATTTTGTTGATATATCTCCGATTAAAGCGCTGCAAATTGTAAACAATAAATAATAAAAAAAAACTTTATTGCTTTCGGCGGGCGTAATCTCGTGATAAAAAATATTTACATTTTCGATTTGGAATTTGGATTTTGAATTGGGGTTATGTAAACGTCAAAAATGTGACGTTTCGTATTGTGAATTGTGAAGTTAGCTACAATTATTTGACAAGTGGCCGCGTTGCCGTTGGTGTTAAACCTCAAAGTAAAAAAGAAGAAGAGATATTTCAAAATTGTAACGAATTATTTCAAAATTTGTTCATTATTCACTTATATTACTGTTTTTTTATACACCTTGCTCCATTTCCGATTGCAACGTGGTCATTTCTATGAGTGGAACAAAGAAAGATTATTAAAATGACAGTTGTCAGAGTGAAAATTTGCAATGACACAAATGTCACTTCCTTTTCCTTTGTAAGTGTCTAATGGAAGTTGTCTTTATCGCACCCATGGCCTATATAACCTATGTTGCGTTCAAAAATGGAGCAACCTGTAGAATATTCGTCTAAACGAAAAGGAAATTTGTTATGAAAACGCTTTATATTTCGTAATATTGAATAATTTTATTACCTATAAGAAAAAAAATGTACAAAACATGCAATTCGTTGCACCTATTTATCACATTACATTTTATGATTGAGCAATGATTTGTTTACCATTTTTTTAACGAATTTAATTACAAAACAAAATGGGGTTATAAAAAAAATTACAATACAACTCGGCAAGTACGCGAATTCACAACAAAATATATCCTGGATTATATTATAATATATTAATTTAATTCTAAAGTAATACAATAAAAATAAGTAAAAAATGTGTTATGGCACACAGGCATTCTATTACACTATAAATACAAAATATAAACCTCAATACCATAAATAGCTAATTAGTTTAATTTATAATAAAATAATTTAAAATTACAACTAAGGAAATCGTTCTATACCATCTCGTTCGAGAGGCCAAGGTAGGATAAGTAAATTCAAGAGGTCGGATCGTATCGATACTGACGTGACGTCACTCGACAACCTATTAAACTTACCGATTTCGCCATTTTATACAGGTAACTTTGAATAACGGTGAACTTTAATCGGTTATCCTTCTATTTAAATTAACGCAGAATAATTTAATAATCGTTAGAAATTTTCAGCTTTTCGAACCGCCAACTACGAACAATTTCATTTCAAAGCACCCTTAGAAAGAGTGTCGAAAAAGAAGTTAAGTTAAAATCTAATCCCAGCCGTTTCGATTAGCTTCTCGTTCGGGGCCAAACAAAAACAAACACACCATCAAGACTGCTAAAATTTAGTAGAGAGGTTGGCTCGTAACTTGACACACTCCCTTCGTGACGTCATCTTACGAATTCCACTCCATCGACGCCACCTTCGATTTCGGGAAGTTACGAGGTAACCCGCTTTATACAGAGAGAGAGAGATTCTAATAATCTCGAGAAAGGTACGAAAAGGGAGAATAATATTAATAATAATAACGGTGAAATTTGCGTAATATCAGACGACCCGTTCGCGTCAGACGTCGCCGTCGCCGTCTCCGTCGCCGTCTGGATCGTCGTTCAATTTCAACAACGTATAAGTATCCCTCCGATTCAGGAAGCGACTAGACGAATTGTACAAGTAGGCGCTGCTGCGCCTGTGCAACTTTTTCATACCTGCCAAAAAAACAACAACAATAGAATCACAAAGCCGACAGATGACACCTGACGGGTGACAGATGACAGATGACACTTGACGGGTGACAGATGACACTTGACGGGTGACGGATGGCAGGTGAGAGGGGAGAGAGATGTCTTACCGATTTCGATGGTTTCTTTGGTGAAGACCAAAGACTTGTAGGCGTTGACGAAGACGCCCAATATGATGCAGGTGCCGAGGAATATGAACCCGTAGGTCATGAGGGGGGAGGCGACGTCGGCGAAGGTCGTTGCTAAATAGACCCAACGTCTAATGGCCGGCGATAGATCGTCGATTCCCTGCGAAAAAATTAAAAAAAAAAATTGGTTGGCTGTGGATAAACGATCGCATAGTCCGCCATTTTGACGGTTGTCGTAAACGTCAAACGATGAAGCGACAAGATGGCGGATTATTAGAGAGCGTGTATACCTCTTCTATCCACATAATGGGGAATATGATGCTGGGGAAGTTCTTGACGACTGTGACGTAGGGCGCTTGGTCCACTTTGAGGTTGAGTTGGACACGAATTTGACCTTCGAGCGGTACGCCTAATTTCTGTACGAATAAATGACGGTGTAAATCAATTGATAGCGAAAAACCCGGTTGGCGGTGCATCGGCCATCTTGGCGAGATACACGCCGATATGTAAACAGCATACAAATTAGTATTACCGATTGAATTTTAAAATAGGACTCGTGCTTCTCCCGATCGGCTTTCAGCCCTTCGAACGGCTCCGACAGGGCCGGATCGGCGTCCAGGAAGTGCGGAAACGACAAATAAACGGGCGCGTCTGCGAACAAAAACAATTTCCGTTACAATCGACCTGTCAAACGTCACGTTTTTGACGTCCACGGCCAACTTGTGACGCTTCAATTGCATAATCAACTTGACATTTATATGTACAAAACAGTTGTGAAGTTGTCAATTGCACGGCCGACTGGGATTGTAAAAGTAGATAAATTCGCTTACCGAACTGACAGGGGCTGATGTTCTGCAACCCTTTGGGCGTGCAGTACTCGTTACCGGGGCAATAGCATTTGTTGTCGGGATTCTTGTCCACGGTTTCGAAGATATCCTCGGTGGGGGTGTACAAATCCGCCGAGATGCCTATAAAACGTAGAAACAAAAAAAATCAACTCTATCACAAGTCATGAGATCTATGTCTAAGATCTAAATCAAAGATCTAACGTCTAAGTCTAAGATCTAAGTCCAGGATCTAACGTCTAAGATCCAAGTCTAAGACCTAACGTCTAAGATCTAAATCTAAGATCTAAGTCCAGGATCTAACGTCTAAGATCTAAGTCTAAGATCCAAGTCCAAGATCTAACGTTTAAGATCTAAGTCCAGGATCTAACGTCTAAGATCTAATTTAAGTCCAAGATCTAACGTCTAAGATCTAAATCTCTAAGATCTAAGTTCAGGATCTAACGTCTTAGAACGTTTAAGATCTAAACAGAAGATCTAAGTCCAAGATCTAACGTCTAAGATCTAAATCTCTAAGATCTAAGTTCAGGATCTAACGTCTTAGAACGTTTAAGATCTAAACAGAAGATCTAAGTCCAAGATCTAACGTCTAAGATCTAAATCTCTAAGATCTAAGTTCAGGATCTAACGTCTTAGAACGTTTAAGATCTAAATCTAAGATCTAAGTCCAAGATCTAACGTCTAAGATCTAAATCTATAAGATCTAAGTTCAGGATCTAATGTCTTAGAACGTTTAAGATCTAAATCTAAGATCTAAGTCCAAGATCTAACGTCTAAGATCTAAGTCTAAGATCCAAGTCCAAGATCTAACGTTTAAGATCTAAATCTAAGATCTAAGTCCAGGATCTAACGTCATAGAATTAAGTCCAAGATCTAAGTCCAAGATCTAAGTATAAGTTCTAAGTAAGTGTATACCAGGACGAGTCGATAATTATAATTCGTACCGTGTTTGGACACTCCTCGGCGATACTTCATGGGAAAGATCCTGCAGATGTCCTTGTCGTACAAATAGACGATATCGGAGCCGGTGTAGAAACGAGGAGGAAAGAATGAACCCTCGCTGGAGCGCAAATTGTTACAGGGCGGTTCGCTCCAATAGGGCAACGTATCGGCGCCGTTCAGGTGATTCAAATAGCCGAATTCGTGCATGCCCGTTTCGCCGGTGAAGATGTTGTGCACCTCCGGTAGCGTACCGTTCCGCTGGAATTAACGGCGATTTAGTATATATAACGGTTATTTTCGTTTCTATAGCAAGTAGGCGTTGGAATTAGTCTTTAAGTTGACTACATTGTTGTTATGGAGTAACTAAGGACGCATTGTTTAAATTGACAGATTTACATTGGTTGTTATGGAGTAACTAAGGAGATTCTTTCAAATTGACAGATTTACATTGGTTGTTATGGAGTAACTAAAGAGATTCTTTCACATTTGACAGTTTTACATTGGTTGTTATGAAGTAACTAAGGAGATTCTTTCACTTTTGACAGTTTTACATTGGTTGTTATGGAGTAACTAAGAAGATTCATTCAAATTGACAGTTTTACATTGGTTGTTATGGAGTAACTAAGGAGATTCTTTCAAATTGACAGTTTTACATTGGTTGTTATGGAGTAACTAAGGAGATTCATTCAAATTGACAGTTTTACATTGGTTGTTATGGAGTAACTAAGGAGATTCATTCAAATTGACAGTTTTACATTGGTTGTTATGGAGTAACTAAGAAGACTCTTTCAATTGACACTTTTACATTGGTTGTTATGGAGTAACTATGGACATTGTTTACTTTAAAGAGACCCTATAAACGATTGATTAGCGCCGAATAAGGGCCATTATAATAGATATGATTGCTGAGTAATTAATATTATAGAGTTATAGATGTAATTACGTTGATGAGTAGGCCCATTTTTTCGCCGGGTCGTTTGTATTTCGGGTAGAATTGATGGGCCAAATTGACCAGTTTGTCGTCGTATCCGAAGACCAATTCGTCCGCTGTGAGGCTGATGAAGGGCTGGAAAGTGCTCATGCTCAACATCACCGATATCGCTTTTTGTACGAAGAAACCGAGATTGTTCGATTGCGTCGATAGCGTCTAGAACAAACAAAAAAAAACGAAATATTTACCCTACTCCCTACACTGTTTGACAGAAAGCTTGTCATGACTGGATGACTGAAAGTTGACAGATGGTTGACAGAATGTTAACAGATGCATGACGTCTGGTTTGACATCGATGTTTGAGATCTGTCAACTTTGATGGCAGATTTTTGGGATATGCTTTATAAATTTTTATAAGATGCTTAAAAAATGCTTGAAATACGCTTGAAAGTTACTTGAAAGTTACCTACTTGAAAGTTACTTGAAATATGCTTGAAAAATGTTTGAAATATGCTTGAAAGTTGCTTGAAATGTGCTTGAAAGTTACTTGAAAATTACTTGAAAGTTACTTGAAAGTTACTTGAAATACGCTTGAAATATGCTTGAAATATGCTTGAAAGTTGTTTGAAAGATGGTTAACATGATTGAATGAACTTTTTTTTTAATTACCAGTAGAGGTATGTTGGGTACGACGATTTTCTGATGCTTGTTGACGGAGAGTTCGGGAACGAATTGGAGGATTTTCTTGTGTTGAAAGGAGACGGTACCGTTGTCATGGAATTGGACGTTGACTTTCTCCATTTCTTCCCTGTGGAAATAAAATGGAAATTATATAATTTATTGCGCAATTTTTTAGGCTATTTATACAAAGACAGATATTTAAATTTTTGGTTACTCCATCGTATAATTTTTAGTTATTTTCGACAGACTATTGACGTCAGGCGAAAAATCAATATTTCGAAATTTGCATTTAGATTGTTTCAATAAAATATCGATCGGAACGAGTTTGTTCTTTTTTTTTTTTTCATACATTTCATTTCGCTTACGAATTCGCAAAAATTTACATCTCCCTCTCCCTCGCACCCGCTATAAAATCAATCATCCATCTCGCTCTCTAATAACGAAGTCATTTAAATAATTGTTATATTAACAAATTATTAACAATAATTAAATTAACAACGAGTTTTATAAGGAATTAATTACAATATCACACGCACGCAAACTTCCCTTTCGGGCTAAAATTACATTAATAGAATAAAGAAATAAATAAATAAACAGCAATTAAACCCGGCAAATAAACAAAATAGGAAAAATATTTCAACGGAATAATTTTAATTACGTCTAAAGTGCTTTTCAACGCGCAATATTCGAACAAAATTAAACGTTTTATAAATACGCGCATAAAACTAAACGAGCCGGGTCGTTAAAATCCAATAACAACAATTGATTCCCTCTAATTACTAATTATTTCGATATATTTTTACATTTTAATCGATTCCGAAAATTCCAATAGCGATATATCGATCGGAAATCGCCATAAGGGCTAAACCAAAGAAGATAATAGAGATGGTATATAAGGAACGGTTACTAGGGTAGTGAATAGAAACCACGGCTCTATACAGGGTGTCCCACGACGAGTTAAAACTATCTATGCAGGGTGTCATTTCATTATTTTAATTTTTTTTTGTTTATATCTTCAAAACAATTAGGTTTAGGTATAGGGAAGTAAACATGAACTTCCCTTATTTTTGACCGCTGATTTCATTAGAATAGAAAAAAATGGGTGGTTCCATTTGAAAAAATGAAGAAATTTGATATTTTTGAAGTTCAACTTTACGCATGTTTTGTACACACCCTGTATAAAATAAAAAGTTTTTCAAAGCAGGTTCAAATACCTCTGACCTTTCTAGTAGCCACCCTACAGAAACAATTTTCATATCTTTAAGGGGATTCCCGTAAAAAAATAATTTATAATGGTCTGCATCGGTCAAATTTTTCAAACAAAAATTATTAACTCAAAAAATACGCATTTTTGAAAAAAGTGTTTTAGACAAAAGTACCCTAAAATTTTACGTAGATTTCGAAAATATATTAATATACAGGGTGTTTCATTTAAAATAACAAAGTTGACGCCTACTTCCGGTATATCCGGAAGCGGTACGACTGTCAAAATATTTTTAAAAGGTTCGTCTTATTGTATAACATATACATACCAAATATTATTCAAATCGGATAAGCAGTTTCCGATATACAGATAGTTTTAACTCGTCTTGGGGACACCCCGTAGAGATGGAAGGGAACGAGTAACGGTTACGAAACGATGAAAAATGGCGTTAATTTTCGAATAACAGAACAGGTACAATCGATGTACCGAGACGGTTTCGTTCGCGCGAATTCCGCTCGGATTGGAACGAAAAAAAAAAAAAATAAATAAATGTGTAATATAAAATAAATGAATTTGAGTAACTGGGGCGTACGAGAAATCCGCGCGCGTTTACGCTTTTCGTTACGCAATTTTCACGGCGAGTAACATAAACAGTAAATACACAGAGGTAGTACCAATAGGAGGTACTACAGGTAAAAAAAAAACTCAATTTTTTATTATTGTCATTCGTAATTAAACTGTCAAATTCGAGCTGTCAAACGCTCAATTTTGTGACGTTCAAACGAACAGTAAAAGACAGGTAAAGTTTTCAAAATGGCGCTAAAGTCAAGTATGAAAAAATAGCGCCATTTTTTAATACTCTTATTAATAATTTAACTGACAAATTCGAATTTTGTGATGTTTAAGGAACAGTAAAAGGCTGAAAATGTACTCAAAATGGAGCGAAAGTCAAGTTTGAAATAATAGCGCCATTTTTTAATACTCTTATTAATAATTTAACAGTCAAACTCGAATTTTGAGACGTTTAAACAAAAAGTAAAAGACCAGAAACGTTTTCAAAATGGCGCCAATGTCATGTTTGAAAAAATAGCGCCATTTTTTAATACTCTTATTAATAATTTAACTGTCAAACTCGAATTTTGTGACCTTTAACGAACAGTAAAAGGTTGAAAACGTTTTCAAAATGGCGCAGAAGTCAAGTTTGAAAAAATAACGCCATTTTTTAATACTCTCATGAATAATATATTTATCAAACTCGAATTTTGAGACGTTTAAACAAAAAGTAAAAGGCCAGAAACGTTTTCAAAATGGCGGCGCAAATAAAAAAAATCTAAATTTAGTACATCGCCCTGTATATTACAATATTTATTAGCGTACTTTCGATCGTTATATTTTCGTAACTGCACCGGTGCACATTCGAATAGATAATATAATATTAGAGAATTGAAAGAAAAAAAAATAATATAATGAGATAGATATCGAGTAAGCGCCTCGGGTGAAAACGAATTTAGGATTTGCTTCGATGACTTTTTCCGATATTGTTTCATACACGTATTAAATCGAATTTAAATTAATAGAATGGAATTATTTAATCGAATTCGGAACACTTTTTCGTGTTCTATCTCTATTCCTTATTTATCGCGGGTATTTTGGTATTGAAATTGCTTTCGATATCGTCGAAATAAGTGAATATTTTTACTGTTATTTTCGTGCAATAATCGTTTACGGAATTATCCGTTAAGCCAAATTTTCAAAATATATTTTCCATTAAACATTGGAAAAAAAATAACACAAACATCATTTAACTATCGACAGGTATTTATTCTCTGCTCATTGAAAAGCAAACAAATTAAACGCTAAAATAGTTTTTAATGTTGTCAAAAATGTCGTCGGATCAATTCCAATAAACGTCAAACGTCATTTTCAATGTACATCAAACGTCAAACGTCATTTTCAAAGTTTATCGAACGTCAAACGTCATTTTCAAAGTTTATCGAACGTCAAACGTCATTTTCAAAGTACATTAAACGTCATTTTCAAAGTTTATCAAACGTCAAACGTCATTTTCAAAGTACATTAAACGTCATTTTCAAAGTTTATCAAACGTCAAACGTCATTTTCAAAGTACATCAAACGTCAAACGTCATATTGGAGGTACGCCAAACGTTATATTCGATATATAGACGTGTGTTTCTACTTTCTTAAGTGCATCGTGATAATGACATTTGATTTTTGAAACTTTCCATGAGCAATTTACCCGGCGGTTTCGGCAAAAATTCACGGCTAAGTGGATGTTTGTGTGTCAATGGCGCAATTTGAAAATTTCCCACCGGCGAGTTCACTTTCTTGATAACCCCGATTTCGTGTTACGATTCTTCGACGAGAAACCGCACGACAAGTACCGTTCGCAGTATATATATACATATATACAGGATGTCCCAATAAAAATTCCCTAGATTCACCATATTGCGTGATTTTTAGTGAGACATCCTGTATATGGTCAATTCTATGAGTTGAACAAAGAAAAAATTGTCAAATAACAGTTAGAGTGAGAAAGTTGCAATTCCCACAGTAGATCTATCGCTCTTTCTTTTTTCTAAATTTCTTTATCTAAAATATAGGGTGTCTCAAAAAAGTTTAAAAACAAATCGAACAATTTTGAGTACGAATTCGTGTAATAATAAGCCACCCTGTATAGTATACTGTAATTAACAGCTCGTTTAAAAATTGTCTGTATTTTATATACACATATACAGGATGTCCCGATAAAAATTCGCTATAGATTCGCCATTGCGTGATTTTTAGTGAGACATCCTGTATGGTCAATTCTGTGAGTTGAATAAAGAAAAATTAGTAAAATAACAGTTTGAAATTTCTTTATCTAAAATACAGGGTGTCTCAAAAAAGTTTAAAAACAAATCGAACAATTTCGAGTACAAATTCGTGTAATAATAAGCCACCCTGTATAATTTAGTTTATTAACAGCTAGTTTAAAAATTGTGTGTATTTTATTGTGTCCGTACGGTATAGTGCGTACGATATTTTTGACCGATTTTTATGTAACAAACAATAAAAAGAATTATCGAACGTCTCGGCATTTTTTTTTATTCAATAATAATTAACCGATTTTTTTCTTTCGTAATCGAAACGTGTGTGTGGCTGTATTCGAAGAAAGTTCAGGCACCCGTAACATTGACCTTGATTTTCGCCACTTTTCCCATCGATTATCTATCGATCGAAAATCGATTACCGGCAATTTCTAAAAAAATCTCACTCACATCACGTACGCCGCGATTACTACCGGCCTGTTACCTAATCGGATTACAGCCAAAAAAAAAATTAACAAAAATCATTGCCAATGTCAGGCATGTTCCGTTCACGAATTGCTAGCAGCGCATAGCACACTTGGACTAGTAAGATTGTTTATGGTAATTAACATAAACTAGATTTTTGGATGATTTAAACGAGTTATATTCAATTTTTATGTTGCTCCACTTGTATAAACTAAAGTTAATTTTTGAATCTTCGCTTAATGTATTAAAACGGTAAATTTTAATGGTTTATAATTAGACGGAAAATTAGCAATAAAATATCTTTTTTGTAATATGGTCGGGGGTAGATTTTCTTCAAAATTTTCATTTACTTCAAAATTGACAGGTGACATTTAACATACGACGATTAGTGACGGTTAGTGAATTATGACATATGACAGGTGACATTTGACGTGTTTACCTGTAGACGAACGGTCCGATTTCTTGTAATTTGGGCTTCTCGCCCAATTGGAGGAACCTCTCGGGATTGGTAACGTTAAATATGTACACTTTGGTCAGTCGTATCACGCCCGGCTTTTGCCAATAATGGAAGCTCAACGAGCCATCTCTTAACCGTAAATTCTGAAAACGAAATGTCGATAAATAATCGATCGATTTGAATCACGATCCTATATTTTTAAGGTCTGGAAACATAGGTCGAAAAAGTGTTCCGTTATTTGAGGATAAAACAGAGTTCCTAAAACGACCGCTAGGAGGCGATGTTGTAAAAGACCACGGTTTTTTGCGTACGAATTATGTAGAATTAGCATTAAAAAAGGTTATATTCAAACTAAAAATAGATAGAAAATACAAAAATATACTTAAATCAGCGATGATTTTGTTGTTAACATCATACCTCGCGTATCTTCGGTTAATGTATTCCTCCATTTTCTCCTCGGAAATGTCAAAAAGTAATTTTTCAAGTTTTGACAGCTCGAACTGTCATTTCACAACAACCACGATTTATATGTAGCTTGACGCTGATTGGCTGAGATAAGTTGATCCTCCGATCGTTCGCCACCTTGCGGTGCAACAGTGAAGCTCAAAAAGTCCTCAAATAACGGGACACATTCTCTAATGCATAATCATAGAAAGATTCCAGACCTTAGAAATATAGGGCTGTGATTTGAATGAATCAATTCGAATCTTACCTTTAAAATAATATAGTCTAACCATGGTATCGAAGATAAGATTATTCCTAAAGCTAACGTAAATATTCCTATTAAAATGACGGCGAGTCGACCTGGAAAAAAAAGATAGAACACGAAATGAGAAAACGACATTTCAATTACTGATGTTTACTGGGTTGTAGAACAATCGATTTTTCTTGTATTTTCTCCTAATGCATTCAGAGTGACGATTAATTAATTCATTTCATTCCACATTTCGTTCGTGAACTTTGCCGAAAAATCACTCGAACGCGACAAACGGCCTACTTTTATCGCGATTTAAGATTTAATTTCAGCATAATCGCGCCGATTTTGTGTCGGATATTTCGCTGAATTCGATCGAATTGCCCAGTTCATTTTGAAATTCCATCCAGCGGCGTAACAATTTTAACATTTACGATTGTTTGTCGAATAGTCCTGTAGGTAAAAGTCCGCTTGGAGGGGTATAAAAAAAAGAAGAAATCGATTTATGCGCGCTAATGTGAATTACAACATTTTGCTGTATGATTGAAACGGTAGAGGCCGTTGAAATCGTCGAGAATAAGATAAATAGGACCATAAAGGGTGATTAGTGAAGTTTAGCTATTTGCGCAAGTAGGTAAAAGGCCAACGAATACCTAATTAACCAAAAAAAAAAACAGAAAAAGGAAAAAGAAGAATACTGTTGTGACATACGCCCCTGCGAATTTAACACAATATATTTTATAAAACCGCGCTCGTTGCGACAGAGAAATATTTATCTCGACATTTTATGGTCATATGCCTTCGACAACACTCTGTACTTTAATGTATGTGCGCGTAAAACGTCGAGGAAAAAAATTGTATATATACGAGCACCAGCAAGGACGTTCGTTGGCCGATATTCGAGAGACCAGCCTAACCGGTGAAAGTTCGTCTTAAGTTCAATTTGGGAACGTCTCTCGATATGCAGTTTTACAATGCAATTTTTATTTATTTTTTTTTTTTTGTTTCGTCTTTCGTTTCGCAAAATTACGTTCGTTTGACAGGTGACAGGTGACAGGTGACAGGTGACAGGTGACAGGTGACAGGTGACAGGTGACAGGTGACAGGTGACAGGTGACAGGTGACAGGTGACAGGTGACAGGTGACAGGTGACAGGTGACAGGTGACAGGTGATGGGTGACCGGTGACAGGTGACAGGTGACGGGTGATATCGGTCGGTACTTACTGTGACTAAAATTTTGCGAGACGAGCATTTGCAATGGGACGCCATCTTGGCCGGTTTTCTGGGGATTGACGCCGATGAAGCGATTTTTGGCGAACCTCGTCAATCTGAAATATTGCTTGTACAGCCCCATGATGGCCGTCTCTTCCCCGAAGAAGGGTAATCTGCAACAAATTATTTCGAATTAAGTATCTACATTTTTACATTTATTATTCGAATTGATCCAGTAATGACGTCGCACGGTGTGAATTATTGAATGAACTATAGACGAACATAAAAGAGTGTTCATCTAGGTATAGTGTGTTCAAATTAATCTAGTAATGACGTCACACTATGTCAAATATTGAATGAACTATACGAAAATATAATAGTATAGGTACTCATCTATAGTATGCTCAAATTAATCTCGTAATGACGTCAGACGAGGTCAAAAATTAAATAAACTATAGACGAATCTAAAAGTAGGTATTCATCCAGGTATAGTATGCTCAAATTAATCTAGTAATGACGTCACACGAGGTCGAAAATTAAACAAATCGTACTCGAATATTCGGAATGAGGAAAATCGTTCCAGGACGCCCTGTATATACCATTTAGGATTCGGATCGATTAAATAGAAGACGATATTAACCTAATAACTGAGTTAAATACCCGAGGAGGACATGGTAAATAACTTCTTTCCGATTGCATTAGAAAGCTCGGCGATTCGAAAGGCATCAAGTTGAAAAAAAAAAAAAATAAATAACAAAGAAAAGAAATAAACGAATACTTGGCAGAGATGATAATAGAGGATGGGACTATTTCGAATTACATAGGTAACATGTATGTGCGTGATATGTCATTATTAAGGAGTAAATAAAAAAAATTTAAAGCGCATTGAATTGTATATAGGGCGATTTTATCGCTTCGAAATCTAGTGTGCGAGATTTTGGCAACACTGTACGTATTCGACGTTTGACACTTTGACGTATGACGTTGTTACAAACGCGAAATTCCCCGTACTATATTCAAAAACGAGCTTATAGTGCGGTGGAATTGCGAACAAAAAACGGGAATAAGTAAATAAATCGGCGATTAACGATCGCCCTGTATAAATTAACGATATAGCATTGGACTCTTTCCATTGTAATTCGAGTGCGGCACGAAAGCGGTCGCGGTGCGTGGAAAAAAACGCCCGAGCGGTTTCTAATTAATCACGCTAAAAAAAAAATAAATTCATGTTCGGTCGGGGGAACCGAACTAAATTATTAACTCGAAGAAAGAGAAGAAGAGTTTCGAGGAATTTCGCAAATTGGATAGTTCCACTTTTTGTTTTATTGTATTTTTTTACTCGAAATCGACTATGTTCTGCTTTTTATTTCATTTCCAAAAGTCTCGATACTATTCGGCCACTGTTTCGGTAAGATTTGACAACAATGGCAAGATTTTTAACAGTTGACGTTTGATGTATGACATTAATTAACTGATTTTTGACAGCTGACTGTCGACATTAGATAGATTTTTGACAGTCGACATTCGTTGTGTGACAATTTATAGTGTTTCGACAGTCGACGTTTTATATGTGGCAATTGAAAAAGTCTTGACAATTGACGTTTGATGTGACAGATGACGTTTCATACGTGTGACAATTGACAGATTTGTGATATTTGACGTTTGTCGGGTGACAATTGACATTTTTAACAGCTTAATTTAAGTTTGGGATTGCTTATATGGAGGCGTTCGATAATTTAGTCGATTATCTGTGGTGTATAATAATAAAATGTTGAATGAAAAATTATAAAGTTGTCGTTTACGAAACTAATGCGAAACCGGTCGGTTCTTTTTACTTTGAATTGCAACGATTGCATAATAAAATTCACCATCTCGAGAGTGCCGAGAGAGAAACTCGGCTGATGGTGAAGAAAAAAAAATTAATTTTATCGAATTTTGCACAATTGTCGGTTATTACGCGCGCTCGCTAACATATTATATTCATCGAAGATTTATTTTTTTTGTTCTTCTCGAATAATTGGGCAATATATGGGATAGTTTCGAACGGCCAAGGTTGGTAAATTGGTTCTTCTTTTGCTGAAAATTAAACGAAAATATACAGGGTGTTAATTAATTGTATGTCGATACTTCAGGATGTGGATGTTTGGATGATTTTAAGAAGAAAAGTTTATATCAATGTATGTCCTAAACCTCTTTGTTTTCGAGCTACAGGGTGTTAAAATTTTAGAAAAAAAATAACTTTTTTCATCATAATTTTCTTATTACTGCAGATATTTTTATGAAATTTCGGACGTGAACGTCACTGATAATAGTAGAAAATTAATTTTTATCCCCCAAAAAAAGTGTTTCCATGCATGGTGGGCGCCTATCAAATTTCAACAAAATATCAAAAGCAGTCTCAAAATGAACTTGGGAAAAAATGGTTTTGGTTTTTATTTTTTTTACGCGAAAATGGTGCGTCGTACGAAAATAAGTCTACTGACCAAATTTGCTACAAAATAAATGAGGATTTTAAAAATAATTTTAGTTTTTAGAAAAACCAGTGGTGTACCATTTTTTTTTCAAACATATTCAGTTCAAACCCCGTACGGACGTCACTGGTGAATATTTAAAAAAATCTTACGACTCAAAAAATGCTCCTTAATAATTAAAAAGTGTATACAAAATTTCTTGAAAATAACTGGAGTAATAAGAAAATTATGATAGAAAAGTTATTTTTTTTTCTAAAATTTTAACACCCTGTAGCTCGAAAACTAAGAGGTTTAGGACATACATTGATATAAACTTTTCTTCTTAAAATCAATCAAATATCAAACATCCTGTATACCTAATTGTATCTACTATGCAAACCAATTAACATCGCTGTCAATTTATTGAGTAATTGCTAAATTTCGAGGAATTTTATGACCAAATTAGCGCCATTTAAACGAATTTATAGTGCGGTCGAATTAATCGAACAATCCTAATTATGTATTTTTTCAGGTCAATAACAGGTTCGAATTCTCGATTTCGATAATTCGATTTTTTCCCCCCTAATAAAATTACAAAATTTACCTTCTAATTTTTTTCCCTTCTAAACCAATCATATACCCATTAGGTACCCGATTTGTTTGTTTTAATTGTTAGCACGAAAATATTTTCGACACAGTTTCTCGGTTAAGGTCTTCGAAATCCATCTTGCTTATATTTTATCATGAATTTAATTCGGATTGCATAATTAACCAAACGATAAATAAATTATTTATTTACAACAATCTACACGTATTTTTAGTTAATGTATTTTCTCAATAATTGTTGATATAATTAAAAAAAATGTTAGATAGAAGGATAATTTCAGTTTCCGATTTTTTCGCGAATTTGACCGCACTACGATTTTTTCCATAACGAGTTTTTTCGAAAATTCGCCTGCACTATAAATAACATAAATAATATTAAGGAGAATTCGTGTTAGTATTACATGTTGAGGAATTTCAGTTTCCGATTTTTTCGCTAATTTGACCGCACTATGTATTTTTTTCCATATAGTTAATTACTCCCTCTCTCCCTTAAATATAAGACTGGCCATTTTTAATTTGTCAATTTAGTTAAGTAGGCTTGCGTGAATAAGATGATTTTTTTGCCGCGACGTTGCCGAGTTTCCGGCGATTTCCGCGATGACGGGAAAATTTCAAAAGTGTTTTTTTTTTCTAAATATCTAATGAATATTTCTCCAATAAATTGGTAGGTAAATAAATGCGAGGAATTCGCATTCGCATTCGGAATTTGCGCGTCGAAAACGAGTTGTAAAATCGAAAAATATTGTAATTTATTCCCCGAAATTCTTCGTAATTGCGCTTTTTATAATGTCGAATTGACGCAAACCGACATTTTTTTTTTCTCTCGTATATATTTTCGGAATTTTCGATGATGGCCTTTTTTTTCCAATCGACTTTGAAACGTATTCATCTCGAAGTGATGTCAATCGATACATTGAAAACAAACTAATTATTTAGTATTTATGGTTGTTTTTTTTTAATTACAAAAATTATACTCAATGATGCGCTAACGCTACAGGGAAGTAAATAACCAGTTAATTATTTTTTAATTAATGCAAATTAGCCGTTTTATTCTCGTGTATATCTACCGAATTTCCTTGTACTATTTAAACGAGTTTATTAGTACGATAAAATTCGCGAAAAAACCGCCGGTTTATTACCTATTAAAAACAATTGACGACGTGTTAAAAAATTATTAACAGCCTATAAAAAAATCGAAAAAAAAAATAAAAATAATTATCACTGAAGCAACTAATAAAATTCGTGTCAATAGAAAGTTTAATTGGTGGATTTTCGAGAAGATGCACTTTCTTCAAAATATTTTTCTAATCCTCGCGTGCATATAAAAGTGCATTATAATTCGAAACTCCGCGCCAGTCGGTACTTTCCCTATTTCACTTATTAGAACCGTTATTAAAATTTTGTAAAAAATACGGTTTAAATTGGAAAGTTAACGACCGCTCGTCGGTGGATATTTCGTCGATTTTACACATCCACGCGAAGAATTGCATGGAGAATTTGATGTTTTTTTAGTTTTTTTTTTTCGATTTTTTCCGATTTTTTCGCGAATTTGACCGCGCTATGATTTTTTTCCATAACGAATTTGACTAGTTTTTTCGAAAATTTGCCTGCACTATAAATAGTATAAATAGATAAAGGAGAATTCGAGTTAGTATTGCATTGAGAATTTTAGTTTCCGATTTTTTCGCTAATTTGACCACGCTATGATTTTTTTCCATAACGAATTTAACTAGTTTTTTCGAGAATTTGCCTGCACTATAAATAGTATAAATAGATAAAGGAGATTTCGAGTTAGTATTGCATTGAGAATTTTAGTTTCCGATTTTTTCGCTAATTTGACCGCGCTACGAATTTTTTTCCATAACGAATTTAACTAGTTTTTTTGAGAATTTGCCTGCACTATAAATAGTATAAACAGATAAAATAGAATTCGTGTTAGTATTGCATGGAGGGTTTTAATTTGCGATTTTATTTCTGCGAATTTCACCACACTATAAATAGTACAGTACAATTCGTAGTATTGATCTCGTATTTTTTGTTACAAATTATTCTGTGCTATTAATTCGCTAGTAATTAGCACAGATAA